AAGCAGGAGTTATCGGATTCCTACCCGATGAACACCTTTTCCAGCCCCACCTCCAATGCAGGTCTTCCGACAACCGCCCGGCAACCCAGGGGCGGTGATGTCATCGACCTAACAGCTGACTCCGACGAAGATGAGCCTCAGCCACCACCCATGGCACGGAGTTCTCTGGAGAAGCGCAAGGCACTTTCTGGTGCACCCTCGCCCACAGAGCAGATCTGGAAAAAATCCCGGGTTGATTCCGTTCCAGCAACTCAGCAACCACAGCCGCCGCCACAGCCTCAAATATCTCACGCGGTGCATCTTCCTCCTGTGTCGCCAGTTGCTAATGTCATACCTATGAGTACGCCTCGGTCCCCCGTGACATCGTATCCTACTGGGCCAAGCAATTACGCTGTCCCTCAATTACCTCCAGTACGTTACTCTAACTCAAGCTTATACGTGCCACCTGCGACAACTACTTCTCCTCATGACACCGTCCGTAGTCCATATGATACGTACAATCCCAACAGTTATTATCCGCCCAGACCTAGTGGTTCTACGAGCCGACCAGGCGTGTGGCCTTAATATTAATTTCGCATTGCAGGGACAGTTTATTCCGCTACTATTTGTCTGTTTGAGGTTCGGTTAGCTATAATAATACTGTTTTTCGCAGAGATAGCGTTATGCAATCATCTTTATTTACGTATTCAACTATGAATATCAGAATATTAGCAGCGGAACAGAGGCTACACCCGGAACGTACCTAAACACGATGCTGTTCAATCGGTGAAGAGCGGAGATAAAACCTTCCGGATGATTCCGAATTCCTTTTTGACGCGAACTTTTTTCCCTGCTTAGCTCTTATCCTTCCCCTCCATCCTTCTCTACTAGCCTTTCCTTGTTGGCTTTTCTAATTAAAAAATGGCCGAAACCAAGAGGGTCAAGACTCCCCAGGATTTCATGGGTGAGTTGCTCGTCGTCGTTGCTGGCCATGCAGCTCGCATTGTATCGCGTATGGAGCGCTAATACAATGTCTAACAGTGGATTTCCTCATGGGTGGTGTTTCTGCTGTACGTGTCAATGCTACTATGCGGTCAAGTTGTCGACGTTGACATTGTGTTTTGTAGGCCGTTGCCAAGACGTCGGCAGCTCCAATTGAGCGCATTAAGCTCTTGGTACAAAATCAGGATGAGATGGTACGTTCTCCATTCTATAACGAATGCGCAAGTGTCTTACATGTTGTCTCCCAGATCAAGCAGGGGCGTCTAGCTACTCCCTACAAGGGCATCAGCGATGCGTTCGGTCGCACCTACAAGGAAGAAGGCCTTGTCTCACTTTGGAGAGGTAACACTGCCAACGTGATTCGTTACTTCCCCACGCAGGCCTTGAACTTCGCATTCAGTACGTTTTCAGTCTACTCTTGTGTAGTGCATACCTGATATAAATTTCAGAGGATTATTTCAAGTCTCTGTTCGGCTTCAAGAAGAACGAGGGTTATTGGAAGTGGTTCGCTGGCAATGTTGCATCTGGTGGTGCCGCTGGTGCATCATCACTGCTCTTTGTCTACTCCCTTGACTACGCCCGTACTCGTCTTGCCAATGATGCTAAGTCGGCCAAGGGTGGAGGAGCTCGTCAGTTCAACGGTCTTGTTGACGTGTACAAGAAGACCCTCGCTTCTGACGGTATCGCCGGTCTCTACCGCGGTTTCGTTCCTTCAGTCGTCGGTATCATTGTGTACCGTGGTCTTTACTTTGGTGTATACGATTCGCTTAGTGAGTGGACTAAAGCAATCCTTGATCATGTCACTCATTGTGGTTACAGAGCCCGTTGTTCTCGTTGGTGCTCTTGAGGGCTCGTTCTTGGCTTCCTTCGCGCTTGGTTGGGGTGTGACTATTGGTGCTGGTCTTGCTTCTTATCCTCTTGATACTATCCGGTGAGTTCTGTCCTTTAACCTCAAATCGAACGACGTGCTCATCATCTCCAGTCGTCGTATGATGATGACCTCCGGTGCTGGCGTTCACTACAAGTCCATGTTCGATGCCGGTTCCCAGATCGTTGCCAAGGAGGGTATGAAGTCATTGTTCAAGGGTGCAGGTGCCAACATTCTCCGTGGTGTTGCTGGTGCTGGTGTGCTTTCGCTATACGACAAGCTCCAGCAAGTTATGTTCGGCAAGGTCTACTCTGGTGGATCTGGTTAAACGCCTTGCATCACATATTTACCTGGGCATTGGCTCCATCCCTTCTTTTAGTGCACGCATTACGATTTATTTCGATAGACTTTATCTCACTGGGTTCCTCCGAGTATGGATTCTTCTACATACTCCCACACTAGTAGGCCTTAGTTCATACCGAATGCAGAAGACATTCACGACCAATATTGTTTGAGGCAAGATTTAGCACCGCATCCTGCAGTCAGCATTACGCCTGTCTCTTCACGTGATCTACTAGTTGAAAGCTTGAGTGGGGAGCAACAGATGCACCGAACTGTCAATTTTGTATGTTCAAGCCTCGGCGTTATTTTGCCAGTGCTGCCACGGTCAAGCTGCGACCCTACCAAGAGTCCTGTCTTGAAGCATGCAAGAATGCGCTTCAAGCTGGTGCGACGCGCATTGGTGTATCTCTGCCAACAGGGGCTGGTAAAACAACTGTGTTCATATCCTTATTGGCGCAGATCCCTCCACCATCTCGTTCTCCATCTACATCACGTTCGTTAATTATAGTGAATAGTATTGAGCTTGCAAGACAGGCTGCCGCTCAGGCTGCAGCACAATTCCCGCAATGGCGCATCGAGATTGAGCAGGGCGGCAAGCACAAAGCATCCGGAAATGCAGATGTGTATGTACCTGACTTTGTACAACTCACTTCTCTCATCTCGATGTATCGTTATTAAACAGGACAGTTGCCACTTATCAGACACTCCTACAACCTCAGCGCCTTGCCAAGTTTCATCCGGGTAACCTGAAGGCAGTGATTGTAGATGAAGCACACCATGCTGCCGCCCCATCGTGAATACCCTCATTTTTGGGAGATTTGTTCAAATTTAATACGCTTTACATAGATACCGCCGAATTCTTGCGCACTTCGATCCAGCAATAAGGAGCCCCGATCCAACCTTTCAGCCTCTACAGTTGTCTCGCCCTATTCCAATTATCGGCTTTTCTGCTACATTCAGTCGTCATGATGGGCTCGCTCTTGGCTCAGTTTTTCAACAAATAGTGTATCATTGTGATTTTCTTGAGATGATCAAGGAACAGTGGTCAGACCATTACAATCTGGCCATTTAAAATTTTCTCAATCTGTTATGACAGGCTCTGTGATGTGCGCTTCACATCTGTCAAGGCGAACATTGACTTGCGGAATGTCACTGTGAACTCAAGAACTGGCGACTTCAACGCTACGAGCCTGGCGCACATCATCAATACAGATACCGTGAATAACCTTATCGTGCAAGCGTGGCTCGACAAAGCGAGTAAGTGATGTCCGTTCTTTGAGGCACTGTCCCGCAATCTTATGTTTGCAATAGGGCAGCGCCAATCAACACTTGTCTTCTGCGTTAACATTGCGCACATACGAGCGCTAACAAAGGCTTTTCAAGATTTCGGAGTTGATGCACGTCATCTGCACTCTGGGACGCCTGCTGCTGAGCGGCATGCACTGATCACCGCCTTTAAAGCAGGCCAATACCCTGTGCTTGTCAACTGCGGTTTGTATCTCACGGTTGGTTTTTGTTACGACTTATTTTTGGAACGAAACAGCAATTCTTACTGAGGGCGCCGATATTCCCAACATCGACTGTGTTATAGTTGCTCGCCCGACTCGGTCACGCAATGTCTTTGCACAGATGGTAGGTTGAAGTACAGTATGTTAAATGCTTCCCGTATGCCCATCATCCACTTTCGATAGATCGGGAGAGGGATGCGGCAATCACCATCGACAGGCAAAGAGAACTGCCACATAATTGACTTTGTCGACTCTACAAACCGGGTGGCTGGCGTGGTCTCGACTCCAACGCTATTCGGCCTTGATCCTGAGGAACTGATCGACGGCAAGGTGCATTTTCGTTTCATGAAAGTGGGGCTAATATCATACATAGATGAGTCCGTTGAGACTTTGGAGGCTCGTGCTCAGATTTCCAGCCTTCATAACGAACAAGTGCCAGTTGACAGCCGAGACGATATCCCCGATCCAACATATATAACATATGTCGATTACCAGAACCCGTTCGCACTAGTCGATGGTTGCTCAGGTGCCCCTCACGTCACAAAGCTTAGCGCCAATGCATGGGTAGGATGTGGCGAAGACATCTACATCTTGGAGTGCCTGGGCAAGGGATATATCCGTGTTGAGCGCATTTCTGCTGATGAGGGTCAGTCCGACAAGGTCTGCTGTGCTCCTTCGTCTCAATGTACTATCCAGAAAACCCGACACACTATCGCGCCACATTTACCGAGGCAACGATGCACATGCCATCTGCGAAGGCATTTAAAGTATCACCATTCATGCGGAAAAGGTTGATCATGACTGCGGAGACACTCAGGGATACAATCCGAGGCTGCGACACTTATGCAGTGCAAAAGGTCCTTCGTGGATCATTGGCACTAGGGTAGACCTCCGTTTATATACGAGTCATAACATTTCTGACATGCAGAAAGGCTACTGCGAACTGCAAAATGGCGGAAAGCGTCTGCATCCGATAACCAGAAGAACTTCATCCATCAACGACGTGTAAAACGTGCGCTGGATCAAGATGCTGCCGCCGCAACCTTGCAGAACATAACCAAGGGCGAGGCAGCCAACATTATCACTCGTTTGAAACATGGAGCCAAGGTATGGTACATATGTATGTTTCAGCTTGTGCTTATACTCTTGAGAAGGCCTATTATGAGAAGAAAGCGAGGGAAACTAAGAAAGAATCCCAACTAGCAGAGAAGGAGAGACGAAGGAAGGAGCGGGAGATAGTTCAGGTAGGACCGTTGGTGGTCCATGGTCCATGAGGCGCGCTAGAAATGGTGTCATTATTATTATTGATGGGAAAGTTTTCCGTGCAAGGATGATAGCAATGGCGAAACAGCAAGCGGGCTCTGCAAACTCAGCAGGGCGGCATGCTGAGCGACGTCTATCGTACGTTGTAGGCTTATTGTGGAGTGGAACGCCTTCGGAGACTGCACCAATGCGGCCAGCAAAGCTCCAACCAACGAATCTCCTGCACCTGTTGTGTTGACCAATGCATCGCTTGGGAGTTGCATTGCAGGAAAATGCTGCAAAACCACAATATCACCCGACGTAGGCGAGTGGGACACCACATAGCGCTTATGATGGTTAGTCGACTCCGTCGACCACGATGATTCAGCCGCGTCATCTCCCGTGAAACACATTACGACAACGACTCCCAAGTCACCGCACTTGATGACGAGGTGTCGAAAAAATGGTAGGAGATTGATTGCCATTTGGGCAACACCCTTTTCAACAAGGAAGGCCAGGTTTCCTCGTGAAGTATCGTGACTTGATGCTTCTCTTCGAGAAAGCAGATCGAGGTCTGTACGGAACTTCGAACCAAGTCCGAGGCTGTCCAGAACCTGCCACCATCGGTCATGTGAAGTGAGATTCAGAAGTTGTGCTTGTTGATACAAATGAGCGAGCTCGAGCAGATTAGGAGATGCAAAAGTAATGGGTGACCATGCAAGCTGGTCGAGATTACCGGCTATAGCGGGAAGAATCGAAGCTGACTTGACGACAGAAGTTGGTTCACTAAATTTTGAAGTGTTATTAGCAGCTCCTTTGATAGTAACATGAATGTGGACGAACAAAAAAACTAGCAAAAACACAAACTTTAGCCACACTTCCCCCAACTTATATCAACGAAGAAACTTACTATCAACTCCATTTCGAGAACATTCGCTCACTACTACCTTCAGTGTATCAGGTGATAAGTTCCCATCCACTGCAAGTAGTTTTGGTTTGTGTGCCAATATAAATTCACGTGCCTGGCAAGAAACTCATCAAGCCTGCCTGTTATGAGTGGTTATAGGACAAAACTGACCACATGTCCATCCATATTCCGAACGAGATCCATGTCAGCCACGCCTGCCCTCAATGCTCCCGATCCCTCCAAAAGTAGGCTGCACACGGACGACCTACCTCCCCGCACGGAAATAAGACCATCTGTTCTCATCCCTAGCATTCGTGTCTCCTCGCTTAACAGTCTCCCGAAAGAATCATCGCCGACTAAAGACACTAGTAAAGTTGCGGCCGAGGACTCGTCACTATGTGACGAAAGGACTCGGTGAGCAGCCTCAGCAATATTGCGACCAACACCTCCAAGTGACATGGAAACCTTCCCAGGAAACGTGGACTGGTGTCCAAGGTCCGAATCTGTGAGAGGTTGTGATGTAATATCTACTGCAGCACAACCAACTACGACCAACGAAGCGTTCGGTAGTGGTTGCCCTTTGAAATCATCAGTAGTCCCTGATGAGGCGACATCAGATGCACTGTGAGGCTCATCGGGTTTTCCTGTCACAGGATAGCATTGCTAAGAGGAACAAACATCACTTGCTATGTCTAATGGCTGATAGATCACCTCACATCCTGGTCATGTCTGTCTCCAGCAATTTTCGCGTATTCTACTGCAATTCGACCTCCTGTGCTCGAAATGTCAACAGTTTGGAAAACCTCTTTTATCAATTTCTTACCGACGAGCGCAGTATTCTCGACAAGGGCTATGTCTGAGATCAAAGTTGAGCGGTGAGTAACGCCTAGGAAGGTTCAATACTGACTGCTGGCAAGTGATTTTCCTTGTGTTAACTCGCCTAACCCTGTTAAGAAGCCAAGGAGTGACGGCCTTCCCCAGGCTACTGATATTTTGTTCTTCAGATTCGCGAACAGCTTGTTCGACCGCCTCTTGAAGGGCCGATCCCACAGCCTCATATTCAGCAGGGATAGGAACAGCAAAAAGGGCACCATTAGACATGCCCAGTTGCCAATGAGTATCTGTAAATATTGATGAGTCCGCCGTACTAAGTCATGTGTCAGCATTTCTTACGTAGAATCTGAGCGGCTGTTCTAGGATCATTTATCCTCCAAGGTGACTGTGAAACTAGTGAGCCAAGACACCGACACTTGTTGCACTCGCACCTCAAAACCGCTTCGACCGCTGTAGAAAGCCGGGAAATCGTGCGTCTCTGCGTAAGATACTACTGGTACACCAAGCGTTTCCTGCGTGAACGAATTAGAGATAAATTCTTCGAACATTTTTAGCAGCCACACCAGATACTCGAGGGTTCTGTTTCATCAATTTAGTGACAAGCGACAGAGAGGATTACAAAGTCATACCGCCTTATATCTAAAATGGATTTCACTCCAGCTGAAACCAGTCCAACTGGACAACGCGTGAGTTCATGTAGATCAGCTGAAACATCCATTGCTAAGACACGGGGTAAAATCATCAGAAGTCTCATAAACACTCAGTGTAACTTACTCTTCTCCCCGCCGCGATGTACTCCACCGAGCCTAAGAATACCACCTCAGAATACAAGAATTCGAAGTCAATATTCCCTGACCTACCCTCCAGTGGCAAAGACCTAGAACAACTGTCATATCGACGTGCAAATACATTTGCACCATGCGCACCTTGATACCAGCCAGTGCAGCAAAGATGAGGGTGGAACAACACGTAGTCCCGCCATCCTTCTTCAGAGCAATTGCAGCCGCAATATCTCGCCTGGACAACTTTACGGCGGTTGGGTTTGAGTGTTGGTCTGCAAGACGTTCCAGTTCTGCTGGATGAAGTCCAATCTTGATGCGTCCTGCAATAACAGCAATGGTGGCTGGTATACTCCCTGTGGACCTGACTATCCTCTCAACTGATTGGGCCATCTCCAATGAAGTTGGGTATGGCATTCCATGGGTAATGATGGTCGATTCGAGGGCGACTACAGGCTTTCCAGTAGCCAATGCATCCTCTACCTCAGGATGAACATCTATGGGAGCTCGACGCCCCCGAGCAGCAGATAGACTCGACGCCTTCCGTAGTGAAATGAGACGTTGGTTGGTAAAGATTCCCCGGAAGGAAGCTTGAAGCATTGGAGGTCAACAAGCTAATATAAAGCTGAAAGCAGTAGTGGTTGAAAATATTGGGGCTCGACAACCTCCTTTGCAGGATGGGCCGGTACAAAAGTCACGGTATTAATATCGGTTTCACGTGAGTCAATCCTTCCGTTAATATCGTCCTGTACGTATACTCGTTATCTTGGTTTTCGCGTTCATACAGATTTCGGATGACAACTTCCTATCCAAGCACCTCAGTGGAAGCGAGAGAAGAAGTGGGCAGGAGCATATGCGTGCTCTCATACAAGTCATTGAAGATCGATGAAATCATAAAATCAGTCAGCGATGATGGTGCAGGGGCAACAGCACTCTTCATCGGCACGACTCGAAATTCATATCAAGGTACTGACTATGCAAATGCACCAGAGTCATCACATGTCTTAATATTAACCAACCTGCTACGGACAGGAAAGGTCGTGACACGTCTAGAATACCAGGCGTACAGCAAGTTAGCTATCAAAACCATGACAGACATCATCCGAACAGCACATCAATCAGCCACACGCTCCACCCACTATTCAACGCCCGCAGCAGTGCCCTGCATCATTTCCTGCGCTGTGCACCATCGGCTGGGGACGGTGCCGGTAGGAGAGCCCTCGATCGTGATAGCGGTATCTTCACCGCATCGGAAGGAGGCATTCGTTGCGTGTGAACAGATCCTCGAGGAAGTTAAGCAGAGAGTACAGATATGGAAGAGGGAGTACTACGAGGGCGAAAAAGAGGACGAAGCAGAGTGGAAGGCGAATAGCAGCTAGATTGGCGTGATGCTGAGGATGGTCTAAGTACGGCATAGGGCTTCGGTTCTCCGGATCAGAACTAATCGATCTTCCACTTTGCCGAATCATCGTCCCCATCAGGGCTAACCACGAGTTCCACAGCCCACAGGAACAGAGTAAACATGATAGTTCGCCCACCGCCACCAGACTTGTGAAGAGGGATCTAGAACTGAACAGGATATCAGTCGATTTCCGAAAAGTCGTACAAACAGAAAACACATACGAAGAAGGTGCGAGTATACCATGATAAAGATTAGCTGTCTATATGTTAGAAGGATGCGTGTCATAATCGAGGTCTAGCATAAATAAGCATCAGCAGGAGGAAACAATAGGACATGTATTTGTACCGGTCGACCATCAATCTCTCCTTGGTCCGACTCCCAGTTGTCAGCACCGATCGTAGGTAAAATACGAGATGCAACTTGCAATATTGAAAGACGATAGAGTAGCGCAACGAGTACAGGCTTGGGGAGGGTATTCGTGATGAAGTTTACAAGTGTCTGTAAATGTGGAAGGATATTTGAAAGCAGAGGGGCACTGGGGAGGCGTCAGTAAGCATGAATACGTGAGACTGCAGTAGAACATACTAGGAGGAAGCAGGGTCGGAGAACGATGTTTGATCAAACCCGCAGAGCCACACGTTATATGCAAGAAAGAGTGCGAGGAGAGAGGCCTCGACAACGTTGGTGCGTCGTAACCGGAAACCGATAAGAACGAGGAACAGGAATGCTGTCAATGCTACGCCCAGCAACGTAGACGACAAAGGAGATGCGGCAGCTGCAGGGTATGCCTGTATAAAATTTAGTATGTGACATGATTTAGGAAGACACGAAGCAGCGCGCACGATGACGACCCACCACGCAGCTGCAACGAATGCAGCTGCTGTTAGGATGAGAATCACGAACTGGTAACTTTCTGCTTCATCCGCAATGCCTCTGCCTATTTGGCCCGCTTTCTGCGCGAACAGTAGACTAGAAAGACCCTCCATGGCCACGTAGGAAGGACCGCAGACTGTGAGGAGTTTTCCCCACCAATAGACTGCAGTGGCAAGCCAAGGTTGTGCAGATTGCGAGAAGGCATTGAAAGTGACGAGAAGGAGAAAGGGATGCATTGGCACTTGCATGATGGAGAGGGCGTTGGATCCCCAGAGTAATATGAGAGTTCCATGAATGAGGGAGTGAATGGAGAGCAGAAGTGAAAGCAAGAGAAAAGCTTGCGTTGAAAGGGTCGCTAGCGTCAATGGCAAGAAAAGTAAGATCTGTAAGGCCGTCGACAACCTAAATTTAAGCCTATAGTCAGATGCTTAGGAAGTGTTGAATGACACCGAATCGAAGACCTAGCGGTATGCGACAAGGCGCTCCAAAGTAGCCATGGGTTCATTATGTTGAAGGATTTAAAGAACGAAAGAAGGAGAGGTTAGTCTGTAGCGCAACTACAGGGAAGGAAAGCGCTGCCAAAGTGTGGCGTTTGGATAAACGCTCGACGGTTCACACGAGAAGTTGAGCTAACAGTTGGAACTCAGCGTGTTACTGAGGGAAAAGGATCAAACTACCCTACCAGTAGATATACGCTAGCTTATATACTGTAGGGTACAGAATGTCATGGAATAAGGAAGCAGGAAACTGCAATGAATGCTAGTCACAAGAACATGTATAGCAGTAGACTCGTCTAAGATTCCCACGAATCAAACATCTTGGTATGTACCATCAGGGCTCCACTGCCCATCACACTTGACATAGAATACCCGCAATATCACTTCCAGTAATCTCTGTGCATGGCTATTTAAATCGCTCGCCTCTCATCACCGTTCCTGTCACCCTTGTTCCGTCGAGTTTCGTGGTTGTGTTGCTCACTATCTTCCATATCCAACTCTCGGCGCGAGTTTCAGGCGTCCGGATATCGCTACTGTGTGCTTCGACTTCGGTTCATTTCTCGTACTCGGAACGCGGCCGCTGTCTGATGAATTTCCGGCTTGGTTCGGTCACACTAACAGACTATTGCAAATCACCTGTCGAGTGTCATCGCACCCATGGTGCCTCTCCTGTCATCTGTGTATATGCAGATGAGGTTGCTGAGGTTCTTCGTTGTCCCCCTCCGGACTGTTATATGACTCGCTCAATTGTTTTTGTGTTCCATGGTCTGCCCTTGCCATAAGTTTTTTCCTGTGCACTCCATCTGTTGATGTGCAATTGCAGCGCATCCGCTGGCTACCCTTTGATGGTTGCCCCGTCTTAAAGGCTCGGTCTCGTACCAAGACCAGCTTGCCACGTCCGTGATCGTGATATGTATTCGCGCGCGCAGGCCGTGGACTCCCACGGTTGGCCCTTCATGGCAGCTAGCGCTCATACGACGACATGCTTGTTCCAATCCTCTGATCCTGTGCAGCCCGAGGTCTTTCATGGAATTACTTGTGCGCACGACATGAACAGTGTGTCTACTGCTCCGCTCTTTCCACACATGCCATCTAATGTCAATGGCTTCCTCAGCTTTATCGTTGTTGGTCCATGTAAATTCAATCTTAATCAGCTTGGCACGGTCTTCCGTATGCGTAAACTTAAGATCCGGGAGGAGGTGCTGTGTGTCACATATTCACAATCAAGCTGTACTGGTAGCAGCCGCTAGCCACACCTCTACAGCACATGGGATCTCGTCTGTACCTGCTGTGGCGCGTGCTTGTCAGAATGCAGACACCAGACAAGGCAATCAATCGACCATGGATAACTGAAATCATGATCATACCCGGGTACTGCTATGTGCCATAGCAACTCACTTGCTTTTCTAACTTAATTTCTAGGACCAGTTCTTGTCCGGACCGTTGGCTAATGTTCGAGTTCGATGGCCTTGAGATATCGTGAACAGGTTCGGGTTCGGGTTGTCAGACATGCCACACCTCGAACCAGTTCTGAATCGCACCGCAGCAATATTACTCTTGACGAGCTGCTGCGTTGCACAAAGCCTCACTTGAAAGAAAGAAACACGTCGGCGCGCATTATTTAATATTCACAGCTACACACACCAACACAAAGGTCTACAAAACAATTAATTGACATTACTGTACAGATCCTAATAGCAATGGAACACAACAAAGACAGCGATGCATAGATGAGATACAGTGAAGGTACCGCAAGGAAAGATATTAAATGGACAGCTGGGGGGCGTTTTCGCGAGGTTGGACTGGAGTCAAGGCTATACGTGGGCTGAGGAAGCCCTTGGCCGCGGCAAAGTCAGTGTCACGATTTAGCGCCGCTGGGTCAGAAGGAGAGACATAGAATTTGTCGACGATGGGAATCTGCAGGAGGTTCATTTTGGGTGTGATCACGACCATGTTGTTCGTGCGAATCTCCATCCAGTCCGCTTTTTCGAAAGTAAGTGGCTCACTGGCAATCTGCAATTGGAGCGATCAGAAATGAGAACGGATGACCAGATTAGAAGAGTTCCACCATGATAATGTTTTCTCTTTTATCAGCTTTCGCCATCCTGTAATGACCGCCTTGGGCGTACTCACTGAATGTCGTCCCAGATGAGAACCACTGTTATTTAATGCGATCAGAACCCATTGCCATACGATTCAGTGATAAACCCTACCAACGATGCGGCTTCATCGTGCCGAGAGGAAATGTAACGCGTTGCAATGACACTTTCGCCATCTGTGACACAAAAGTTCATCAAGCTTGGCTAGTCGACTCTCAGCAATACTGCATAGGAAAATCAACTTCAATTCACCTCAGTGATACCGGCTTGCTCGGCATACAAATTTAAAGTTGCAATGGTATCCAACATTGCCTGCTGCAGGCTGCGAGTTGTAAAACTCTTAGCCTTTGGGTCGGGAAGCTGCGTATGCACAACTATGTTTAGATGAAAGATAATGAAGGTACCAAGGAACATACCTTCGACAGCAGTAGCGCAAAAGCGCACTCAGAGTCTACGAGAAATGGTTATGATTCATTCTTTCTCATGAGTATTCCATTCACCTGTGTTCCCTTGTACTATATTAAAGACATCGTCCGAGAGATCGGCCTGCAGTCGTCGCTTTATCAGATGAAAGCCTGCAATACCGCCGTTATGCATGAACTACATAGCGAGCAAGTCAGCAAGGGCAATCATACGGACATACACGTCACTGACATACCATAAGTTTTCCATATGTGAATGGATGGCAGTTGTCTAAAGACAAAGAACCAGTGGTGGTCGCACGGACGTGCCCGCTAACACAATACTTGTTCAGCACAATATACCGGAGCGGCAGGCGACTCCAGCGACTCACAAGACAAGCGGTGACTTGATCTTCTCTGCTAATCGGATCAAGTTTGCGTTATTCCATGCCTGATATGCAAAAGATCAGTCAGTTGATGGTACGACTCTGGTGACACGGCACGCGTACCGGTGAAACGGAAGTAAATATACAAGGTTGGCTGCCAAGTTCCTCATCGTGGATGGAATCATACCAGCCTGAACCTTTAAGTCCCAAAGTTGTCTTGAAATGATTCAGAAAGCGACTCACCAACGCCAAAGCCGTCACCGTTTATCGGCCGACGATGGTCGAGACGTAGGCGCGAATCAAAGGCCTGGTTTATAATGGAATGGCACGGTCGAGTTAAGAGCTAGGAGTGGGAAGGTCAGTGTCTTTTTTGCAACAATCAGCTTCGAATTAGCTACTAACGTGAGACAGTTGCACAGGTGATGTGCCCTTGTAAATCACGAAGCGGCACATGCGCGAGTGTGAAGTCGGTCCAGGGTGAAAGGGTTTTATTTGATTGTAAAGGTAAATGTTATGGAGTGAAAATGGAGTAGATGGACACGTAGCAAAACTGGAGTCATGCAACTCTGGCCAGCCGCACTGAGTGCAACAGCTGGTGCATAAAATACGTGATGATGACTTGAGATTTGCTCCGGATTACGTCTTATCGCATGTGAACGACTTGCTACAATTGATCGATCTTATTTAATACAAAAGTATGATCACACTCTGATCAGACAACCAAATCAGATAATCGTTGACTCGATGCCAGCAGAAGTGGTGTCTGATGATATCTGTACTGCAATTCGGTGAGTGCTGGAGCAGTCCGCATGGGCCCACGTAGGCAAGTAGCTCATTTCTATTCCTCCATTAATCCTGTTACAGAGTACACATCGGGTACCAATGTCCAAATCTAAACGTGATTGTGAATTCAAATAAATTCTTTTGGTCTCTGTGATGGGTCACCACCCGCTTCATCATACACAAGACCAGCGACACGAAACGCAAGTTCTAAAAAGACCATGAGTGTGTGATCAACAAACAGAAGAAAGCAACGTCACCATCAGCCTCAGCACGTGTTGCTGCTTCAGCATAAACCCTGACTACATCCTCCGTACCACTCGGTCTCACGAACGAGCGACCCCCTCCGTACTTACGCATAAGCTCGTCGACCTTGACCTGCAGTCCGAGAGGGCTGACTAGGCGTCTCTCCGCATCCTCCGTCTTGAACGCATTCCGATCACTCACGACAACTTTCACAAGACGGTTCGGGAGGTCACAATACATGGAGTCCCACTCCACACCGCTAAAAGACTTGTGTGCTAGAACTGCTTCCACTAGGAATGCATCTGAGAGAGCATCGCCAACCGTTTGGTTAATCACATCGATGATGTTCCTCAGGTTTGTGAGCGCCTGAGGAAGGTGTGTGGCTGGAAATCAATTCCTGAGCAGCGGGCGAGAATAAAACCGTGCCGTGCCCATTGGCCTCAAAATAGACCCCAATGTCGTACTGTTCTGCAGCATGGTGCAAGTGTTTCACACCTGTAGGAACACACTTGACAGGAAGTCTCTGAGATTGCAGAATTAGATTTCTAATCATACTATATTCATCGTCCCACTTACCCCGGAAAGGTACTTTGTCGAGCTTCCGTTCGCATATGCCGTCTGGATGACGCCGACTTTGATTTGCTCATCCAATCCCGAGGCCTTCACCAGCTCAACGATATAACTCGCCACAAGTGTCGTAATCTTGTCTCCGTCGAGCATATGGAACTGGCCATGTTCATCTGCGTAGTAATACATAAGGCGATCGGCGTCTCCATCTAAACTGCAAGCTCGTTGTCCTGGCTGCAGAGTGATGGAAGGAGGTAGCTTCTGATTGACTTTGACAAAGTCCGCGCCACAGGAGTTGTTCAGTACGCCAGGGGTATGCAGGTCTGCGTTCACGACATTGATCGCGAAGATATCTCCGAGATATGCTTTGAATCTCTCAGCCATCAAGGCACCAACGCCGTTCGCACAGTCGATGAGTAACGGCGGCGGCGGGGGTTTTCCAGCCTGTACTAGAAATGAGCGTCATATATGCGCATATATGCAACACTCACAAGCAGCTTTTTGAAGGCATCGCTTATTTTCGTAAGATATCCTTCCTCAGTATCCTCGCCGTACGAATCTTTAGTGCCTTTGGTGTTGATTGTCCTCACTAAGTAGTGGAGCACTGGTGTTGTGGTAACGCCAGCGTCCCTATACTCTGCCTTGATCGCTTCCAACCCATCCTTAAGGGCGGCAACAAGTTGCGGGCCTGTCGGGCGTGTGTCTCTGGCATACACCACACGGGCGGGAATCGAGAGGTCTATTTTGGTCGCTCTCACCAGTTCGTCGACCACAGCAACGAAAGCAACACTGCTGGGCGCGTTTGCGAGTGCGGTAGCGTGTGCCTCCCATGACGACTCGAGCATCTCGCCGCGTGGGTCAACGAGTTTGACTCCGTTGTCCTATAAAGGGGTGCACCGTTGGACTCAAGGCGATCAGTGCACATATGAAGGTACATACAGGCTCCGGATTGTGTGAGGCAGTCACCATTACACCAATAGTCTTTCCATCCAGTTTCTTGCTTCGAAGGGCTGCGAGGAACACCCACTCTGAAAAGCACTGAATCGAGGGTCTTTCCCCTAGTCACTACTATCAGATTGATGAATGCCAATATCAGACGCAAGCGTACAGTGTTCTGAAACCTGCAGTCCCATACTGAAACTTGATATCCGAAGGCTTGGGGTGACGATCAGATCGTTCTTGTATTTCTTTGACGGGGAGCATGGTGGTTACGGAAAGACGATGCTTAACGCTCAGCGCTCATCATGATCGCAATGTATCACGTGACCCAGTTGTTGCAACGTATACCTTGTCGTTGTGCAAGACTACGACGAACCAATTTTTGGTCCATGCTGGCTAAATGGTGGCTTCCCTCTTTCTCTGGCTCCTGCATCTTGTACATGCCTCGCTAGTGTTTCTGACAACTAAGTTTCGAAAACGCCGATATTTACCTCCTCAATCCTTAACCGCGTACCGCAGCAAGCTACCAAAACACTTGGCAATCATCCTGGTCTCCCATGATGCGGCGAATCCCAAGCACACGGAAGAACTGTTTATGGAGTGCTTAGTTAGGGTTGTCAAATGGTGCAAAGCGTCAGGTATAGAGCAGCTTACCGCATATGATGCTGAGGGTAAACTTTTTGTCGGGATGTTATTATTATTGCTCACATTGAACGATCCTCAGGTACACTGTTAGGGTGCTCTGACATTATCAAGGAACGCCTGACACATCATGATGGTCTGCCCACCGACGAGAGTGAATCAGAAGTCGAGTATCCGTTGACCCCTCCACTTTCCGAGGCCTCAGAGTCAAGAAGCCATTCGCCCGACTTTGGAGACTTTCCCGTACAACTCAACGTTACAACAGTATGCTCCTTCAGGAAAGGCGCTTCGCATCATAGGCCAAGAGAAGTTGCTGTTCGCCGACGAGCGCACCGTAGGTAGATTGCTCTACAGTCAAAAGGACTATTAACATGTCATTTACAGACAAGCATTCTCATAAGCCTTTGACACTCCATATAATTTCACGCAGTGCTTCAAAGGCTGCCATTGCATCTGCTGCACGCTTCCTTTTAGATGAAGAAGTTTGCAGGCGCCAGAACAGTCAGGACCTGGACCACGTCAAGGCATACGAACTTCCTATCTCTGAATTGAATTCGATATTAGAAGGAAGGTTCACTCTGTGTTGAATTTCACCCATCTGACTTCTGTATTAGGAGGTCTACCATCACCGGACTTCATGATTGTCCATGATGTCCATCCGCAGGACCTCCCGCCTCCTCTCGAACTACACGGTTTCCCTCCATGGCAGATGGCGTTCACAGAAATCCAGTAAGTTGCGGATTGACGTATTGCTGTGTTAGATTGACACTTGGCATGACACAGCCGGACTATTGTTCATGACGTCGGTCCAAAGAATCCAATGGCAAGCTTAATCACTGAGGAAGCGTTCTGTCGTGCCTTAGACGAGTACGCCGGCGCTCAGTTTCGATTGGGGAGGTAATTTCATCTTGACAGTAACCTCTTTTGGTTGTACATGCTATGTCCGGCACTCGGACGTTGGCGTTCATCGCCTGACTGGGTACAGCATGTACTTTAGATTTTGAGTATCCTAGCAAAGGCACAAGCATGTTGGTACCGACTTCCGAGCTATTAGAGGATACCTTAAATTATTGTTCATTCTAATTAGAGAATGAGAGCGGTTCTCTTCAAAGGCCGGACGAAGCGGTGTGTGTGATAATTTATCAATAGTACTTGGTAATGATCTAACACATGGCCACTCACCAATCTCGGGCCGCCGTTGCTGTGTGACTCTATTTGAGCCTCCAGGGTCAATCATTAGCAGGCTTCGTGTTTATTACGACCTTGCTATCGATCTCCTACAGGTACTACTAGCATTTCCCCGTGGCAAGCGGCTATTCAAACGTGAAACGAAATACCTGAAACTAGAATTCAAATCGGCATCAGATCCCAAGTCGAGCCGCGCCGAGAATCCAGCGCTCGCTCAGCCTTAGTAACATTTTCACATCGGCGGTTTCACCAATTGAGATTGATGTGGCAAGTCCTGTGTTTATGATATCAGCGTGCTCATATGGCTTGATTGTGGCTATAATAATATTGGCCGCGAGAAGGAATACAGCATAAATACTCCCGCATCGTTCTTGTCTGCACCTCAACTTTCCCCTGGACTGAGTCATGATCACCGCCAGAGTCAAGCTCGACGTTGCACAACTACCAAGGGCCTCAACTGAACCCTTCCAAGTTGGCGCTAAATTTAAGAAAAGAATCATCGTGTGCTGCGATGGGTAAGCCGGTTATGAAATCTTGGGCGCTACCGTTATCTGACGCTGGTGTTCGTTTAGAACCTGGCAAGACGGATTGATCGTGAAGGAGTGTTGGCAGCAAACCAATATCCTGGTGCGTCGATTGTACACATTTGGGAATTTAATACACACTCGTCTTTCAGAAACTATCGCGGGGATTGGAACATGTGGATGAACGATCGTAAGCTCATCTGTGCCATGTTCTTATTTCGTCATTCATATGCGTTGACAGGGGAGTTCTGATCCCGCAGATCGTCTACTACCAGTGTGGCGTTGGAACTGAGCATAATATCTACTCTGAATATGTCGATGGTTCGTGGGATGAGTTCGTTGGTAGTATGGAGCTAACGATCCTCCTTTGGATCAGGTGCGACAGGAGGATCCCTCGGTAAGATCATATCTCGCTCGCTGATTTTGGCAAGGATTTACGACTCTATACAGGTGAAAAGGTCCAAGAGGCTTATGCGTTCATTGCCCAGTAAGTCTTGCCGAATACATACTTAACTACGGCTTAGACATATATTTGCAGAAACTACCACCCCGGTGATGAAGTAAGATATTAGCCTGTTTCGTTCGACTTCTTCATTTCAGACTGACGTCGTCATCTAAGATATTCCTCTTTGGCTTCTCTAGGGTATGCAATGGTACACTAGCATGAAATTCCACCATGGCTGACGTTTTCATTAGGGTGCATATACCGCACGGATGGTAGCCATGTTTATCGTAAGTAGACCTTTGCTGTCGACGCTCGTCTCAGAAACTAAACCTTCATTTAGGGTGCTATCGGTGTTCTAGACCGCACCGACATGGATAGCTTTGCCAGTATATTTATTGCATACCAAAAACTTGGCAAAGAGACTGACCAAAGAGGTTTGTCACGTTGACTATCATTATTCCGGTAATTTTGATTGCACTTCAGAGATCGAAAAGCTCGACGCATTGTTGAGCCACTGGACCTCCCCTGATTCCCGGGGCAAGAGAAGAGCTCGCTCTGATAATAACACTTTCTCCATAAAGTGAGCTTCATCGGTTCATCCGTGGCAGTAACAATGACTAAGATGCGTCTTCAGATGTGTCGGTGTTTTTGATACTGTCGGTTCGGTCGGTCTACCTGAAGAATTAACGCATAAGTCGCCTTCCACAAAATCTATTTTTGGCTTTCCCAACAACGAACTTGGGGAACATATTGAACGTGCATATCATGCGCTTGCTATCAACGAAACCAGACTAGACTTTGTAAGTTCGAATACTGACTCACGGGATTTCTTTCAACATCTATTCTAGGACTGCTGCAAATTTGCGCAAACGGACGGCGGGCGACGGAAAGGGCAGATTTTGAAACAGGTAATTGTATTTTGATTGGCTTGCAGATTTTTACTTAGAGTTCTTTACAGTGCTGGTTTTCTGGTAAGATTTGGGACAATACAATTCTTGTGCATATCTCATCGATGAACACATGTACGTCATAGGTGAACATTCAGACGTAAGCGATGAACATTCATTATCGCAACCATCTGCTGATCGTCTAAACCAATAGGTCGGAGGTGGCTGGCAAAAACATGACTTATCTGACATAACTCTTGCGTGGATGATGGTGAGTGTCTGAGTCTATGGTGCGATTGCTTCTGAATGCGTCGCTCACTATGCAGGCCAATATTGGTGACATGTTGTCCATTGATACTGCATACATCTTATCGCTATCGGATCCAGTGGCGCCTTGGGGAGAGCAGCCCCCACACGAGTAAGTCGACAAGTGTATCATACTGTTCATTCAGAGCGCTCATATGATTATTGCAGTCCGCGCACCGGTATATTCGTATTATCGCAGGCAAATGTCAGAAAACTTCCAACGGTCACGGATGACATCACGCACGAAACAATCCACCCCTCTGTTCTCCGACAGAAACATTCAATTTCATCCAATCCCGCTCTTCTTTGCAACTTGCTACCTCTGGAGGAAGAGCTACAGAAGAAATGGCCATATATTGAAGGGAAACACGATTTGAACCACCAGGTAAACGGAGTAGTACACACGCGATCAGTCTCTTGGTCTTTCGGCTCGGCCAGGCAGGCAGACCGTGTGGGAACACACTCAGATCGTGACGTCCCTGAAACACAAGTTACAACATCTCAGACTACGGGTCATGATACATCTCTGTTTGGAAGCCTCCGACACATGTTGGGCCCGTTAGCGCAGTTATGAATAGCGAGTCTTTGTTACTGCTATTTCATGGATTCGAATTACGTTAATCTTATCATATATATACCATGATTTTCTATATGGATTATTTCACTCAACGCGCGCGCGGTGCATGTACCATGTTACGGTTGCAAGTAAATGAGGTCGGAGCTTTGTACTAATTTTATGTGGCGTTCGGCTGTTAGAGCTGTGCTCACTGCTTGTTAGAGGCAGGAATATTTTGTTTTAGTGCTAGTCCACGACTCGGATGTCTTGAACAGTTCTTATCCTTTGGACATCCTTTCGTCTCCTTCCTTGAAGCACAAAATACATTTAAAGACATGCTTTCAGAGGACGACATCTATCGCGGCAAGGTGCCCTCTGCCCTACCTATCATTGCGGAGTCGGTAGCACCTGCATCATCTACTTCATCATTAACATCATCCGGGTCCTTCATCGCGGGTCGCTTGGGAGCTCTTGCCGCTGTATTAGAAAATGCAATCACCCGTTGGGCTCGAAGGAGAAGTTCATCAGCTTCAACTTCATCATCATCCCCTAGTTCTACATCTTTCCGCTCTTCTATCTACACGCCTTCTCGCCATCGCCATAGTCGGCGGCGCAAGAGACCAACAAGCTTCGCTAACATGCGTTCCACACATTCCGAACGTGAGGTAGCTGCTCGTCTTAGGGTCAGACAGGAAATTAGATGTGTTGATAGAGGGTATACCCTATACCTGCCACCCGGTTTGAATCCCGAGATCACCATGACCCGGTTGTCGGAATCTTTGGATCGACCTCAGCAGTCTGTCTCTCTATCTGATGTCCTCAACCGTTTGGAGGCTGCGTTGAAGAAGGCATCAAGGGCAAAAAAGGGCAAAGGGAAACAACGTCAATTCAGCCTTGGCACACCTCCGCTTTTCCCGCATCATGATTATATGTCTAATGGTGTGCTCTCGCGACCTGCGTCTTTCGGTGATCTCTCCTCCGCCTTGCTGTCTTCCGTCCAAGGGAAACAGAAAGAATTCTCTTCAGGGAATCGTACGCCCAACGAATCGGCTCCCAGAGGCTCGCTCGAGCTCAATCGAGCTCCCAAAGCCTGGTGGCTTGACGTCGCCAGTCCCACTTGGGACGACTTACAAGCAATTGGCAAGGTAGGTGCATTCGTGTCGTCAGCATGCCATGCTGATTTGATGAGTAGCTCCTACATATTCATCCTCTCACACTTGAGGATATTCTTCAACAAGATCCGCGCGAAAAAATGGAGCTCTTTTCAAGACTGGGTTATTATTTTATCTCGTTTAGAACTATACAGAATGCAACTGTCACGCAGCCGGGTAATGATGTTTACAAGGCTGACGACGGTGCTTTAAGAGAGGCTAACATATACGTGGTGGTATTCAAGGAAGGTATTTGCACGGTAGGTTCGCATTTTACGTTGGGCTTGTGAAGACCATGCTTAACGACATTTAGTTTTATTTCACAGATGTCTCAGGTAGGCCTGTATATTAGTAGAAAAACTCGATGTCTAACCTTGTCCAGAACACATCGAGAAAGTCAGGAATAGACTTCAACTTCTCCAGGACTCCTTTAATATGTCATCAGGTAACTATTGTATGAATTGCATGTTGTTCACACTGACGTACTTCCAAGACTGGATTGCTCATGGCATATTGGACTCTGTTGTGGATTCATTCTTTCCATTCCTCAAGGAGATCGAGCAACAAGTTCTAGCTGTAGAAGCTCTCGTATTTTCGAGCAACGACGTCTCTCACACTTCGTCGACAAACACTCTTGTTGATCTCATTCATATACCTGCGGATGACCAATGTGATTCCGACATCGAAAAACTGCCAGATATCCCTTCGAAAGAAATGGGAGAAACACCTCCCAGATACTTTCCTCGATTCACCCAGCCACTATTCTTCCGACGTTTAAAGTGCAGCCTTCAAAATCTGCGGAATACTTTTGCGACGACCCATAAGGTCAGAACACAAGCGACGACAACAAACACATTACTGCGCATGGCCAGGGCGAGAAGACTTGTTACTTCCTTGACCCGTCTTCTTGCTACAAAGTCGGAGGTCATATCGCAAATTCGCAAACGCTTTCTGATTGGTGGACGACAAACAACATCCCCTCAGGGGAACGACGACCTTGAAATCGCAATGTACATGGGGGATGTTCAAGGTAACGAGTTGTTTCGACCGTTCGCGATGCAACTGAGCTGTTTTGCAGATCATATATTGACTTTGCAGCAATCCCTTCACCACTATGAGCACATGCTCAGCGATTCTCACCCTGCATATCTGACTCAGCTACAAACTCGTCTCGCTATGAACAAAGGATACACTGACAAGGCCATTTTGGTGTTGTCTCTCATTAGTATTGGGATTTTGTGCCTTCAATTTCCGATCGGTATGTTAGCAGCTGTCCTCTAGTGTCATCATTGGCTTTTACTTTTCCATAGGGTTATTTTCACAAAACATCAAGATTCCGAAGAATAGCGTTCATCCTCCGGGCCCTTACAATTATTTCGTCATGGTCATACTTTTTTCGCTTAGCATTGGGACTGTTTTTCTCGCTACCGTGTGGCGCTGGTGGAATCAAGCGAAACGTACCCGATCAAGGCTTTCATAGGGAATTCTTCATACTTGCTGTTAATGCCTTCATGACTCTATGAACCGGTGTTGAGCCTAATCTAAAACATCAATATCGTCATGTAATTTACAGCAGTCAAAATATGGGTATGTAAATTTTGTGTACATTGTAATGGAAAGCAATATAGATGTGCAAGCTTAAAGCACTTTCCGATATATATCGAACGAATCATTGACTTCAAGAATCTCGTTTGGTGCCACACAATGTAAGAACTTGTTCGGTCTCTTCTAGAACGGCTTTAACTAACCGATGATAATTATAGTCAATATCAGGGCAGGCTGCAAACACGAGGACGAGTGCTCACCCTTTTCTCGATACTGTCCATGCTTCTGCTCGAGCTGCTTATATCCTGCTCGCAGTTTATCCTCTTGATCCCTGATCACCTCGTCCTCGCGTTGTAGCTTTTCAGCCTCCAAGCGCAACCTGGTCAGGGTCTGCGTGACATTTCGACGTAGAGTCTTCATGCCAGCAAGTTCTTCATGATACGTCGCACAAATGGCATCCCATTCTCGGTCTCACGGACAGACTGGTGAACCTCCAACGCCACTGAATATGGGAAATAAACCTACCAGCATGCTCGATTTCACCCGCCGCAGCGTTATACTTCGAAACCTGATCAGCCCAGTCGCGGTCCATCGCCCAAGATACGGTCTTAGCGGAGAACGCCATACTCAGGCGCAAGTCATTGTTGCTGCGTTTGAGGCTACTGCGTCTGCGAAGCGTATTTGGTTGAGGAGGGGAGTCGCTGGTAGGTTCGTCTTCGGAAGGAGGTGTGCTTACGCCCTCATCTTCTGCGAGGTGAACATAGCCAGGCTCAATGCTCTGCACCCGAGGAGCAGCTACGGGACTCTCGACCATGTTCAAGAAAACTGCTGAAGTGGAACCATGGTACGGATGAGGCAATGGTTCGGGCGAAACGATCGATAGTTTGCTGGCCGACATTGCTGCTGAGCAATTGCTGGGATCGGTACCGACTTCTGATGCTTCAGGAATGACGTGCATAGCGCGCGTGATTTCATGGAGACCAGTCTCAGCAAATCTTCGTGCATCATATGACATACTCCTGGAGTGCTTGTGTTGTCGCGTGCGGATATTGCTGATGTCTCGAACTCTGCTCTCCTGAGTGCTACTATGATCATCGAACCTATTCTCATGTGCGGTGAAAGTCGCGTGTACTTGGGTATCCATGGCCTCCTGATGTATACTTTCGTGGACCCTGCTTTCGTATGACTGACTTTGATGGTGCGAATGACTCTCATTTAGGATGATGGAGCTCGCAACGGGAGAAGGTTTGTGATCGCTTTGTATAGAACTCGCCTTGGAGGAGCGAGCACGTCGGGGAGATGTCGGGAGAGCTTTTGATGTGGAATGATCAGAGTGTGCTGCTGAGCGACGGGAATGGGTAGACTGGGTGGATGGACGACGAGATATGGTGTGTTGATGAGGAACCATATTTGTGCAGCGATCACAGCAGAATGAATTGCGTGGGCGGATGGAGTCGCCCACGGGAACCTTCTTAGATTCATCAGGCTCACCGTGGAGGCGAATCCACTTCTCCATCTCTTTTAATCTGAAATCTAGTGGCGCATGGATGGACAAGAAGGGAACCTTCGCAGAAGGCTTGCTGGCGGAATAAGAATGAGCTAGCCTCTGGCACTTTCTAATCATCCTATCCTTGAGGTGCCGTATTTCAAGGATACGGTCCCAAGATGCATCGAGCTTTTTAGCGAGCTCAGATTTCTCTGCTTTGAGCAGGCGAGCGTATAGCTGAGCGGTGCGGGGAGGTAAAAGCACCTGCAGTACGCCTGATTGAGAGTCATCAAAAGAGAAAGTTGTTATCCCTACCTTGAGCTCATTTGGAGTGTCTGTGCACTGGAGAAAACGCCATCCGGTTTTTTTTGTAGCCTCATCTGAAGGCTCTAGTTGACCTCTGATTGGACTGGCATGAAGGTATTCCAACGGAGGGAGTGTAGCAGTGCTGGCAGTTGAATCTCTGCGCATCAGAGTCAGGAAAGCGGAGCGGAGAGAGACTTTATTATAAAGGGAATATTATGCATATGACTCAAGCGAGATTCTCATTGTTCGATCGGTTGCTTGTTGAATGTACCTGTTTGTTGACAAGCTTTGTACACACTTCTGAGAATTTTTTACATATATGAATTGTCCAACGGGTCATTATGCATAATCAATCGTATGCATATGTGTAGCTGTGTGTAATAAGTATTCAAGGCTATGAAACATGCGGATTCGTCATTGATTCGAGGGTAAGCTGCTGTGCACAACCGGAACGTGGACCCTTCATGGGGATCCCTATTCAACGGCGTCCGATGTACCGTAGGCCACATTCAGTTCGCGAAGTTCTTTCTAGGCACTGTGGTGGTTCAACAATTCAGAGTTGCGATGAAAGAACGCCGGGAAGTTCGTGGTTTTCACTTGAGAAATTAGGTGAATGAAATGGGCATGTCCCTTTTCCGCTCCTGTCACAGAGGAGGGGCATATCACTTATCCGGCAAGCGCACGATAGCCTCGAGTTGTCAGGGAATGATGAGCGTCATCGCGAAGCATTCAAGTTTGAGTATTAAGTACGTGTCGATAGTACTTACTATTAGTATCATTGAGCCTGCTGTGTTGATGAATGAATTGTGGTTCGAATAATTACGAGGGGTTGTTCAAGCGCTGATGGCACCGCCCACAGCGCGTCTACGGTGTGTCTGGAGCACCGTCTGACGTTGTGAAACAGTGAAGCACTTCTCAAGAGCGCGTCGCAATTGTTTGGCTTTGTTTGCAAAGTCGACGTTCTCGGAAGAACCGATAATTGTCCCAAGTTGTGTTTTTGGACTTGGCAAAGAAATGCAGTCCACTACTCCTCCGACGTTCAACCTCTTTGGAAACAAGGATACTTCGTCAGACAAGAAAGATGCCAGTACATGTATGTTCTTTTGAATGCCTCCATCGTTTTGCTCATAAAAGATGCTCCTTTGTATAGTACCTACGACCGGTCTCTTCGGCCTGAAGCCTGCAACCGCAGCAGCTACTACCCCTACATGTGAGTTATCTGCGTTCAGTATCGACGACCTGTCTGATGGATATTGTGCAGCGTCAACACCACCAGTCAATTTGTTTGGTGCAAAGAACGCCTCTTCTGCAACCACAGCCCCTGCAGGTGAGATCACGTTTTACAGATGAATTAGGTCCGTCCTCAGCAGTCACACAGCGCCTGTGACCAACTTGTTTGGTGGTAAATCCACAACCACTGCCACTACAAGTAAGTATGTCTTATTGGCACGTCCTGTCTACGACCTCATTTCCCCCAGCCACACTACAAGGACAATCAACCCTTGGGCTGTCTAAGGAATCTGAAAAGCCAAAAGATGGTACGAGCAGTTTCCGATAAACTGATCCTCCATCCATCCATTCATTCCTACTGTTAGCAACCACCGCTACCGCCACTTCAGTAGTAGTGCCTCCACCATCGGCACTCAGGGGGAAAACCATCGAGGAAATAGTAAACAAGTGGTCATCTGAATTGGAAGTGCATGTCCGAGAGTTCAACAAGTTCGCTGGCGAAGTCGCTGTATGGGATCGGGCCTTGATGGAAAATGGTAACAACGTATGTTTGCTCCGCATTTATCGAATCCGTCGTCTGACAATATATGATACAGCTGGCTACTCTGTTTACCCATGTCCAGGCTGTAGAACGAGAACAAAATGACATCGATCAAGCTCTAGACCATATCGAGCAACAGCAGAAGGACCTCTCTGCGACCCTGGATGCGTACGAGCGATCTGCGGAAGAACTTTTTGGAGAAAGCGGTACTTTGCGGGCGCTCGATACTGGACCTGCTGATACTGAGCGGGATAAAAAGTGAGACCTAATATTATCTCGGGTTGAGACTGCACGATTTTGATTTCCGTTCCCCATCAGTTATATGCTGGCCACAGAGCTGCATGCTCATCTGGATGATTTATCTGGATCGTTGACACAGATGATTGATTCGGTCAATGCGCTATCTTTAATACCGAACGGGTCACAAGGGACAGTTGGAAACGATGATCCCATGATGCAGATATCTCAGATCTTGAGCAGCCATTTGGATAGCCTGCAGTGGATCGATGGGTCTGTGCGCGAAGTCGAGGGCAAGGTAAATGAGGTGGAGAGGCGCGTGCGAGAAGCGGGTGGAGTAAACATGGTAACGGGAAGCAGTGCGACAAAGACTAGGGGCTTTGGGTTAAACCGGTGAACTTAAGTGTCACTACCTACCGTCCTATAATATTGGTATGTTCTTGCAAGCTATATGAGTTGCAAAATGATTCCTGGTGCATGCAGCGCTAACATCAAACCTCATGTATTACCGCTCTATATACCCTTGAGAGCATGTTACTGCTACCATTGTGAATATGATATTTGTACCATTTCCCTACTCCCACTCGGAGTCGTATTGACTGTGCAGAAAGGACTTGTAATCGGCGGGAACGTACGTAAGACACGTGGGATTACATCTGATTACCCGGTTGGCCAGAGCGGCGGTAATAGTCTTCCCAGGTCCAACACACCTCCAGCTCGCGGTATACACACTGGACCCTCTATACATGTCGTCAACGTTGAAAAAATATGAAAATTTTCTCGTGAAAAACGTCTCTACCATCTCCACCCTCGAATCCTCGCTGAGGTCTGTAACATGGTTTCTACCTGGACGGTTCAAAGACGCCGATCTTGCTTCGGAGGGTCGTCAGTATTAACATTGCTATAATTCTTTGTTTGGTTCAAGCAATAACGTGCGGTCTTAGTGTCTGCGATACTCCATGTATCCAGCATGTATCATGATACCCTCCTGGCCAGAGTTGTGCAGAGTGACCCTCATTGGAAGCCTATCCTTCCCACCCCCTTGCACACGCGCTATACCCGCGCCTGGTCAGACAAGGTCACATTATACAAATGGGCGGCTCGATCTTTAGAGCTCATTCGCTTTACTCAACTTCTTGTTGAAATGTTGCTTCGGAGGAAAGTCTCAGACAAGAACCGGTGGAGAGGTATTGTGTTCCTCGAAACTGTGAAGTAAGTTCCAAGGTTGCTCTAACTACCCTGAGCTCGCGTCTGAATTTACTTCTAAAGAATGATTCTACGGTTCACGCTACTCAAAGTCACGACAAGACCACTTTTGTCTCCTCCAATTCCAGAACGCGACATTGATCCAGCATCGATGCCCCCTAGCTCTACGCACACTTCTCCGACGCTTGCTCCTACTTCTCCATCGCCGTCTTCCCCACCTACTCCGGATCATCTGAAGAATAATCACATTCCCTTGCAGCCAAATGCTTTGATGCTCACCCCCGCACCACCTGCCCGTGCTGACACATCAGTGGAGGATTATCTCCTCCCCAAAGCTCTTACAACGTCATCTGTCAAGCCCTCTATGCTACTGATGAAGCCTATGTCATCACCCTTGGAGTGGCTTTCCGAGTGCATCTATATCATTCGCCCCTTGGTTTATGGTGAGTGCAAAGTACGGGCCGGGATCTGACATGCTCACGACTTTCTTGTAGCGAGTATGTTAAGCACCAAGAAACACGAGGGCAAGGCTCTCGTGACTGCTTTTGCGATGGAGCTTATCTCTCGTAGTTTGAGGCGGACGCCATCACATTCTGCAGATCTAGAACGTGAAGAATATGCCCGCAGGGACAGGGATATTCTTTGGTACCTTCTGCGTGGCTCTGTATGGGAGACGTATTCGAGGTTTGTACATTTGCTGCCACTTTTGCTGAAGCATAATATCACAAAACTTTTTAGACCCAAGGTTGAGGCTGTTGTGGAGAAGACCGCTAATACGCCAATAATTGGAATCGTCAGTTCTCTCGTGAAGGATTGGATACCTCTTGTTGATGAATATTATTATTGTGAGTATTTTTGATGGATCCTTGCTCTCGCTGACAGTGACTGGCGCCAGATACTGCTCCTTAAATGCTAGCGTGCTATCTATGCCATCTTCCTCCAGATTTCATGTACACTGTTGTACCTATGCACTTAAACATTGCTGTAGTGTCGGTGTCTTGGGGTTCTGCCTTTACCTTTTCAGGAAACAAGCGAACTCTTGTCAGTAACCTTGCACGAGCCTATCGGTGTTACGACCATACAGAGACATATATTTGGATTTCTCGCTGTCTCACTCTTCCCTCAGTCCGTTATATCCGACTGAGGGTGATTTTTCTGTTTTCTTCACGCCGTACCTAGATCACTCATATACATACGCACTTACTGATATCAGGTGTCTATGTAGATTCATTAATCGGGACCGTAGTGCCCGGAGTTCCGCGATTCCCGTCCTTTACTGGTCAGCGTTTCAGTGCCATCATGATGTCACGATTGCTTGGTCCATTTGAACTGGACCGTAGTACGCGGAAATTCGCGATCCGCATCCTTTAATCGGCCACATCATGATGATCAAATACCAGCTGACGAACGTGGAGCTTTCCAGACTACCGTAATTTACGTCAAGTCAGCAAGTACTTAGGTAGACCGAGATCGTTATTGCTTCACGACCTCAGTTCCTACCTCCTTTAAAGCATCATGTCTGGTACTCTACCCCCAGTTCTCCCAGGTCCTCGTCGCATCGTGACTTCGCATGATAGCGACGGACAAGCCGTCGTTTCAGTTGACGGAACAGTTCATTCATCGGTGTGCACTCTATCCAGGTTACTAGTAGCACATAAGAATGACTTATCATCGTCCCAAACCTAGGTGATGATAGAAGGCTTACATGGTCATCGAACGGGCACATTCTGGGCTTCTACTGATGGTATGCCAACGAATGACAACAACTGTTTGTGAGTAGTATACTTGTAATATCCTAGCCCAGTATTTTCAATCACACGCAATAGGGAGGACGGCGGAGCCCGTCAAGTGGGTGACTTCGGATTATTTGCAAGTAACACGACCAATTTCATATACAGTGATCTTGGTCCCGGCGTTCGTACTCCGATGGTGCGTAGAGTTGTCTAACACATACGAAATTGATGGAACTAGAAGAACAGCATCGGACTCCTTCTATCGACTATAACATCCTCAGTACGTATATCCTTCGCCGTGCACGACGTACCCTGACTGAAGTATATCATGGATAGTCCATGGGGAACTCATTTTGATAACAGACGATGGGAAAGAAACCCACCTCAAGAACGCGGGAGATGTTGTGATTCAGAAGGGGACAAATCACGCTTGGAGAAACCCTGGGACGGAATGGACACGGTGGGCGACCGTTCTGGTCGATGCGAAACCAGCGGTGGTAAATGGACAGGAGCTGGGATTGTTTTTTGGAGATTGACAAGTAAATTGGAAAGATCTGCACCACTGAAGTAGGTGTCCACATAAAGTATTGTTTGAACAGGTTGCTGAACGTGTTCCTTACTCAGACATGAAACATTCAAGGCTGAGCATCGATTGAGTATTACAAGTAGTGTCTGGTATGCACATACTAGCTCTCCGTGCGAGGAAGACGATCGTTCCTCCTTTGTTGCACCAGGAGAAAATATATTACTGAAGGTTGACAAACAGGCCACCGTCTACTAGTAGTTGCGCGCCAGTGACATACTTTGCAAGATCGCTGGCAAGGAACACCATAGGCCCAGCTATGTCGTCGGGAGCTATATTTAGATCAAACTTCAGCAATAGCGCACACCCATATTTTCAGCTGAACCGTACCACCAAGTCTCCCGAGCACAGTCCTTTTGATCGTATACTCCCGCTTTTCTTCATTCGCAAGGTCCTCTTTATTGATGTCTGTGGCAATCGTGCCAGGAAGTATAGCGTTGCAGCGTATGTTATACTTCCCAAGAGCGATAGCACAACTTTGCATCATCGACACGATACCTGCCTTTGTCGGCGTGTAGTGACTACGCATTTTAAAACGTCGACTCTCGTTCATCAATGTATCAAGATACGAACCATTGGAATTCGCCACCCACGAGCGCTGAAATGGAAGCCAGACCGATGATAGATCCGCCTTGGGGGACCTGGCTCTTCATTTGGTTTGCCACCGCTGCACGAAACGCGATATCACCTTAGAGTCATATTAGTGTTACAGTCATGAGGGTACACACCTTGCACCACGTAAAAGGATCCATCCAAATTTACTTGTCGGGTACGTTCCCATATAGCATAGGGCATCGTCAAGAACTCAGCGAATGGACAAATTCCCGCATTACTGACGAGCACATCTGGTCTGAGCATCAGTTAAAATATCTCTTGTTTTACAAGTCCTACCGATTCGCCCGAACGCTTCGACGCCTGCTTCGACGATCTATTTCGGATATTGTGAGAACTCGAACAGCTGGTCGTTTATAATCTAAATAGCGCACCTTTTTTGAAGTTTCCGAATTCGCGATATCACCGGGCACACCGACTACTTGACAGTGATTGTGAGTCGTCACATATATTTCTTCTTTCAAAGACTGAAGCTCCACTTCGGTCTCCTGGTCTCCAAAGTAATGCAATATTAAACCAATTGCTCCATGTTTAGCCGATTCGACCGCGCATGCTCGACCAATACCTCGAGACGATCCAGTTATGCACACGATCTTGTTCGCCAGTAAAGCCATAGTCGAACAACTCAGGGAATCCATCTCTCTATATACAGCGTCATCCGGAATTCCGGGATGAAGTACGGGCAGACGGTGTCGACCGGTCCGCGAACTGAGTCTTCTATCATCTTGTGCTCCTCATGACCTTTGCACAAGTTCATCACACCTCCTTTCGATATCTAAAATGGGGGAACGTGACTGGCCATTGGGGCTGTTATTCGGCTACTGCTCCCCGCCGCTATGGGTTTATAAGGACCTATGATGCAGGGAAATGGGCATTCTACAAGTGCACTTTCCCCTCCCGACTTGAATTCATCATGGGACAAGCCAAGATGTGTGTCTGATTGTCTTAAAACGCTACGAGGATCTTAAAAGTTCTTTATTTTGCAGCTACTATGACTCTGACGCGGACTTAGGTGTCCTGAGCAACAAGAAAATTGTATTCCTCGGGCAAGTCATAGAGTCTGCTAGTGTATTCGGACCCCGTTCATTTCATTTCTTAGCTTTGGAAATCAGGGGTCTGCACAAGCGCAGAACTTACGCGACAGTGGCATCCCTAATGATCAAATCTTGATTGCCAACCGGGTAGATTCGTATGCTGAGACTGCGAAAGCCAAAGGCTTTCACGTCGAACACGACTTCGCAACAGCTGCTGAAGTTGCAGATGGTATGCATGAATTCATACTGTTCAACTCTAACTAATTGCAGGAATCCTTAGTGCTTTTTATCCTGATACCAGACCAGGTTCAACCCCGCGTGTTCAATGAGCAATTCTCGCCCAAGTTGAAGAGTGATGCCACCATTGTTGTTGCTTCCGGGTACAATGTTTTCTTCAACTTGTTAAAATTCCAGCCAGGGCAGGATGTTGTTATGGTTGCGCCACGGTAAGTCGATGACTGTACCATTTTGTCGAGTTACACAATCCCTGGCTGTCGCTTTTTTTACAGGATGATTGGCTCTTCAGTGCGCTCTCTCCACCAGAAGGGCCGTGGTTTCCCTTGCTTTGTTTCCGTCGAGCAGAATGGAACCGGCAAAGGCTTGGATGCAGCTCTTGCACTTTCCCGTGCCATTGGTGCAACCAAACAGGGAGCTATTGCTTCGTCAGTGCGGGAAGAGACTATGATGGATCTCATGGCTGAACAGGCGCTCTGGCCCAACATTATTATGATGTTCAGGTTTGAATACTACCAAAGTTTCAAACGCCACCGTAAATGACATAGTTGCCGTTAGGGAAGCTTTCAATGTCCTAAAGGATGCTGGATGCTCGGACGAGGCCCTTTGCTACGAAATGTGAGTTTTCTCTCAGACTTTATTTGTAATGAATGAATCCACCCCCAGGTGGATGTCGAAAGAACCTGCAGAGATCTTCGAGCGAGCCGCAGATGATGGTTTCGTCGCACAGGTAAGAATATGTATGAAGTAAAATGATATATGTCACTGATGCGCGGTAAAAAAACAAATAGCTCAAGCACCACTCTACTGTCTCCCAGTATGGTCAACTGAGTGGTTCACTCAAGCTCGAAGGAGGAGCCATGCGGGAACACTTCAAGGACATTCTGTACAACCAGGCATGATTTTGCTTTTTTAATTTCCAAACACTGCTGAATCCTCCCGTGCAGATATTGAGCGGCAAGTTCTGTGAGGCTTTCAGCCAAATTGAGGACGATCTCGACAAGGAAGGTGATACGAACCCCCTGAATGAGCTGTATAAACGATCAGAGGAGATGGAGCTCGTCAAGGCTGAGAAGCGCGTCAGAGCAAGGTTGGCTGGGCTTTTGTAGACAATTTTCATCGACTAAGCACCTGACCCTATGTACCACCACATTTAAGTACTTACATGTATCGTGTCCTTTGTATACACTAGTACTAGTGCCTGTATCCAAAAATCACATTTAAATGTGTGGCTGTGTTGCCACATGAAGTTTTCGCATGTTTGTTCCGAATCATTGCAAGCAACTCAAACACTGTCCACCACATCCACCACCAAGCAATATGGATATAGACATATCCCCCAACCGAAAATCGTGCGTCGTCCACACTCATTGTTTTGTTTCAACTTACCTACTGATATCCTCATGAGGTCTCGCAACCATTCCACTGATACCCATCGCACGAAGCGGTCTCTTCGTTCTGGGTCGCATGAGCGAGACCGTGACCGTCGTGAAAAGCGCAGAGAAAGAGATTATGACGACAAACGACGACGTAGTCGCGACAGAGGAAGTGAACGAGATTACCGTGATCGCTCGCGCGAGAGGTCCCACAGGGACCGGGATCGTGAAAAAGACAAAGACAGGCGTCATCGTGACGACGATAGACGAGAGCGAGGAGACGTTTATCGCCGTGAACGTGATGTGGGAGACCGTGACAGGCGCCGCAAGAGGGATGAAACTGATGAACCCCCGGATGAACGCTTGAAGAAGAAGAGACACGATGACATGGACGAGTCCTCTGCTGGACTTCCGCCCAAGGACAGTCCACGAAGGGGTCATGACCGTAGAGATCGCTCACGTGAACGTAGGTATCGTGACCCACGGGACGAGTTCGATGATCCCCCTCGGTTCCGGAGGGAAAGGGATCCTGCACTCGACAAACGTCCTTCCATCAATGACACTTCAATTAACGAGGAGGAGCCAGACAAGGTCTCGTTGAGGATGAGTACCCCGCCAATCAAGTACGCTACTTTTGTATCACTGTGACTTATTACTCATAATATTCAGACGACCCTCACCTACATACGAGGCTCCAGAAGACTACAATCCTGACGAACCTAAAGAAGACGATTCGGAAGCTCGGTCGGTCTTTGTTTCTCAGCTTGCCGCTCGTCTCACGGCGCGTGACCTTGGGTACTTTTTCGAGGATAAACTCGGTGAAGGCACAGTAATGGATTCTAGGATTGTCACGGACCGGCTGTCGCGCCGCTCTAAAGGGTGTGTTCCATCACTTCCTGAGATTGTTCTTGAGATGCTCATGCCTTTTGGTAGTATTGGATACGTCGAGTTCCGGTCGATTGATTTGGTAGAGAAAGCTATGTCATTGAGCGGAACAGTCGTAATGGGTCTTCCTATCATGGTTCAATTGACTGAGTCAGAAAGGAATAGGCTTCATCCAGGAGACGGGTGAGTTTTGCAGGTGTGGCGTGTTTCTATCATCTAATAGTTCGTCGAGGAACCTAAATCTTCCGCCTGGCGTTCATGCGCCTCATGGAGCTATGCAGTGAGCAAACTCCTCGGCTACTCGCTCCAAAGTTGTGACGTGTTGTTTTCCAGACTTTACGTTGGTTCCTTGCATTTCAACCTTACCGAATCCGATATCAAGCAGGTCTTTGAACCCTTCGGGGAATTGGAATTTGTCGATTTGCACAGGGACCCTATGACGGGGCGCAGCAAAGGTTACGCATTTGTGCAGTAAGTGGACGTTGTCTTGCCTTTTGAGCATCCGCTAAATTTAGCAGATATAAACGTGCCGAAGATGCCAGAATGGCTCTTGAACAGATGGAAGGTTTCGAGCTTGCTGGTAGAACGGTAGGGCATTCAAATCGCAAACTCATAGATTGTCATTCAATTTCAGCTACAGCTGAGAGTCAACACAGTCCACGAAAAGGGCACTGTGCGATACGCCCAGCAGGATTCGTTGGACGAAGCTGGCGGTGCGTTTTGATCAACGTTTCAAATTGTTTACTAATACTTTTATAGGCGGTAATTTGAACGCAGCATCACGTCAAGCACTAATGCAGAAACTTGCTAGAATCGAGCCTGCTCCGAAGCCGCAGCTTGTGTATGTAAAATTTAACTATACCGATGGTTTATCTTACACTTATTTGCAGCAACAAACCGAACATTCCACAGGCTATGCAGTCCCGTTCTGTCTTATTGAAGAATATGTTTGACCCAGAGGAGTGAGTTCACATTCAAGCAATCGATTTTCTTCTAACAAACTTTCTTGTGCTATAGGGAAACTGAACGTGACTGGGATAAAGAGCTTGCCGACGATGTCAAAGGCGAGTGTGAAGAAAAATATGGCAGAGTAGAGGCCATCAAAGTCGAAAGGGAGACACAGGTTTGCATCCTATTCGCATTTAGTTCTTGATTCAGTTCTTGAACGTAACTGCAGGGTGAGATTTACGTCAAGTTCGACGCAATCGAATCCGCCAAGAAAGCTGTACAAGGTCTGAACGCTCGGTGGTTCGGTGGCAAACAGGTCTCTGCGGTATTTATCTCCGATGCGATAATGGCTGCACATCAATAAGCAATATCTCCACCGACTGCGGTCGCCACTCGACTGACCTTTTCTCGACTTATTCCATGCTGAAGTGATGATGGTTTGAAGATATTGATGCTTGTATGCTACAGGTCTCTATTGGCCGATTCGGTTGGTGTTCCCAAACTTATGCTGTGCATAGTCTTCCGGAGAAAAGATAACAAGCACAGGCAGGTTGATCGCCGATTCTTGTTCATCTCATGACGAGTTTCATTTTCTCAGAGAATTCATTTTCTTGCCGTAGATTCTCGTACTGTCTAAATCCAGTCATTGATTGCCTTTATCCTGGTGGTGAGCCTGACAAGCCTGCACTCCAGGAGCGTGGGATATCTTCAGAGTGGTCACTAGGTCATGGTATGCACAGGTACACAAGCCTCGGATGATTGGTCCAGATCTTGCGGCAACGATATACAGCGATTTACATCGTTGGCGGTGCTTCGGAAAAACGGACTCCGTAAGTGCGAATGTGTCTCCTCCGCTATCTTGTGACACCATCCTGCAGCTCATGTGGTTTGGCGATATCTATGCCAAGTAGGACCTAACGGTCTAAGATAAGATGTCTGGTCACCTGAACAACTTACTCGGGATAGCACTTGTCCCTATATTATGTAGCTCGATATCAAGTTCATTGTTCCAATCCCCTTGAATCTGTTTTCCTTTTGCCATTGATATTCAACATGTCTGTTCAAAAAATCAACAGCCCCGAAAGGATGCTAGTACCTATGTACTGTATGAGCCCGAACGAGTTGATGATATGAAACTAACCAATGGGCCTCAGCGCATGCTGTGAAGATCCCGGGTCTTATCTTCTGTAGCGGGCAAACCCCTATGGACAGTACAGGCAACGTGGTCCCAGGAGACATCAAAGCCCACACTGCAAGTTCATCATGATGAACCCGCTACGTGTTGCCTGACACCCGAACTTTGCAGGCTCAATGCCTCTCTAACTTGACCGACGTATTGAATGCCGCTGGTTCGTCATGGGACAAGGTGGTGAAAGTGAATATTTACCTCAAGAGCATGGGCGACTACGCAGCTATGAACGAGGTGTATATCAAGGTCTGTCATAATCATTCCTTCTGAATGGGATTGGCTCATTGGCAACATTTTTAGACTCTCCCGGACCCTAAGCCGGCTCGTACATGTATCCAAGCTGGTGGACTGCCTTGGGATGTGGACGTAGAGATCGAAGCGATTGCTGCAGTTTGATTATCATACTTGCGATTTTCCAAGAATTACTATGTTCAGTCTTGTCAACATGAGTACTTACTACTTGATTCCGAGGTGACAAGACTCTGTTTGAACAGGGGTAGCACACCAATAATATTCGCCTTGAGCAGTAGGAAAGACCTAGATGACAGTAGTACCTATAGCACAGGCTTGGACGAAAAAAGTGGCCACATCCTCGTTATCACATTCAGCAACTGTACTTGGTACAAGATACTCGCAACTCCATTTATTCACAATGTACCAAAGGCCTCGGCAAGGTTCTCAACAGCATCACTCACGAGCTCGCGACCGACACTTAAAACACTGAAGAGTGGATGAGAAGAACATTAAATGAGAATGAACTCTTGTGACTTACCCTTATAGACAAAAGTCGGATAAATATGATCAGCCTAATCAATTCGTATGATAACAGTATGAGGAAGCATACCATCCATAGCCAAAATCTGATGCGGCGCCTTTGCATACCTGTTTGTGTGAGACTGGCACGCCAACTTTCTTGAGCCGTTCGCCGTATGCCAGGCCTTCGTCCCTAAGAATGTCAAGTTCCATCACCGCGATCCAGGTCTTTGGAGATTTGGCTAGCAGCTCATCGGGCGCAAAGATTGGAGAGTTGTCCCACTCGGTCCTTCTGACTCTTTTGGAACGTAGAAATTACGGAACCAGAGCATCCTCCCTGTATTCAGCCAGACTGTGTTTGCGTTCTCCTTCCAAGATGGGTACCGATCGTCCGTGTGGAGAGCAGTGTTGTCGGTCACCGGAACAATAAGCTGTGCAAGCTTCAGACGGATAGGCAGTGGTTTAAGCTCGGCAGCCTTCATGGAGATTATGGCAGCAAGATTACCGCCACTACAAAAAGAGTGGTCAGTTCAATTTCGATACATTAGATGACAATCACCTACGCAGATGAACCACCAACCGCCAGTCTCGTAGGATCGACCCCTAAGAGGGATTTTCCTTGATCAAAGACCCATTGCAGCGTTTCAAATGAATCTTCCACTGCGGCGGGGTAAGGATGTTCTGGCGCAAGGACGATAGTCTGGTGATGCTACAACACATTTTGCTCCTACAAGCTAGCGATAAGCACACAACGCTTGGTGTGTTTTGACACCTCATAATTTTACCTTTGCAAAGTCGAGAGCAGAAAGCGTTTTCTGAGCTAATGTTTCCGAGGGTCCATCCACCTTGTAGCACTGCTTCAATGTCACTGAAATTGAAAAGTGCCTCAAACTCACCACCGTGGTACCAGACGTATGCAGGCCAGCCGTCAGGGGGAGGAGTGCCCTCCGGCGTAAAGACGCGTACCTTACAGTGGCTCAAGTGATAGTCTTGAACACTGCCGACTGACAAGACCTCTGCGCTTCCTGGTACGGTGTCACCCTTACGGATGGCGGGATCCCAAGGTAGAGAGTGAGGTGGAACGAGATGAGCAACATATTTATTATGGAAGGCGACGTACTCGGGATCGAGACGGGGAAGGATCTCTGGGTCAATGGCTTGCGGAGCTGCCATTTCAACAACTGGATTCGGACTCGCAGGCTTCTGTCAAAGCGACAAGCAGACTGAGGCATTTTCCAAACCATATTCTCTTTGTAAAGGTTGGACGACTGACCTCGGTCAGAGCGGACCGATCTTGTAAGGTCACCAGGACATACGACGGAATTCCGTAGATATGAAGAACTGTTAATAGTATACAATCATAGTAGATACCGTCACAGCGGAGCTTGTAGGGCCGCGAATGACAAGCTTGCCACGTAATGTGCACAAATGATAGATACAAAAGGCAGTTGCAACCACATCATCACGAGGGGACACGTTATAGATTTTGGAGAGAAGCAGCTTACATTGTACAGTTATAAGCAAATTCTATCGGCGGGTTATTGACAACCAACCTCCCCGCAAAGGTCATGACACCCATACTGCAGACTAAAACGCCACTGCACTTTCTTAACCCCGATAAAGATGCATTAGTCGCTGATTTTGTGGGAAAACCACTCAATGCTCTGAGAACACCTGCTTTCATCGTGGACCGCGCGGTGTTCGCAGAGAACTGCAGGAAGATGCACGAGAATGCCAGAACCTGGGGAGCAACTTTTAGAGCACACTTGAAGACACACAAGGTAAGAGAGGTCAAGCACAGATGAAATTGACTGTGATGACTTCCATCAGACAGTCGAAGGAACGAAATTGCAGCTAGTTTCGGATACCGGCAGAGCTTCCGCGGTCGCTGTATCGACACTCATGGAAGCTTGGGGAGTCGTGCAAGGTGGTCTCGTAGCCGACTGGTACAGTCAAAGATGTCAGTCCAGAGGCATGTAAAATGGTTCCGACTCTCACTCATTTTTAGATTCTGTACGGCCTTCCAATTGGATTGAACAAGTTGGATGATCTGTCTGCTCTACATGCTGAGATGACAAAATACGGAGGAACCGTTCGTATTCTCTTAGATCATTTAGATCAAGTGAAATTTCTGGAGGAATACGAGGGGAAACAAGAGCACCCGAAGAAATGGTCTGCGTTTATCAAGATGAATGGCGGTCTAAAGTGTGTTCTCTGAATATCACTGATATATTACTCACAAAGATAGGCGAGCCGGGATACTTCCAGAGCCCGTATCTTTCAAGGCATTCATGCGGAGGGTGTTTGCATCTTCAGCAATTTCGGTGTTTGGATTTTACACCCACGCCGGATACTCGTATGGATCGACATCAGCGGAGGAAGCTACCTCGTATTTGACAGGAGAAGTGCGTCTTACCAATGACGCGGCGGCAATGGCCATGGAAGTTCTAGGCAGAGTCAGATAACAGAGAAGTCAACAATCAGCCATTCGTTCTGTCCGTGGGATCCACTCCGACTGCTCTTAGCGCAACCGCGGAAGCAAAGCTGAAGATGACATCCATACTCAATGGAACACTGGAGCTTCATACAGGTAAGCGAATTTCATCAAGAAGAGATTTGGCATGATATAAAGTACTTCGTACAGGAAATTATCCCATGCTCGATCTCCAGCAGTTACACACAACCTTGATCGATCGTCCACAGATCTCCCAGAAGGTCTTGGTCACCGTCATTTCATACTACCCCGGAAGAGGAAGTGATGGGCAAGACGAGGCCATGTGCGATGCTGGTGCCATAGCTATGAGCAAAGATACTGGTCGTATTCCAGGCTTCGGGGAGGTCGTTGGCAAGTCATGGAAGTTGGGAAGAATTTCACAGGAGCATGGTATATTGGTGCAAGTTCCCCCAGAGTCAGGTCGCACAGATCCTACGTTGAAGATCGGAGATACGATCGAGATTGTTGGGCAGCACGCTTGTTTGATAGCTGCCGCTCACTCGTGGTACTACATCATCGATTCGGATGAAGGAGGTGACAAAGTAGTTGACATCTGGGTCCCATGGAAGGGCTGGTAGCTCCAGGACCCAAAAAGGGTACTGGTCCAGCGATTTCTTATATCCACAGAACCGTTCCGTACATGATGTGTGACTGTAGCGTGCGTGGATTGTCCACAGACAACTAGGCATAGCAAATACCATTGGGAGGTGGAAAAGGACCAAACATTAGAGAGCACAACTGTCACAAAAATGATTTACCTCTCGTCTTATGATCGCTCGGAGGTCGTGAATGTGCAGGAGTCAGCGAAGCAAAGGCCGATTCCTTCCTTTTCCATTGCTGCTTGAAATTATATGTATGGCCATGTAGCCGAAGACGACACAGTGGAAGACATTGGTGAGAGGTAAATTATGTAGCAGCCATGAAACCACTGTGATGTGAATTAGAGAAAGAAATAACGGATCCCGGCCGGCGGCTTTCCCGGAGGGCCGTGACAAATATATACTAGACTTAAACTCATGTATTATGTAATTGAAGATATAAGTTGAACGTCCATGTTGAGACCGTGCGAACTTTGTAAGCCTCTCTGCAGTTGGCGGAAGCTTCACGAATAGGTACCTAAACCAACACCCTATTCCTCATCCTATGGCGCTAGACGAGTATGATGTAGATGCTACAGAACTTTTGGAAACTTACGGTTTGTTTTGGATGTTCTGTTGAATCAGATTCGTGCTCATCAACTTTCAGACTTCTTAATGAAGTACATTATCATCGGTGTGTTGTGCTTACCGGGAACGGTTGTTTTGGAGCAAGACTCATTGCACTTGCAGGAGAGGCAGGGACAGGCAAATCATGTTTGTTGCACCACTTTACCCACAACGCATGTTTGTCGTTTGTTTCTCTATGGGGTGTCAGTCTCAGGCCTCCTCACAGTCAAGGACCACTCTCAACATACCATCGGAGTAGAGTTCTCTAGTAAAACAGTAACGTTAGGAGAGAAGAGGATAAAACTTCAAGTAAGCTATGTCTTTCAGTGATTCCGCATCCCTTACAGTTTCCACAGCTATGGGACACTGCCGGTCAGGAGCGCTTTCGGTTCGTCGCGCTTTTGATGCGACTTGCTCCAATTCTGACTGCAGTACGGGGAACAGATCAGTGACGCGTAGCTACTACCGTGGCGCGGCTGGCGTAATTCTTGTATACGATATCACGAAGTTGGTGTATTCGTTTTTATTCACTGCCACGATCCTCATAGTTTTTACTGACAGCCGCGATTCTTTTTTGAATATGTCCCAGTGGCTCACTGATGCCAGAGCTTTAGCAAGCCCACATTTAGTTGCAGTCCTGGTTGGAAATAAGTCGGATAGGGAGGAGGACCGCGAAGTGGAGTGGGCTGAAGCTAGTGGATGGGCAGCGCAGAATGGTAATCCGTCGTTCCTCTGGCCTTCCATATATTGACGCTGTCAAAAGATGTTCACTTTCTCGAGGCTTCTTCATTAAGTGGCGACAACATCGAAGCTCCATTTCTACTTGCTGCAAGGTCTATCCTGCTTTCAATAGAGTCAGGAATCTTAGATCCCGAGAAACCCGGGAGCGGTGTCAGCTATGGGGACCGTGCCCTTCGAAGAGTGACCAGTTCTAGCCATCTTAGCTTTGGGAGTCTTAGTGGAGCTCGGAGGCGACGCTCGGAAAGGCTTCGATTCAAAAATTGGGCACCCTCGGGCAAATGTTGTTAAGTATCGATAATGGACTGTTCGGGTTAGAGTGCTACTTTTGCCAAGCTCGTTCCCCGCGTATGTGGTCGTACGCCTGGTGCTATCTCTTTGGATACCAGTGTTTTGTTCTGTTTTCGATCACATATTCTAATACTCAAACGCTGTACATCATTTCACCCTTGCGTTTTACTGATTCACAGCATCTAATATGTAATGGTGGATGCTTCATATCTCCCATCTATTCCCATAGTTATTCATCATCATTGTTGTTATCCCATCGTCATGGATAGTTATGTTTCATGTAGAAGGTTCGTTGTCAATGTCATATAGTATCCCCAACACCATGTGAGGCTCAGTACTTATTCTGTAACAACGTAGGGGTGAGTGAGATTCTTGAGCTGGGACTCGGAAGCTTTCAGGTATTGTGATATGAATGTTGGACTCCGGGCCGAATTTCAGGCCCGTCATGCCGCAGTGGCTGCCAGAGCGGAGTCACGGTTCTTCTCGAATCTTTGCAAGTACTACTATGCCGGCAGTGAGAGAAGTCAATATGGAATAGGTGAGCACTTATGGTTACTCACCAGCCTGGGTATCATATACTTACAGTCGCTGGTTCCTTTGTATGAATCTTGAATACATATCGGCGTCCCACTGTCCTTCGAAGTCGTGAAATACGGGTTTTCAACGATTCTATGCCAATAATGATCCTTTGGAGATGATTCCAATCACTGCGTTAAACATCGATTATTCCTGCGAGGTCATGCGAGAGGACCTCGAGGACTACTAAGTGCCAGTGTCGCCCTGCACGCCTCAAATCCTTGACTTGATCCAGGACGTAATTTTCTTCATAGCATGCGCAGCAGCGATAGTCACTGCGTTTCAGCAGACCGATACACAGATGAGGTATCAGGCAACTACGACCTTTAATTACATTACAAAATCTAGTGGTTTCGAGTTTTACTGATGGTTTCAAATTCTACCCCCAGTTGGTGGCTAGCTATCAATTCGGATCGCATTGGCAGATATTCTGTAGGTTCGTGGAGTCAGTTAGATGATGAGGGTAATTTCTCAAACTAACTTTGGCTGCTTTTTCGCAGTTACTTCCTCTGCTATGGTGATGTACCCTTATAGTGAGTAAGATACGTAGGATCCAGGAACCGCTAATATCCTTATTGCCAGCATTAACATTTGGATAAGAGGTAGGTCGATCCCATCACTGGAGCAGCCATCTTGCTGAACGATTTTGTAGGTTGAACCGGTCTGAGCAAGCAGAGTCATGCATCAGCAAAACAACGTGAAATATAATTCATCTGCGGCAGGGACAACGCCGGTCCCTCGTAACCGTTATGTATCCGGGTGTTTGTAGCCTGATTGCGCACGTTATGAATGTGGTTTGCAAGTCATGCTAACTTGACAGTATCATGCTAGGTGTGCTATATTGGAATATCATACGCTGTGTGTGTATGCTTGAAAGGCTAAGCAATCGATGCTGTGCTAATCAGCCATATCTTACAATCAGCATCAGTATATCGAGTAGATCTCCTTGTGGCATGCTCTACGTTTCCACTGACCGGCTGCATACATTAAATGTCCTCGCGATCTCTGTGACACATGTCGTGAGTTCCCTCCACCAATGTCCGCCATCTATGCTCAGCTGAATTGTCAGGCAATATCATGACCATTATGAATATCGTTGTATTTGCAATGCTTGGCAGTGAGTCGTGACGCGATACCTCAGTCATTGTGACTTAATTGAAACATCATGCAAGTCATCATGATCCTTCGGTTACACGTCACATACCAGTGATTAACAAAAATGCCGACGTTTCTTGTTCTTGTCTTCTTGGCTATCAAGATTGCCACCGGAGTGATCACCGCGATACCAATTATTCACATCTCAAAGGGAAAGCTTCATTCATGGATGAAAGACTTTGATGCATCAGGCTCATCGACGAGCTCAGCAGAAGTACTCATCCTGTCCGGTACCTATCAGGCCGATAACTATTACCTTCGAGGAGGATGATCTATATCTGTTTTCTATGACTTCGATGCTCACAACTGCATGGGAGGTCCTCACACTGTCTCGCAGTTTGGATTGCTGTCAAAAACACTTTCGTAAAATGCAACGACTATCAAAAGGGTGGCTTATCGCGGACTGTTTCATGGCGTTGATGAGGAGTCACATAGTTTGCTTTGCAAGGTGAGCTCAAAATGTAAATGTGGTTCTCTTTGTCTGCTGAAGCTTAAGTTCCGCGGATACCAGCTTTGGTTCGTGCATCCATCTCATCTATTTGTCTCCAATACTGTCAGCGGTATGCTGATCTGTCACTGACTCCTGCAACATGTATAACTGACCACGGTTCATCATTATATAGGACTTAAATTCCATGGAAGATCGTGTTTCTGTTGGCGTTCTTTTACGTTCATCCATATCTTTGTGCTGGGATCACATCCGATCCTTCAATTAGCGTTCGACTCACGCTAGGCTCGTGGCCGACTCCGATGTCGAAACTACCGTGAGTTCAGCTGTTTTTCTGGAAATGCTTGCTGTGTCAACTAGTAGTAGTGTGTAGCACGAGAAATGCTCGAAGTGGTTAACACTTGTCCGGGTACTCTGCAGGGAGCGGGACAATTATTTTTTTCCAAGCTTCATCGTGTACTCACATCTATGGTTGCCCGTGTCCGCAGGCTACGACTAAGTTGTCAATAATACCGTAACGATAGCCGCCATCGGATCACTGCTAGTCTACTCCTCATCTGGCCTCCATATGCCAATCGGGAGCGCTTCTGCCGGTCTTGCACAGCGATTTCAATTTTAGTGGGAATGTAGATGGAAAATTTGACAGACTACGTTGCACGCTATCTTGTATCGGTGTAAAAGTAACTTTGGTGCGCTGCATTCTTACCTCACCACAGATGCCGTCTATTCGCATGAGTGCTGAATTTGATTTCAGAACCCTACTCAAGTTTCAATCTTCGGGCTCTCTCCTTATGGATAAGCCACGTCTCCCATTGCAATGCCACGAACATCGGAATTGTAACTTGCCACGCATCGCCTCTGGCAAAATATATGAATCACAATGCCGCACTTGCCACTACTGCTTGCCCCGTACTGTCCACCATGACGCCTTGGCAGTGTGCATCGCTGTTGTTGTGTCGAAGTTGAGTTACCCGTCCTTTTCGGCGCAGTCTATCTACCAGAGCAGGCTCTAATCATGGTTTTCGGGTGTCAGGATGAATCGAGCTGGCAGGTATGGCTTTTCACTCTAATACCCTCGGTGCACTTTCTAGTCGAGCTAAATGTAACTTTGTGACATTGAGAAGCGAAGATGCAGCCATCTCTTGTGCATCTCGCAGTGCAATGTGTTCATTTGCTGTGAAAGATGGGCATACGGCCACAGACTGCCAGAGTGAATCTGATTGGTGCGCTCCGTTTTGGACAGATTGCAATTTTCCATGATCTTCAAGTTGCATGCTTTGCTAGGTGATTATGCTGACGCGGTCCCATTTCCAAACGACACGCTTCAACCTGACAGTGCATTAACTCGAATAACCTAGTCTTGTTACTTCCGCTCTTATTGGTGGATGGCACGTGCTAAGGAACATGTACTAGGGCGTAACCTGGCGCAACAGGTGTAACCCGATATGGAGGACGGAAGTGAGAAAATTTTCTCCCCTAAACCTGCTGCCATGGCTGTAACCAAGCTACTAGCCTCTACTAGCTTGTACAGCTATCCAACAGGACCTGGAGGCAAACCAATATGGGAAAGTCTTTTGTGAAGGATGCTGTGTCTTACAGCTCAACGTGGTATAAACATGCTTTTTTGTTTCTGTCTCTGTTATCGTGCCTTGCATCTTTCCCCAGATAAGCTTCTCACTAGGATTGGGTTGCTTGGCTGGTCCACAACAGTACTTGCGCACAGGTACCTTCTGATCGCCCATTAGACGCCGGGCTACTCTACAAACCTCACTATCTAGCTTCTCAATTTCGACTATGGCAATTACATTGATCACCACCGTCCCTGGATTGCACCTGCAGTCACCTTCATTGTCGATAATCACTTCCCCGATTACGCTGATGCATTCTCGGAAGTCCCCACAATCACCTGCGTTTCCGGATCTCTCCCCGATACTGCCCCTCCCGAGCCCAGTATCATCCACCTTCCAACACCGCGTCTCCACGAAGAGTACATCTCGTGTAACTCCTTCCCCGCGCATTCCACCAGAGCTTTTTTTGGATATCGTCTCGTTCCTTGCTGTTACAGACACGTCCACCATAACGGACATCCACGACCAGTCCAATCTCGCAGAAATCTGCAATTGCTCCCTTGTGAGCAAATCTTGGCTATACGCAGCCCGAGATCATTTATGGAGACATGTGCGACTCGGAGGTGGACGAAGAGGAAATACTTTCATTGAGTTACTGCAACATTACACCTCAGGGCATGAATCCACCCTTCCGAGTTTTGTTCCGCACGTCAAACACCTCTTCATTCGTGAATCGCGGGGAGGTTTATCGTGGGGCCCAAAATGGCTTAACGCCGTCTTGCCAACCCTAGCTGGCTCGCTCGTCAATCTCCACTCTCTCGAAGCCGAGCGCATCACCTGGGAGTACCTGTCATCTAAGTCTCGGGATGCTTTTATAAAAGGGTTCAAAGGTGTTCGGAAGCTTTCGCTGCGCGTATGCGAGTTCAGGACGACGCTGGATATGATCAGGGTTATCGGAGAGTTTGAAGATGTAGAAGCGCTCGCACTGGACCGGGTGCACTGCGAGTGGGATGATATACCTGCGGACTCGGAGGTGTTTGTATCTAGAGCCGACGATAGAATGATCCCTAAGCCACCCAGAAGACTTAGGGAGCTCGCGATGCGGGGAGCACATACCAGACATGTGTTGAAATGGATGAGGGTGGCGATGAAGCATGATGGAGGGCGGGTGACAGTGGAAGTACTGAGACTCGGAACGTTGGGTGCCAAAAGTGCCCCAGCAGTGGGGAAGTTCTTGAAGACGCTGGGCACAACCTTGAAAGAGCTCCATCTCGGATTCGATGCTGCATTCATAGACAATGGAGGTGAGAATTTTTTCCTAACAACGAAAGACCAGGACTCACGTAGCGCAGACGAGGTTGTATCACACATTGACCTCAGTCATAACAATGTTTTGAGAGAGATGCATGTGTATGGACTCATTATTCCTTCCTTGCCACCTTCAGATCTATCAAACTTCCAACCTCCCACGCGGCTACCACCGCAGTTGATGCCACTCACTGCCCTCCTCGATGGTGTGCGCGCACCGTTGCGAGCTCTTTCGCTAGCATTGTATCCCGCTGATCCGCACGCCCTTTCATCAATGGACTTCGAAGGGCTAGCTCACGTATTGGACGGAAGGTCATGGACAACCCTAGAGGATGTACTTGTTGTGGTAGCAAATGAAGGACGATGGAAGGATGGGCGGGATTGTCAATCAGAGACTGGATAGACTGTTAGAGAGAGGCGTTCTGCGAGTGAATGTAGGGTTTGATGACAGGGAGATCTTGTTTATTTGAATGTTTAGACTTCGTAACGCGATATCATGTTCTGATTTCATTTTGCCATTGATATTTAGTGTCTGACTGATACTCACTTGGAAGCCAACTGCCATACTTTTGCCCCTCAAGTACATATTGTGGCTATCGTCTTTCGTAGTTCGGTCCTTTGCTGGTGAAAGACTACGATTCATGCGTGTGGACACATGGTGCCATGGACAATCCTGAGAGGACGAGAAGAGCATAAATTTGAAGCCATTAAGCTTGTATGGTAGGTAGATAACATAGCACAGTTCAACAAAGTGAGCGATGGAAATAAATCAGCCGCTCGCATTGATGATGTTGGACGTATTGGTGACGAAACCTTGAGACTGTCCTCTATTTGATTAGTTCCGAATCCATCACAACACCGGATGCTCACGTTTGCAGCGTTGTGTAAGACGTTCTCAAGACCGCCAGCTGGAGAAGTTGTCGCCGTGATATCCTCGACCATAACACAATCGTAGCCTTGGAAGTAAGCGTCGATGAAGGTACCGGAAACGCACTGCGTCAACTTCAGCAGCAAGAAGGTATGAAGCTAAGTTGAAATCCCACCTGGTCGGCGTTCACACCTCCAAAAAATAATGTTGTAATTCCATTCTCCTTCAAATAGAGGTCCAACGCTGTTTGATGTCCCCATATCCCACTCATCCTGCACTCCCAGTCAAAACTCAGTACAAATTGGAAGTATATCGAGGAAACGGACCTGTTCTTGTGAATCCAAACGTCGGTTCCCTCTTTCTCTCCTTTTAAATACTCTTCTTGCAAAGGGCCATACAACTCCGAATTTCGAGCGTCTCGCATGAGCAATCTGCCAAAATTGCCAGGCATTTCAGTGCCAAACCCTCCGAACCCTCCTTTCATGAATCCCCTGACCACAGCAGGGGGGATGGTCTTTAGCTCTTGATCAGTGAGGCCCCAATTCCTGTTTTACGGTTGGGTGAACAACTGATGCAAGAATGATACGACGTACACCCAAAGTATCTTCACTCCTTGCTTTCGAAGAGGGCCGATAACCTTCAAAAGCGGGTCAACGCACGCCAAGCCGGTTTTATGCACTCTGAGTTCGGGATGCAGGAAGAAGCTGTCCATCATCAATTTGTCATTCAAGCAAACAACGGGATAGTATATTACTTCTGCATATCAATTATCACCACAGCTGCCTTGGACTTATCGACGCGAATGGTACGGTCGCCAGTTACAGGGATGTCGAGCTGTGTCAAGCTCACCAAGGATGGTTCCACCCCATCAGCCGTGAGATGCTGCGAACGCGTGAGGTCTATAAGGCCCGAGGGATATTCAACCCAGAAGTTGACTACGTTGCCATATTCGATAGCCTTTGAAAGTCTGGGACGCGTAGCCATGCCGAGTATCGGGGTATCGTATATAGGGACCTGACTCATGTATGGGCAACGTAAGTACAACAGAGTAAGAGGTAATCGAGGAGTTATACCTCATGCATCGTGATCCATAGGAGTTCCGAGAGAAGTCGAGCAGTATGGGTGATGGCAGCCTGAGAGAATTCTGCCCAGTGACGTGAGATAATAATGAGGTATGATAACTGTCTGCAAATAGATGCACCACAGGATACATGGGGCCTTAAGGAGTCACGGAAAGTATGCCGGAGATGTAGCACCACGTGATGGAACCACGTAACACAAACATTGAACGGGAGTAGATTGAAGACTAAGTATGAATTTTGTGAGAGCAACATTCGTCCGTGTATGTCCATGATTTGTGGTGATATACAGAATGCGGTTGCAGTATGTACGAGTGTCAGAAAGGATGAGGATGATTGTGATCTGCTCAACAAATCAGTAAATAGTCCAGATTATTTCGGACACAACAGCCAAATCGGAGGGAAGTAAAACCCAGACGCGAACACAATGTTCGTCATAACGCAGAATTTATACTGCGACCATCAGGCATGTTGCGGACCTGTCATATTTGAGTATGGCGTCAAGAAGAAAAAATTGAAGACCTTACGGTGAGCACTGGCCGGCTGTAGTCTTCTTCATCCTTGAGGTCGTCTGAGCCAAAGCTATCCGACCTGGTCCGCCTCCGAATTTCAGGATCCAACCTATCATCGGCACCTCCATCTGATAAATTATTTGTAGGGCGGGAAGCGACACTGTCAAGGTGCGCACGTCGTGCTGGGTTCCTTGGGGGTGGCGTGGGTGGTGAACCGGCACCCCGCTCCGCAGAGGATCCTTGCGTATACGCGGCTAGTAGCGGCTCGTAGCTTGCAACGCTGTAAGTAGGGGTATGGCCATAGGAGCTTTTCCGATCCCGGGAAGAATCACCAATGTCATGCAATCCTGCACTACTAGGAGGCCCTTGCTGCTCAACTTCCGGAGGAGGGCTAGCACTGCGAGCTTGAATATACCCTCCACTTGTTGGTAGACCTTCGACTATGTAGCCCGCGTAGGGATTGAATGCAACATTGTCGTCATCGAATGGCCCCCCTGAAACTGGCCGACCGGAAGTGGGTAAGCCAGAACCATCGGGAATATAACCAACGGGGCTCCCACGCTGCACCATCTGTGCCGAAGACAAAGAATGTGACTGTGGCGACCGGGCACTTCGGTAATCATTGTCATCATCCAAAGGAGCTCGACCAAAGCCCGAGGCAGCAACAGCCGCCTCGACTTCGGTCTCATGGTCAATTCGACTGATACGACGCTTACGCCGTATGAAAAAGAAGATCCAGAGTACGATGGATGCAGCGGCCAATCCAACCACAAGGAAGACACCGACTACGGCGCCGGTGTTCCTGAAGAACCTGTTGTATTATTATAAGCATAAATAATGACTGATAAGTGGTGGAACTAACGCGGAACCCGATGATGTCCCATTGTTAGGCGCAAGGGTGGGGTTTGCAAATGCTACTGTGATAGTCGTAGCAGCTCCTGCGCTGTTTGTGGAAATTGTGACTTCTGTGACAATAGAGGGCGCCGTCGTTGTCGGTTGTCCTTGAGCATTCGTTGTAGTGATGTACAAGGTACTTTCCAACGTTGTACTGCAATGTGTGAACAGGATGCGTCAGTAGACGACGTGTAAACGCAAGGAGCACACAAACACGATTGGCACCGGTGTGACCGACGATGACGGTGTGCTAGGCAACGTCGGTGAAGGCTCAGATGTCGATGAAGTTGATGTCTGCGAAGGCGTACTGGAAGTGGTATGTGGTGTACTTGTGGTAGCCAATGGCGAGGTGGTCGTTGGTGATGAGGAAGTTGTCGTTGATGATGAAGTGGTTGTCGTTGATGATGAAGCAGTTGTAGTGAGTGATGAGGAAGTCGTTGGTGATGAGCTGGCGGTACTACTTGTCGTCGTCGTCGATTGACTAGTTGCCGAAGAAGACGTTGACGTTGCGACTGTGCTTGTATCTGCACTGATCGAGGACTGCGATGATGCGGGGGTTGTCGATGATGCGGGGGTTGTCGATGATGCGATACCGGAAGACATAGTAGACGTCAAGGACGAGACGGGGCTCGTCGTCAGGCGCGTAGAAGAACTTGTGGGCAATAAAGAATCACTAGTCGATGGTGGCACACTGCTGGGTGCTGCGGTTGTGGGCGCGACACTGCGCAATGGGTCAAGGAACAGGGCCTGGATGATAGCCGAGAAACTTACGAGGAAGAAGTATCCGAAGACATTGACGTTATAGAAGTCACGGATGGAGACACAACAGACATATGATGTAAGTGAGCCAAATGTAGATGTGACACAGGTGGCAAAAGTTGTGGGCGTAGCGAATGAGCGTAGTGTAGTTGGTGGAAGAGTCCAAGCACAGGGGTGGGATATGGCGTTAATGTCGTATGATTTCCAAGGCGTGTCGTGGGCAGATTGTGGATACGAACCGGGGTGAAACAAGGAGATGATTTATCAGAAACAATGTTTGGAGGAGAATGAACAAAAAATGGTGCACGATGACAAGGGAGACTTGCACCACTGCAAGCTAAACGCCGCAGCAGGCTCAGCCTAGCAGGAAATGGTATTAGAAAAACAATAAGACCCCAATCAAGACCTGAGTGTCTTTTCTACAGGAACTGATCATACAAAGTTCCTGACAAGACTCTAGAAACAAAGACAAAAATTGCAGAATTCTTGCCACACAAGTAAAATGAAGAAAATATGAAGAAGACAACTTTTAGGAACGACACTCACACTGCAGGGCCGACCTCAAAGACGTGGCTTAATAGACGAAGCTTCTAGGATCATCGCGTGCAACCCGATAGAAGCTGATAACAAGTAAACAAAGGTCAGCGCTGGGACGGAAACCTGACGGCGACACACCTTGTAAGGGTTAACCTCCTGGAGCGCGGCAGATTCATTTTACACGCACCGCCGTTAAGTATGACGTTACGTAACACCGCTATGTACTCCAAGCTGTGCAATATTTACTATCAACGTTTACACTTGGGCCCAGGCCTGTCAAAATGCAGACTTGTTCTAGCCACACAGCTACGCTTTTGACAACGACTACGACGACTACGACATGCTCATTATAGATGCAGAAGATTCAGTCAAGTTCAAGCAGGATTCTGTCGGAGGCAGCAACCCTTCGGTTGCATCATCATCTTTGCAGCAGCCTCCTCCAACATTCGAAGAAAGTGTTGCAGACCATGTTTTGCATTTACCTCAGAACGACGATTTGAATTTTGAGCAGGAAGGCGGTGCGGAACCGCCTGCCTTTGCCCCTTACGACTGCCCAGTTCTTTACTTCACGGTCTGGTGACATCATCTCTCATGATGCTCATCTTAACGATGATGGTACGTAGCCCTCCGATTTCTGATATCTTAACCGTTCTCAATTCTCTCAGGCGAAGCCCTATACCGTTTCTTACTCTCACAGGCCTCAACGCCACCCACCGTCATCTTGCGTTGCCAAGGGTCACATAACGAGACTCACACGCGGATGGTCCACTCGCATCACAATGGACACAGCAGGATGAAGACGGAGCAGTATACCGAAAGCATAACAGACTTCGACTTTTGCATAGACGTCGGACAGTATATTTTCGGAGAGCCAACCCACTGGTCATATGCCGATTCCACCCCTGCATACAGGGGGCGTATGTATCAAGAAGTGGGCATATCTGAGGAGAAACGGAAGGCACGGAAGTCGGAAAGAAAGGCAGCAAAGGCGTGGGACACTGAGCGCACTCGCAGGGGGTTCCCTCCGTGGATCGGTAGTGACTACGCATGGAGAGAGGACCAATCATATGCCACGCAAGCTAACGGTGTTCTCAGATCATCGTGGACATTACGCCAGTGGGCAGACGATTATTGTGCCAGCCGCAAGTACTTGAAAGAATTTAATTATAACAAGGTCAGTAGATATATCACCGACCTCATTCGCAATAGCTCTCATCCTCGATCCACAGATTGCTTATGGTTGGAATTTTGAGGCCATAAGGGTTGCTGCTATTTCCACCATCAATTCTACCCACTATCGAGGTGACTTATCCGTCCAGTTCGAAACATCCCAAAATGTTGTATCTGTCCGGTCACACAACCGCCTTTCCCGCGCTCTTTCAAACCGCTGGATCAAGTTTTTGCTCTTTCTTACCTTCATATACCCGTTTATATGGCTATTCAAACGTTTTCACTCACGCGGTGGTGGGCGTTGGGATGTCTGCGGCGGCGCATATGCGCTGAAGCGCGTTGAACAAACTGCAAAGCAATTTGCTCCCGATGTGCATGCGGAGAGCCCTTTCCGTGATGTGTTTGAGACCGTGGATGCCACCGCCCAAGGATCTTCCCTCGCTAACCCTCCGGGCCGACGGACGAAAGTCGTTGGCATGCGAGAAGGAGAGTGGTTTAGGCAATGGGAGGGAACCATCAGAAGAGCAGTGCAAAACAGGCTGCAGGACAGACAACCCTTGACAATGCCTGATGATCACCCTGCGCATCAAACATTGGCGTTGGATGGGTATTGAACACACTCGAGGAGTGAAAGGGAACCCCCAATGCACACTTATCACCATGTCCATCTTCTTGATAATATTGTATGCAATAAAATTTACGTTCAAGTGGTAAAGGTGTCAAGTAGTCTCCGAGCAGTGGTATATGATGGTCCCGGGCGTCCCCAAAAGATAAATACAAGCAAGGGGCCTGCTAAAACAGTCCACATATCACACATATAGCCATCACAACGCAGCACTTGCATTTATAGGCTTGAAAACCGAACTGTCCGTCCATACTGACGCCAAGCTCATGTTGAGCCTGCTCTCGTCCGCATCAAGACTCTCGAGTTCAGCTTCAGAAAAATTGACACCTTCCAAGAAAGCGAGCGCAGTCTCTAAGAACCACATGTGCTTTTTGATGAAGTGCACTACGACAGTTCCACCAACACGCTTGTTTTCGTATCGCGTGATACGTCCCTCACGGGTACGCCATGCTCTCTCCGGGCTCATAGACTTCCCTGCAGCGACTAACGTTTAACACACGCTTATTGAGGACAATTGATACCGCACCTTCCTGCAGCTCGGACATATTGCTGCCTTCGACTAGTGCCTCAACACTATGAGCCAAGTCCATTTCTTGTAAGGGCTGCTGATACCGGGTGCCGAATGCCGAAACACTTGAGTGTGACAAAGATAAAAGCGTCGAAGAAGTCACGACAGTCGTCCCGGTCGATGAATTACGGGACACTTTGTCGAGAAATGCTAAGACAGATTTCTTAACGCGAGAGACTTCAGAAGGAAACAGGAAGCCATGGGAATATCTATAAGAAGATGAGCACAAGAATGTTAAATGGGCGAGGGAGTTGACTCACACAGTCCCTGACCGGGGATGATCATATATCCAGCAATGGTCGCTTGACCAACGAATCTCCGCTGCACGTGGATGCAGTCCCATCCATTTGGCCGTCTGCTTGTCCTCCGCTCCTCTAGTAAGACTTTTGATGCTTGGATCTTTGGAAACCCAATCGACAAGACTCCAGCTCAAGCCATACAATTCACCAGCCATAAACTTCTCTTTAACAAGATAGCCCCAGTAAACCAATGGGTCATTCGCTGATCCGTCGCGCGGCATCTCCTGTTCAACCATTAATGATGTAGAGGTATTGGCAGGAACACTGGTCGGCGGTTCCATCTTTGATGCCTCTACTCTAAAGGATGCCGAGACTGGTGAAATGTAGGGCATGCCGTATGGCCTCTGCCCTGTAGCATACAGCTCTAGCCTCATACGTGCCTCGAGCTCGGCCAACATAACGAAAGCATCGTCATCGACTTTAGCCACATAATCGGGCCGCACCCAAGGGCTTGGATGACCCGAGGCACTGTCTTTCCAAGCGAAGTAGGGATCGTGGGGGGCAAGACGGGGGGCAGGGGTATATTGATTCGAGTAAGAGAACTCCGGTACAGGATGCGTGGTATTGAAGTAGATTGGCGGGACCCAAGCATTCGATGCTGCCCACGTGAAGTAGGCATGCGATTTGCCGGAATTCATGTTTTCTGAGCAGGGCAAGATTATCATATCGTTGTACACTATGTAAGAGCATGTGTCAGAGTAATGCAACGGACATATGATATACACTTACTTTCCATCTCTGATTGAATACGTCTTTCCCATCCTTTGCGGGGCTGTCCGAGAACAAAACGCACCACAGTTCTCGAGGTGCCCATTCCGCCATCTCCTTCTCCTGCGCCATTACGACTACGAGGATGTGCTGCCCACGTTGTTCTAATCAACATTCTACGCTCTAATGACGAATCCATCGAGAAGACGGCTAAGAACAGTCCTGCGGGGGGCAGTGAATCAAGATCATCCGGTGGAAACGATGGTGGCATCACTTTGGGAAGGGAGTTGATGTAAGGATATGGCAATGTGTCACGATAATGCGGAGGAACAGAAGTTGTTGGCGGGATGGTGCAATATGCCCTCCAAGGTAGGGCTTCCTTGTCAGGGTTCAGGACATAGAGCAAAATTAATGTGAGAGAAATAGCGAACACGGTGAACACTAGGAGCGCAAGTATCTTATCGAATTGTCAGACATGGAACGAAGTGCAGATGCAAAAGAAAAACATACAATGGTTAGCGGTTGACGAGGGAATAGCGGGTGTCTAACAATACGTCTCAAAATACCCTTGAAGGTTCTCCACCTTCTTCCATCTCGTTTACGCCTCCTTGGAGAACTTGAACCTAGATTACGCCAAATCCAGCGGCTCTCTCCCGTAGAAGTGTATCTTGCGAGGCCGAGTAGAGGTGAGTTGGACTCGGTTTCTGATGAAGATGCAGAATGGAGAGAAAATGGTAGAGGGGAAGAAGCGCGAGACGGCGTGGGTGTTGTAGATGACGAAGAATCCGAAGACGACCTTTCAGGCATTACATCAGGGTATCCAGTGTCCATGAAGGGATAGCGCTCGGATAAGGGAGGGTTAGACGAACGACTCTCCCTATAGTCAATTCCCAAGAGAATGTCGCGGTGCTCTTCATTGGTTGGTGCTCGAAATAACTGGGAAGAGTCAGAGAAATCCACAATGCCCGGCATGGCATTGAAAAAGAGCGTGTAAGCCAAGCCTCAGGAAATGACGACCTGCGAAATTAACAAAGTGTGACTGTGATAACACGATGGCTAGAATTCCCTGTCGAATGCTAGCGTTGTGTTACTTCCCGCGTTGGTTTTTTCTTGGTATGAAATGATAGTAAAGTTAAAAGTAAACAGTCCTGAGTCGGCTATGATACTAATAGGTGTGGAGGAACACTGCCACTCCAGCTGCGATCAAACTTTGCGTGCGAACTAATTGGCTGAAATACAAGAGACGCCATTGGTCGCCAAGTAAAGATCATTGAGAATATCATCCAGTATGTATACAAATCGAATGTGTCATGAAGCATAAACTTTCTTCCAGCTGGACCGTGATTTCATTGCATCCCAAAATGCTGCTAGCTTGCTCCTCGCGACTGCTTTCTCTTCCGTGAATGGGCTAAAAGCTGAAGGTAAGAAGTCCTCGGGAAAGACAAATCCATTTCCAATATGTTTTTCCACCCTTTTTATAGCAACATCTCCATTATCAGAAGGACTTCCACCAGCCAGTCTGACAAGGTGAGAGAGCCAAGCGCTTAAGTGAATATCTGCGATAGAGACTTGATCGCCTATATTCACGTTATGTTATCATGAGCCAAGAAAAGTAGCTTCTTGACGAACCTAACGCGTAGGGCCCAATGAACTCCTCGTTCACTCGAGTGAGGACACCTGGAATTGTGATTTCCCACGTATTCCTGGAGCGTGATAAGTATCCGTCAATATCATTCCCGCTAAACACGCTCAGTGCCGTGTCCACCTCCGCTTGTTTCTCTCGCCAGAATGCCTTGGTCTTTTCAGACATCCGTATCGTTTCATGTTCACATTCGGTGAGATATTCCACGATTGCCGCTCGTCTAGATTCAAGAATAGGGACCAGAGACTTTCCAAGTTCTTGAAGTGAGGCTTGATCGCGGGCATTCAAGTACTGCAAATGATCGGGAGAGACCTCATCAGCCTGAATATAATCAATAATCTTGCTGGATGCAGTGGCGAATGCAACCGTCGCAGGGGACAACGATGGGGCTGGAGCGCTCGATGTAGTGTGCGTGTGAGATGATGCGGACCGAGATTTGTCCAGGAACTCGATCAGTGCCTACTCTTTCCGTTAGCAGAAAGGAAATTGGAAAAACGAAGGCCAGCTGACTTTCGTATCAGAGATGGCTTTGAAGCGGCTTGCAACATCAGATGCGAGAGAGCCGCGGAGGGGTGCAACAAGAGTTGGCACCATTGCTGAGGGGTGGTCAATGATCTGTAAAACAGAAAGTGCCCAATCCCACCTTTGGGGCTCAACCTGAGGAAGGTTGGGGAAAATTCTTCTCCTTTGTCTGATGGCAAGCATACGTTGGCCAATGCTCAAGCCACTTCGATGCACTTAAAACGTACTAATGTCCACAACCCTGAGATCAACTTCATCCTCTCCGTATCCTTTCTCGTTCCTGCGGATAAATCGCAGATCAATAGCAGGATACGTTATTTCGCGATGACCTCACAGTGCAAGAAGTACTAGTAATATATTGAAGTAAGAACACAACGACACTGATTATGAATGAAAAGACCGATACTTACCCGCAGAAGACCACACAGATTGTGGGTTGTAGTACAATACGGCCTTAGGTATTGCGGACGACATGGTCGTCGTAGGCTGTTGCCTGACAGCAGTCAGGGAAATGACGTCTGGACCCCACCTGTTTGTCCTTCTTTTGATTTCCAGTTAGGGTCTGCACGCATCGTGTGCACGAAACATTCATCGTCGATGCATCATCTGTTTGACCGCAGAAGTGCTATCCACATGGATGACTCCATATATTTTTCTAGGATCTTCGAAACATCATTGCAAGTCGATCGACGCACAGTTCAGATTCTTGAATTGTCAAGTCTCACTCTTTTGTGAATCTTTTCCCTCATGACAGTTCACGTGACCCTTTTGTACTGGAAAGTTCTGCATTCATTGAGTCGCGTAACTTCATCACTTTAGGCATCATTTCTTGCGTCTTCGCTCCAACCATGGCATCCTTAAGGTCAGACCAACATCACTAGCGCTTCACATTCGTCTAATGCCATAAAGACACGAATTCTATGAGACAGACGAAAAACTGACGATCTCCATCTTTGACCGAGGGGCTGATCCTGCACAGGTATCCCTTACGTTTGAGCCAAACAAGGTGAGCAACCTCACTGATTCTGGGAGACACAGTCCTCAAAGAAGTTATAGGTCAACTACGCAAATGGCGAGAAGACGCTATCCTTAGAGCCGTTGAAAGGACGGATTGATCCAGAGAGGTGCGATTTCACGGTCGGTAAAGTCAAGGTCGAAATTCGCCTTGTGAAAATGACTCAAGGCCGCTGGGGAGGTATCACTGGTGACGCTCCCGATCGTTCGTGTCTTCCATATAGCCCAGATTTTTCAATGCGTACTAATTCTCACTAGCTCTCCAGACTGCCCCTATTGGACCAACTACTTCTCCGGCAGTGGCTGAGGCAAGGGCTAAGCCCAAGAAGAACTGGGAGGAACTTACCACCAAAATTCTCTCATCTGAAAAGGAGGCGACTACAGATGAGGACCCCAACGTTGGCGGTGACAGTACGGTCAACTCCTTCTTCCAAAAGATCTTCGGAGATGCAGATGATAACGCCAAACGCGCAATGATGAAAAGCTTCCAGGAGAGTGGAGGAACTACCCTTAGCACAAACTGGGAGGAAGTGAGCAAGGGTACCGTCGAAGTGAAGCCTCCGACAGGTAGTGAGTGGAAGAAGTGGAATTGAACTTGATCATTGGCTTGTATTGTCAGTTACTCCGCATGTTATCGACGCTTTCAAAGTGGATCAATATTGTCTCGCATCGAAAGTATCAGGGTCTTGTTAGTATGTCATTTAAAAACGCATATCTCTATCCTGTCAGAAGGAGTTTAATGTGGCCTATGGGAGGTTACAACATTCAGAGTTGGATTGGATAGTGAGGCCATGAGACCTCCCACTGCTACTTGTGCATGAATAAAACCCTGATGGCATATAGCCTGAGAGGAATCATGAAACAAGCGAAAATTGAAGTTGATTGAAAGAGTTGCCGCGTATGATATTTGGTTGTGACATAGGAATATTGGCAGAACCTTTACTAGTAATTGCTTACAACGGTACTGGCCAGGGTTCGTTGTCTTCCCTACTACAGACCATGTCACGTCTTACGATCATCGTTGCTGCCACGAAATCAAATGGTATCGGCCAACATGGTGGACTTCCATGGCGGCTGTCGAAAGAGATGGCCTATTTTGCTCGGGTCACGTCCACCGCGCCTGAAGGACGGAAGAACGCGGTCATCATGGGGCGGAAGACATGGGAGAGCATACCAGCCAATTTCAGGCCTCTCTCTAAACGTCTCAATGTAGTCATCAGTCACAACGAGGACTACGAACTGTACGACTTTCTCTCTATCTTTTTTCGACATCTTATGGATAGAGCGACAACCAGGACATCCTCCAACCCGTCAACTCCAGTTCACCTTTGCTCGAACTTGACTCTGGCAGTTGAGTTGGCATCTCAGGCCGACATACACCGCCGATTTATTATCGGTGGAGTATCCTTGATCTCAGAGACACTAAACCCTATATCTTCGAGTCCGACGCCTTGCATCACTGACCGTGTCCTCTTAACACGGATCCTTGCACCTGATTTTCCTCAATGTGACGTTTTTATACCAGACTTCTTGGGAGCAAGCGAGGAGGGGGAAACGGAATGGAAGCAGGCAACTCATGATGAACTCGTGCAATGGACGGGATTCGATGTGCCAGCAGGGGTCCAGGAGGAAAAGGGAGTTAGCTACGAGTTCCAGATGTGGCTTCGTCAATAACATTGGTGGTAGAATATTTCGAAAGCTGTGCATTATATCGACAAAAACGATCCCTCTTCCCCTACATGCGCTCTACCAACATGGTTTTGGCGTGTCAAAAACGCAGTCTCGACAATGATTATCCTTGACGCTATACGACAGTCAATCAGGGTCGGGACGAGGATAGGATCAATTACACACCTGCTTGTGTTTCGGGTTTTTCGAACACACGACATACACTCTGCCTTTTCGCTTCACAACGCTGCACCCGTCACACATAACCTTCACAGATGACCTCACTTTCATTCCACGCGCCGTGGACGGTATTGCATTCGTAGGTGATGAAATTGCAGGTGTGAATTTGTGTATGTGAGGAAGAGTAGGGATGCGCAAACGCGCTAGCAATGGCCTGCTTGAGGCTAGCAAAGCTCTCAACATAGTGAAACACAGGCCAGAAACAAGTTAAGAAAGTTTCGTGAGGAACGAACGTGTGGTCACGTGCTAGATATTTTACTTCCTTCTCTCAGTTAGCCTACTTACCAGCGTGTTGTGCAGGCTTTGCAGTTACGGCTCGGCGTCAAATTCGCAAACGTGGATATCGCTGACTTATAAGCACTTTCAAGTTCTATTCGCGAGATGGAGCATTGAGAACGTCCCATTATTCGGGACATTTATCTCCTCGCTTTTTTGAAAAGTTCCTGAATCTCTGTACTCCTACCCTATCTAAGGCTACCTTATCATCATGGCGTGCGAGAGAGAGAGCCCTGTTACGCCACGTCTAGGTGGAAAGACTGCGCTGGTAACATTCGTTGCAATGATTTTTGCTTTTGTTGGAGAGACCCAACTCACACAGGTGATTAGCTTCAGTTCAGCTACTTCAGATTGATCGATTACTGACTTATCGAATTAGTATGTTCAAACAACATTGGGTTATCAACACTCATTCTTCCTATTGTGAGTAGACAAATGACCCCGCGGTATGCCGATGCGAACTCAGAGTTCGCAGTTATGTCGTGCATTCATCATTTGCGCTCTCCTTTCCATTGCACCTAGGCTATCTTCTCCTGACAACCCACCGTTCTCCTCGTACTATGATGTCTGGCTTGTCTAGCATTATCACCGCTCAGTTGACATTACGAGATCCAAGAATCGTTCACTCTTCGCGATTTCCTCTGTCACGATTTCTGGTCGTAATTCTAGTCATGACCGCCATCTACAGTATACCTGCTCTATTGTGGTTTATTGCTGTCGTATATGCTCCGTATGTCGCTAATTGCTTTTCACACTTCTGATCTTAAGTATCCTGCAGCGTCACTGATGTCACGGCCATCTGGAATGCTAATGCCTTCTTCGCTTATGTCTTCAGTGTCAAGTTGCTGAACCTGAAATGGAGTCTTATTCGAATGTGTGCAGTTTGCCTCGCCACTGTCGGAGTGCTCACCATCGTATATGGCGACAGCACACCGTCAAGTACAACTGCACCTGTGGTTCGCCGTACGACTGTCGCCCAAACTTCCGCTCCTTTATTTGGAGACATTTTAACTCTGGTTGCATCCGTGATATACGGTCTGTATCAAGTCCTTTACAAGAAGTATGCAGCACTGCCATCAGACCTAGAGCCAGCTGCAGAGCCTACACAATATTCCCATATCCCAGCATCAGCGGCTGGCGACGAGGAGACAGTATCTTTACCACTCCTCGCCAGTAATCAAGTCACACATGCTCTTCCATTTGGCCTTCATCCCAATTTTCTCACCGCATCTATGGGCGTGTGCACTTTGTTCGTGCTTTGGGTACCCTTGACTGCGTTACATTATTACGGCATTGAAGAGTTTGCGCTTCCATCCAACATGGTGACCTTCGTTGCAATTGCAGGAATCTGTATAACAGGTGTTATATTTAATGCAAGCTTCATGGTGTGTATGATAAATGCACAACACGCTCCCTGTCTAATCAACACTTTTAGATTTTGTTGGGAGTCTGGGGCCCGATTGTTACTTCCGTTGGGAGTCTACTTACAATCGTCCTCACACTCATCTCGGATCTAATGTTAGGCTCTGTCGGGTTGACTGCCTGGGGGCTATTGGGAGCAGGCATGATTGTAGGGGCTTTCGCGGTGCTGGCTTATGATATGTTCTAGAGCTGAAGGTAGATTGTAAGCACACTGGCTGGCTTGCTAGAGTTCCCATAATTTACATAAATGCTGTCTACAGTATTGAAACATGAGCTTTCAGTATTAGTGCCTTGCATAACAGTTGAGCAGCCGACAGTCTTGACTAAGTTGGTTGATACTCAGCAATCTTAGAGTCGTGCCTTTGCATCATTCGGGGAACACTGTTTGCAAGTCACAGTGCTTAAGAAGCATCCTCTCCAGCTGAATGCTCTTTGTGAAGGGTCCCTTTCCCTTTCATCATCATTCACTTGGATATGTCCCACTGGTCCCAGTCACACTCAATGATTGGATCTGAAATGTTCATCCATGTCAGCTATCTGACCCTTCAAACTGGCCAAATAGGAAGCACATTTTCAAAGAGAACACGTGTACCTTAGTATTCCATGGAAGGACATATACAACCTGCCAGCACATCATACTAGTAAGTGGTGAGATGAAACATGATGACTCCTGATCAGCTGAGAACTGCAGCCAGCATTTTCAGCTGCAATGTCATTATATAGCACACACACAAAGAAATATGCGACGTCTTAAATAGGCCCAAAAGGAGAAAGCTGAAGAGCGAGATAATGTGAAACGGAAGAAAGGGTAGGAGAGATAGGAGGGCAAGGGGTAGAGATGCGAAGTACGACAGGAAGGAGTGTGTTCACATGAGGCAAATCGCTCGGATATCAAAATGAACAGATCAGGACTAGACGGAATGATGTAGAGGTAGGGGTAGTGTGATGTTTGTAGTGAGAGGGTGGCATGGGCATCTCAACGAGTGTCTGCGCCTCAATACATAGTGACACCGAAGATATACAGTGTTCATTAACAGGTTACCCACACCCTTGACCCTGTGACACTGGTGTTCTACGCATGGCATGTCATGATCACGTTGCAGTCGCCATTAGACTAGGCACGCGTGGAGGTCAATACGCGATATTGAATGAGTGAGATAACCCACCTCTTCCGTTTAGCCTTCGTCATCTCTTTCCGGAGCGCCGGCCCGTCCAGAGGTTTGAGGAGCTCGAAAGCGCACAGAAGGTCCTCTGAGACACTGAAACAATACAAATCAATTGGAACCCCCAGATGCCGACAAATGGATATTACCTCATACAAGCACCGTAATTGTCGAATTCTAGAACCTCATTTCAGCCCTGGACGAACAGAAAGATAAGAGTTATGCTAACCTCCACAATAATTCGGAGCACTGAAAACCGTGACAAGTGTCCGATCATTCCAGAACTCATACCCGTCCTCAACGACCATATGAGCCCTGCATATCAGGTCCATGTCATACCGTACTAGGAAGTCATTGATGATCCCTTTCCCAAAACAGTAGCTCACCCCCCTCTCGTTATCCTCCCAATCCAATGCTGTATCAGAAGGATCGGACCATAGCAAATCGTTTAGCAGCCCATAGTCCGGCACGTCAGTCGGTCTTTGTATCCGTTTGATATCTTCCATGGAGTGGAGCGAAGGTGATAGCCCGCCGTGTACGCAAAATATCTTGGAGGCGACGATAGCTGCAATGGGCAGGCAATTGAAGACGTCTATGAATGTTTTCCATGTCTTTATGTTACATCGTCTTTTGCACTCGTCATAGAAGCCGTACACTGGAAAATGTCAGAATACCATCACATGACAGAAGGCGCCAAGCAACTGACCTCTTGTGACATTCGCACATTCATGATTGCCACGCAAGAGGAAGAAGTTCTCTGGGTACTTTATCTTGTAGCACAGGAGCAGTAAGATTGTCTCCAAACTCTGTTTCCCGCGATCGACATAGTCACCCAGAAATAGGTAGTTGGCGGCTGGAGGGAAACCGCACATCTCGAAAAGGCGGATGAGATCTGAATATTGCCCATGCACGTCGCCGACGATCTTTACTGGTGGTGACAACTCGATGAGGGTTGGTTGGCTGAGGAATACCTCGCGCGCCGCTTGGCAAATAGCAGCAATCTCCGTGTTTTTCAGACACAGAGATTTGCTGACTTTACCAGTATATCCCACGTCAAGAAGGCGTTGGATCATACTGTCGATGTCGAGCTGTCCAACCTTTCCTCCCGCAGAGTCACTCAAGGGAAAGCTACTAGCCGCTGAACCCGGCGTGAAGGATGACGACGGCATAGAAGTTGAGAGGATTGTCTGGGTAAGTGGAATGTCGAGTGGAGCGGGAGAAGGTTTCGTTGATAAAGTGGAGGGTTGTGGCGTCGAAGTTGGCGCGAGTAGGGAGGGAGTAGAAAGGTTGCTCGGGGAAGAACTGAGGATAGCCGGTGAACCACCTGGTGAGCCTGGTGGTTTTGAGGTGCTTCCATTGGACTCTCCGGAACTAGGTACATTAAGCGAAGGTGCACTATTTCGAACTGCATCATACTCGTGGGCAACACTTTGGGAGTGGTTGGGATGACTCCCTGTTGCGCGAGACAAACTGCCATGAAGAATTTGACCATTCAATTCTTCTATAGAATCGTCGTGCACATGGTCCACGTCCTTCTCCTTTCCTCCCTTCTTTGTCTTTTTAGATTGCTGTTGGCCCATTGGTGGTGAAACCTGTGATTCGCGCGAGGGCGAGCCTCGCTGTGATGCTGAAGACCGAGAGCGCGACCTTGAAGTTAACTTGGAAGTTAAGACAGAAAGAAGTGTTGGAGCCAGCTTGTAAAGTCGAAGAAGACAGGAACTAAGTTGAGCCGAATCCTCTCCAACGAGGACCAGTCGATCGTTCTAGCGGCAACTTGCACTGCTGTCCTTATTTGTTCCATTGTTTACTTCCTGTCTCGTTAATCAAGCGCTCGAAGGACATACTTAGTACTTTAGTCCTTAGTTTTGATTCAGAACGACTTTCCTATGCTTTGCCACTCAGGTCTTCTAAAAAAAGTGCTTGTCATAATGCAGCAATGAATTTTTCATGCGGGCATAGCGCAATGGGTAGTAGAAATCATGCAATGTCAACAGCGTAAATAGAATCTCGATGGCACTCTCAGAACTTGCCGAAGGCTTTGGCTGCTGCCTTGCTCTTCGACACCCGTAGGACGTTGAATCGTACCGTTTTTGACAGTGGCCGACATTGCCCTACATCGCCTGTGGTCAATTCCAAGTAGCACCGACTGAGAGGAACACTAACCGATAGTGACAGTATCACCAACCTCTACACGGAAAGCGGGTGATACATGAACGGCCATGTTCTTGTGTCTCTTCTCGTAACGGTCTGTCAGACAAAGATAAGTGTGCATGAACAATCAGCCTGTCTTCTAACGTACTGTATTTAGGAATGTAGTGGAGGTAATCCCTGCGGATCACAATTGTCCGCGTCATCTTGGTTGAAACAACTTTGCCGGTCAAGATACGGCCACGAATGGAGACGTTACCGGTGAAAGGGCACTTCTTGTCTGGAAACAGACATAACAATGCACCATGCAGACCACATGTGAAAAGTATAGGGACATACCGATGTAAGTGCCTTGGATAGCCTCCGCAGGGGTCTTGAATCCAAGACCAACATCCTTGTACCACCGCTTTTCCTTGGTCGCAACCTTCTTGCCACCTTTACCACAGCGATCGCAATCACATAAGTTCCTGCTCCGATTTCACGGATTAAAAGTCTCATACCGCGGGCTTTGGCGTTTTGGAATAAATGCTGCTTCTGGTACGCCTTCTCGATCTGAAAATGATGATAAGTCAAGCAATGAGCGTGGATTCAGCAAGGTAGCAGCCCGTACCTGGTCAGCCATGGTGAATGATTAGGACGATGAGGAGCTCAATTTCCCGCACTGTGCTTACTTGCGTGGGAAAAAGCCACAGAATTAAAACTGTACAGATTCCGGCAATTACCATTGATATTCCCACCCCTTCAGTCACTCCAATGTTTTACACAATTACATCCATTCCGTGCAGTTTACTATGCGAGGCTGGGCGAGCAAAATTGATGGAGAAATGAGGAGGGCTTCGTGTGAGAGAGCCAAAATAACTGGAGACTTTACAAGGGGTCAACTTCCCAAAAGAGGTGTTTTCCCGGGGGGTCACCTTTCTTTTGCAAAACAAGTTCCTATTCGACAGTAATAACGTCACGTGTATGGAGAAACATTGACCCTTGAGTCTAGAGGTGCTGTATTGTCTAGACTCGGCTCAAATTTCAACATGTGACAGGGGCGAGGTGGTCGTACTTGTCGGATCTCAGTCGAGCTGGCCTAACATAGGTCTGTGCAGTCTCGGCTGGCTATTTTCATTTTACCAATAGCAATTCCATCTCGTGATTGACTCCGCGGAATAGGGGGCATGAACCGGTTCACACGGTCGACGCGACAAGTAACGCGTCTATGTTTGTCACGCGCTCGTTTTATCGCGTCGCGGCTCACACAAGATTTATGGGAAGACAACAAACACTCGGTACGTAGCGTAATGTCATTCTCTTTCTGACCACCTACAATATCACCACTTTTCTAGGTAAATTCTTTGAAATGCCAAAGAACAGCAAATCGGCACCGCCGCAGCAATCAAACCTGGCCGAAATGTGGGGAGGGAAGAAGCGAAAGTCCAACACAAATGAGGAGAGTATGACTGCAAGAGGTCATCGTCGACGAGAAGGTGATGAGTTGAAGACGGGCGCGTCAGTGAAGTCTGAAATCAGTGAGAATTCTGGACTATTCAAACTGTAGAGTCTAATCCTCGCGGACTCTTAGTATCGCCCGTCTCAAATGGCAAAAAGCCAGCAGAAAATAGAAATCGGATGGAGGTCGACGAACCACCAGCACGTGAGTGCTTCTCCGCTCTTCATAGCTGACAGGTTATAATGAGGAATAGCACTAGGCTAAGTCCAAAACCAAACGGAAAGATGTCACCTCGCCAAAACTTCGCTGGTAAGTGCAACCCAGCCTTGCAAGTCGAAGCTGGAATCAACTACACTCTAGCATCACCTGGGCCTTCAAAGTCCAAACGGAGACGTGTGGTCGAGTCAGATGACGAGGACTCCACGACCACCGCACTCGCTCTCACCAGGTCTAAATCGGTATTCCTCGCCACAGCCTTCCTCCAAAAGTAAAGAGGAAATCCAAAGCAATCCCCCAATCTGAGCCTGTAGAAAAGCAACTAGCCGAGTCCTCAGCAAGTGCCGACGAGGGTGAGGATGAGATTCCTGACGAAAGCGAGCCAGATGATGATGACGAAGATGCGGCAACACAAACGTACGTATGGTTGCTCTAGCGGGTCTTTACATGGGCCAAGTTAATTTGGATACACAGCGCCGAGGAAGCACTATCTCGAGTCGCAGAGGTAGACGTCAAGGGCGGGTGGAAAATCGGAGACTCGTACGTCGTGTTACAATCTCTGACATTTTCTCTACACAGTGACTTGGTAGAGTGCCCTACGCTGCATTAACGAAGACATTCTCACTCATCGAAGCCACCACCAAGAGGCTCGAAAAGACTGCTCTCCTCACCTCGTTCTTCCTTCTTGTCATCCAACGCAGGCAAGAAGGATGATTCTAACTCCCTCCTGCAGTCTGTATACCTGTGCATAAACCGCGTAAGTTTTTTGTTATTCAATTATTCTGCTCTTGTGTACTAAGAGACGTAGCTGAGCCCAGATTATGTCGGTGTCGAACTGGGTATCGGCGAGAGCCTGCTCATTAAAGCTATCAGCGAGTCCACAGGACGGAGTCTTGCAACAATTAAAGCAGACCTCAAGAAAGAAGGTGATCTCGGGCTCGTGGCAATGGTGCTCTGCTGTTACTTGTCTTAACCCCGACCACACGAGCTTACTTCGTTTGTAGAACTCTAAAAACAGTCAGAAGACGCTCTTCAAACCCAAGCCGCTTACAGTTCCTTTTGTCTTCTCAAATTTGCGGGAGATCGCGCTGTCATCTGGACATTCGGTTTGTTCTTCATGCTTCTCCAAGTTCTTCAAGACTTAGCACCATTCTCCCCCTGATACAGTCCCAGGCAAAGAAGGTATCGATCATTACAAAGCTCCTCGCCGCATGCCAGGATTTCGAGGCGAAGTACATTGTGCGCAGCCTGGAAGGCAAGCTCCGGATCGGTAATGCTGAGCGTACGGTTCTCGTGGCCCTCGCACATGCTGCTGTTCTGGCTAAAGAACATGGTGTGTATTTTTCAAACCTCGCTAATGAAGCTGATTCATCATCTACAAGCCGGAAAGCGATGGAGCAAAGAGAAACTGGCATCTCGCCTCGAAGAGGGTGCTAGTATTATGAAATCTGTGTACAGGTCGGTCCCCCTCGACTCGCCCATCTACGCTCATTGACACATCTTCCAGCGAGCTCCCTACGTACGAACTTGTGATCCCCGCGCTGCTCACGCATGGTCTATCGGGTTTGCGCACTCATTGCAAGCTTACGCCCGGGGTTCCACTCAAGCCAATGCTCGCCAAGCCAACAAAAGCGATCGGCGAAGTACTGGACCGTTTCGAGGGGCGGCGGTTCACGTGTGAGTACAAATACGATGGGGAACGCGCCCAGGTACACATGCTGGAGGATGGCAGCGTCAGCGTCTTTAGTAGAAATTCAGAGGATATGAAGGCCAAGTACCCAGATTTAGTGGAGCAGCTGCCGAGGGTAGGTGATGATCCATATAGACTTGCCTGTGCAAATTGGGCTGATGGAAGGACAGTGCATCATGGAGAAGACAAAGTCATTTGTGCTTGATGCCGAGGCCGTTGCGATTGACAAGACCTCAGGCAAGCTTATGCCCTTCCAAGAGCTGAGCAAGCGAAAGCGCAAGGACGTAAAAGTCGAAGACATCCAGGTCAAAGTCTGCCTTTTCGCATTCGACCTTATTTATCTCAATGGCGAGGTTTGTTACCCATCCTCGACGATATTAGGGTGTTGCGCTGATCGACGTGCGAGTAGCCACTTCTCCAAAAATCACTCAGCGAACGTCGAGAGTTGTTGAGGGAGCACTTCCAGATCGTGCCTGGAGAGTTCGATTTTGCCAAGGCTTCAGACGGATCGACAACAGATGAGATCCAGGCATTCCTCGAAGAGAGTGTGAAGGACGGCTGCGAAGGACTTATGGTCAAGATGCTTGAGTCAGACGCAAGTTACTATGAACCCAGTCGGCGGAGCGTCAACTGGCTCAAGGTGCTTTTGTTCCGTCGAAATCCAACTGATATTGATCCATCATACACAGCTCAAGAAAGACTACCTCGCTGGCGTTGGTGATTCTCTGGACCTCGTCGTCGTTGGGGGATACTACGGCAAAGGCAAGCGTACGAAAGTTTACGGAGCTTTCCTCCTAGCCTGCTTCGACGCCGATGCCGAAGAGTATCAGACGATCTGCAAGATCGGCACCGGGTTCAGCGAAGAGATGCTGCAGACGCACTGGGACACTTTGCGACCGCTTGAGATCACAAAACCACGTGGGGACATCAAACCTGGTGGAGCGAAACCTGATGTGTGGTTTGAGCCAAAGATCGTGTGGGAGGTGCTTGCGGCAGATCTGAGTTTGAGCCCGGTATACACAGCGGCACAGGGCTTGGTAGATGAACGCGGGATCTCGTTGCGGTTTCCGAGATTCATCCGAATACGAGATGACAAGTCGGCAGATGATGCTACTGGACCCGAGCAAGTGAGTGTTTTGCTGCATGTTAAGATTCAATGAGATGGCAGGTACTTATGATTGTTCAGATCTCTGAGATGTATGAACGACAGGTGCTTGCACAGAGCAAGGGTGGGAAGAAAAGCAAAGGTGATGGGGATGACGGATTTTGGTGAAAATTACGTATCAGTATCTAGATGCTTACTTCAGACATTGGTTAGGCAAAGGCGCAGCGTATGCCAGCGTTGCATAGAGGGATATTATTATTTTGTGTCTGCAACCTTCTTTGCCTCTGCTTGTGATTCCTCGATGGCTTGTGTGACTGGACCCTTGTCAAGACCAAACTTCTTCTCACGGCCACCGTAATACCAGTAGTTCACGAAGCGGGCTTCCTGGATTGACTGTGCTGTTGCGTTTGTCAAGTGACAGGCAAAGAGCAGGTAATTCCGGGGTTGTACTCTCCAGGCTATAACGAAAGGTCAGACACGCGTTTTATAGCGTCGTCGCAGAACGCACCGAAGCGCATGAAAACCATTCTAGTTGCGTGGGTTCAGCAGGCAGCTGCGTGAGAGTGAAACGAGACGTACGAGTAGGCGGCAAGTGCAGTGGTCATGGTGCCTGAGATGACCTCTTCATCTTTGCTAAGGTCAGCGAGGGCAGCAAGGGGAAGACCCCAGTTTGCGACCTGGGATGAGTGAGTTATGTGACTCGTAAAAGTTGAAATGACTGACTGGTCCCCAGAAGTGTGTACCTGTGAAGAATATGATGAAACATGTTTCAAGCAAGTGATAATTGATGAGAAACATACTGAAGAAGTACTCGCGAGCAGCAGGAGATCTGACCCATGTAAAGAATGTTGATGCCATCGCTGCCCTGGTGTGACTTTGGGCGTTTGTGAAGAGAACTTCTGAGTGAGTCGGAAGCAAGAGGATATAAAAACCCTCACGTGATCAATAGGGCCGAAAGCGGACCGATGTCATGAACTTTATGAGTAACGCCCAAAGAATTCTCCGCGGCCTAGAATGGGAATCCTCATGTCTGCTGTCTTCAGCTAACACGTGCACGAGGCCGTTTTATGATATCGACTAACTAGTGTACGGCCATCTTTCCTATCTCTTTCCCTGACCACCAATGCATTCAGCTTACCCGCAGCCTAACTTCCCTTACTATGGTCAGCCGTACCATACATATTACCCTCCTGGCTATCAGCATCAACAGCAGCGGCAACAACCATTTCCTACATCTGATCCGTACAGTTCTCCACCATGGCCTCGCGAAAATTATCAAGCCACTCAGTATTCACAAAGCCACCTGGACCCTAACACGCCATTCATCCCGCCAAATTCTGAGCCAGCCCCTCCACCACGAGTCAAGCGCGCTAGTACAACACGTCCAAAGCCTTCATATAACCCAGAGAAGGCCCAGCTCAAGTCCGCGATGAAGAAGAAAGGTGGTCTTCACCGCTCAGAGACCGTTAATGCCACCCCACCCGGTCTCGAACGTACTCGGACGACTTCGAGTGCACGCCAGCGCCTCGTGCCCATGACACGCGCTAATGGCATGAGTTCTAACCCGTCCTATCTTCCTGGTAAGTCACTAGTTGACCTATGATTATCACTCCTCCCACGCCATACGTCATCACAGAACACTTGTTTGTCTCTTTTCACGGCACAAACGAGCTCCGGATGGGCAATGTCGCTTTCCAAGATACCATGGAAGAGATAAAGGAGAACATTATTCCTATGTGGCCACACGGGATATCCACAGCAATCCCTGTTCATCACGCGTTTCGGATCCTCTTTAACAGGAATCCTTGGAGTGCGAGTGGGGGCGAGGGCGTCATGTAGGTCCAATCATCCAATCAGTGATCCTGTATCACGTGCTGATGGAATGCAGCGCACAAAAAATGATATGCGAACTATTTACATGCCTCGCACATAACGGCTATCAGTACCGTACCTCTCTCAGTACGGGCTATTCCGTATGTCTTTAATTAACCCGAGCGTCGTACAAGCATTATTAACGGTGTGTTTAGTATCCTCAGCTGGTATTTCAAGATAGCGGCCCCGATGAACACTGTGATTTCTTTGCTGCACATATATCGCGGTCAGGACACAGGATGACGCTCATCCGTCCCCCACGGCGTGTTGGCGAGCAGATTGGTCCCCGTCTTCGGGCTGCATGGCCATTTAAAATTGCTGGAGATCGAACAAGTGAAGACGAGATCTACACGATTGAGCTCAAAAGGAATGCAATTGGCGGTTTGTTTTCTCTGCACATGCAATTTTCCTTGCTGATGTGCTCTCGTGCCAGCCCCTGATTTAAGCAAAGACGTGTTTGCAGCATCTGCACTGAAGGAGATCAGTACTATGGGCTACAAGCTTGAAGCCACGGTTCCTCTTGCGCGTACAGGGATGCTTGGGTTTGGGAATAAGAAGGAGATATGGATATTTCGTGGGACGAGGATGCGTTCGCGTGCCAATTCGCGTGCGGGTTCACGGGCTGGTCAGAATGTTGATCACTAAGAGGCCGAATGCGCCGACGAACGACGCAGTTCATCTGTGACAGAGTCCACATACTGCCTACCCCAACGACGGGGTGTAACGATACTGGAAACGACATGCTCATGATGTATGACTACCGTATGTATTTATAGTTCTAATTCTGCTGTAGCACAGGAAGGATATAAATGGTACGTCATGCAGACGGTGTATCCTGCTACTTTGCGTGTGTAATACAGGGCTATTGAGTGTGTCCACTTAAACTCCGCCTGCACAGCTGCTTATCGCGTTCGCCTCGTCCGCGCGTTTGAGCTCTTCAATCAAAAGTAAATCTGGACCAGCCTAGAGCACTCTGGATCACCCCTGTGGCACTACGACCGGTTATGGTAAAATTGAAAATTGGTCCGTGCGCTGGTTCAGAAGATATAAAAGGGAGCTGTGAACGACTCGAATCCTTACCACTCTGGCCTTTTGGCTTAGATCAAGTGTAGTATCTGTTCTTAATAGTTTAACCACTATTATGAGGGCACCGCCCTCATTCTTTGGTTATCAAATTTTTGCCGCCCTTGTTCCTTCGAGCTCTGCTTGCAACTCGAGGGACATGATGACCTTGCCACTGCACTACCGGCCTGCGTCGTCGGGGGTTTCCTTTTTCTTGTCTCTCTTTGCTCAGTAACTACTTCATAGTCTCTTGACTGTGTATGGTGCTTGGCAAACAGAACTTGAACAAATTTGTGTCTAGTCAGATCAGAATTTATGTAGCAGAGTCGAATTGTCTCTATGCTCTAATAGCTACATAGCCAGTTTAGAATTTGTAAACCAGAGTCCATTATTGAATACAGAATTGCTTTTGCACTACATCTACCGACGTCCGTAAGAACACGTATCACATCTTGACAACCTTTGAACCGTCCACTACGCCTGTTAGAGTCTTGGCGTAGACACGACCATCAAAGCCCTGCCGCTCTACAAGAGTATCCCACCACCCAAACAAAAAGTCACGAGCAATCAGCTTGAACCAAGGTGTAAAAGAATTTGCTGCGCATGCCGAGTAAGCTCCCATCCATCATATCGCAAGCAAGATACGCACATGAATCATTGAACATCGCCTGTAGCTCAGCCTTGTCCACGTATCTGTAGTCCCGGATCTCGTTCTTATTCGGCGTCACCGTAACATCCGCCGTCATGAACAAGATGTAGTCGACTATGGGAAGCGGGTAAAGACATGCGCCAGTATGTTCAACCTGTCAACGCACCTTCATGCTCACCCCACATACCGTTCGACGGTGCGAGGTAATGAATCTTCGTCAAGTACTGGAACTCGTCGATTGGTGTTTGGCTTTGCGGAATACCGAGCTCATGCTCGAGTTTTCTCGAAGCTGCGATCCGCACTCCGAGCTGGTTCTCCTCGATCTTTTCTTCTTCGAAATCATCTAGTGGGTGTGAACAGCACGTGTTCGTCCACATGTCCGGAAAGGTAATCTTCTCCGAAGCACGCTGCTGTAGGAGAAGCTTGCCATCGGAGGGACGGAAGACGAATGCAGAGAAGGCTCGGTGCAGTAGACCCTTGTCGATATTTTCCATGAGATGGCCTATTGAAGTCTGCTATCAAAACCCCGTATAATATAGAACAAATAGGCTCACAAGTCTTCTTATCCATCGCGCCGATGGCGTTGTCCTGCTCGTCGACCAAGATGCACTTCTCATCCATCAGTCTCGATTGTTCAGGGTCATAGCTGGTGAGATCTATGCTGGCAAGAGCAGCGCGTGCGGCAAGAACTGCTGGCGAGGACATGGTACGTTGAGCGAAATGTGGTCTAAGAGTGCGAGTAAAATGAGACGAGGAGGGGAGGCTAGCACGTAGTATATTCATACCAAGTAAATAATAAGCGCGTGAAACGATAAACCTTTGACGTTATCGCCGTGTGTTTCGCTTCGGAGAGGTGTTCGGGTGAAAAATGGCACGATCAAAAATTTTGTTGGATGGTCTGATCATGGTCTCGGAACGGAAAATGCAAGAGCCGATTATTGGGCGTCTAATGAAGATATCTGTTGTCTGAATGTTCAGGGCGCTCAGCGCTCAACAGTTACAACCACTGATGCGGCTAGTGTATATAAGTACAAGCATAACACTATAGAAGGAATCGTCGACGTCTCAATACTATTAATAATCTACACGAGTTTAATGTAATCGATTGCGATGCATAAAACGTTTCGGCCGACAAGGGGGCCAAAGAATCACTTGATACGGATCTCAATGGTTCTATAGGCCTCTTCTTGACGAAGTTGGATCAGGTCCTTCGTGCCTAACACTGGTCAAATCGGCGTCAGTCCATACTCGGATACGGTCCGGCATGGTGCCAGGGAAGAACAAACACACCAAGACAGTGGTAGAGAGCTGCTGCTGCGACGTGCGCAGTGCTGGTGGTCCGCGGCACGACATCGTCGAAAGCGAGAAAGCGAGCCGACCCAGACAGTGATTTATATTGCATCTTAGCGTATCTTTCAGCACAATATGTGAATACACCAAGGTTAAATGGTAGATAGTGAAAATGCTTACTCAAGGAAGTTGAAGGAGGTTCTCTCCAGGGTGGCCGGATTGGCCTCGGACAATTGGGATTCAGCCACAGAATTGCCTCCCGGAACTTATCGATTCCATGAGCTAGATCGCCTGGCAAGTCGTAGAATTTATCGACGTACCGTTGAATACAAAATCGTCGTCGATTATTTGAGGGCTCGCAGGGAAACCTCCGGCACCACCAAATACGTCGCCTTGCTGACTTGGAATAGAGCTTCCTCTTCGGCTCAGTGAGCTGCCCCTCAGGCGAGTCTCGGCGTGGTCAACACTGATTTTGTCACTGCTCTGGCGACCAAGGAATACTGCACCAGATACCGAGGAGCTTCCACCCGCATTGTCCCAAGGGAAGAGTGCACTACGCTGCGACAAGGAGCCCTGCACGATATCCAAGCCGAATTCGTCGCCCAGCACGGACATTGGGCGCGGGGCATGACGTGCTTGTCCCGGTTCCTAAAACCTTGTCAAGGGGAGTATGAAAAGCGTTGCCAGCCTAATTTACCTCGGACGAGCGAAGATTGTTCAGTTCTGGTCCCGCGTCGTCTGCACCACCCCAGCCATCTGAAAAGGACATTGGGTGATAGCCATTCATGGTAGTCAATACAACTTACTGCCCATGTCGAAATTCATGTCAAAATTCATGTCAATATCCGCTCCACCCGCATTAAAGTCTGGGCTTGCCCGGCCTACACCGAATGCAGGACTTTCAGAGCGGACTTGGACACGCTCAACTTCACCGGGGATTTCAGCATTGGTCTTGGTCTTCCTCCGTTTTGGCGGAGGAGAGTCGTCTAAATATCGCGTGTATTTAATAAGGCACACTCAAGGTGCTGTAAGACTGACCACGGGGTCCAATCATGACCACAGATCGAGCGTCCAATTGTGCTTTGAAATGATCCAGCCAGAAGTCTACTAACTCTTTGGCTTGCACTTCAAAATGTAAGCTCATGATGAGCGCAAGTACAAAATCGAAGCTTACTGTGTTCCGGAATAGCCCAAAGCAAACCGTCAACGAGCCTGCCTTGATCCTTCTCAAAATTCCTCCGCGCAATTTGTCGATGGATACCATTCTGTTCTTCCAGATAATGCAGGCGTGCAGCCTATACAGAAATACAAGCTGTAGCTGCAGGTCACGAACGGCGTTATTACACACCTTTAATTCGTCATCCGTCAACTCCGTTCGCACATCTAAAAGAAGTCTAGCGCGCTTGATCTTCCTAGGTGGTGCGGGTTCAGCCGGATGATCGTCAGGTGCAACGGGCTCAATCTCTTCGACCTGCGTGGCAATTACAGCTAAAGGTCCAGGGGGAGATTCGAGGGAGTGTCCGGTAAGGGAGGAAGAGGGAGGGAGGGCAGCTTTAAATTTTCATAAGTTAAGGTGGTCAATGTGGAGTAATTTGTCGTACCCGCTGAGCCCCGTTGTGTGCCTTGAGGCGTAGCAAAGGCTGACGGAGGAAGCGGCAAGACATTCTGCTCTAATGCACCGGTATCGTCAATGGGGACATTGTGTTCGAAATACAGGTTATCTGCATCATTGAACCCGAAGTCGATCGGTTCATCCACTTGCATATCATGGCTAGGGCATTTCAGTCAAACTTCAGCCTGCCGAAAGGGACACGCACTCGACTTGGTTCTCCGGGGCAGTTCCTCCCCAGCCTTCACCAAGTTCCCTTACGAGATCATCGCCAACGCCCTCACCAATATCCAGGCCATCAAAAGCGCCGAAAAAGCTATCGTCGAAGCCGAAGGTATTATTCTGAGAAGATGGAATCATATTGGCGGCGCTGCCACCAAATGAAGCGTCGAAAGAATTAGCGAGGAAGAGGTCGTGATTTTCGTTGAGTGTATGCGCATTGGCGCGGGCGTTTTCTGCGGTGGAAGCCGGTGCAACTGCAGACTGCTTACCCTTTCCTTTTGATCTCTTGGCTTTTGGATTGTACTCATCATCGGATGAGCCCTCTTCCGCTCCTCCCTTGTTGTCTACGATTCAGAATAAATTTACGCGAGCTGAGACACAGTAATCTAACGTACTTCCAATGTTCAAGTATTCGTCCCAGTCCTAGCCGCATCGTTGGCTTAGAGACAAACAGAAAGAAAGACAGAACGTACAGCGACCATTGCGTCAAAATCCATGGAAAATGCAGCACCAGGATCAGCGGCAAGGGTAACAGCTGATGGCCTTGACAGGAGGTGTCAGAGGAGGCTTTCATCGTGTGAGTTAACTCACCTCACGCTCGGCTGAGCCATCTGAAGATGGGCTTCGGATGCAGCCATCGAACGGAACTCTTGCACGACTCGCTTGAGGGAGTTGAAGCAACTCGTGACATCAGAAAGAAAAAGTTCTTGCTTGACTAGAAGCAAAGTTAGATGTGGTTGTACAGTCACGAATTACAAAACCTTTATATACACTGTGGAACTGAGTGAGTATCAAGGGCCCCGACGAAGTTGATCTGCCTACCGTGCCGCTCCAACCATCAAGTTACTTGAAAGGCGAAGAGCCAGAGGCTCCGCAGGAGAAGCAATCAGATCACACAATTGAGAGATATCTGCTGTCAATACGGAGCGCTTGGGTAATTTCTTAAAGGCTGATTTCGAGCCAAGGGTTGCGGCTAGCCTAATGTTGGTAACACCAAGCAATGAGATATGATTCCAGCGTCCATGCAGCATACAAGAACAATACCAAAGAAGGCCGAATCCGCTATCCCTCCTGGACAACAGTTCGGTGGAGAAAAACATTTGGCAGTTTAGTGTCCTTGGAGAATGAGCGAGCGGTGGCAGATAAATGACAAAATTGGGTTAGCAAATGGGTTACGGCAATAGCAAGAGATCAATGAGCAGAATGCATACAATAAACGTACGAAAAAACGGATAGAGGAAAAGAGACCGAATAAATTATGAAGGAGGGGGGAAGCGTATGTCGTTCATGGTATGGTCCTTTGCGCGGAGCTCTCTGAGTTTTAATTCAGCCACTGACGCGTCGACTCTCGAGCTTCAGATTCGCATCCATCGGGCACCATCTGGGCCAAGAAGGCGCGCGAAAAGCTCATCTCGATTGCCGACCCAGTGGAACTTCTCTTCTATTTCTTTTCCGTGACCTTCTTCGCCGTCAAACCAGGAAATCAGAAGCCCTTTCATCAAACCGGTTTTCTTCACGCCACAGAGGTTTCCGCGAGGTATAATTAATTTGGCTTGTTGTGATGCGAGTGTCGTGAAGTATACTGTAGTAGTGGTCAGTGTGATTAGACCAGGCGCTGAAGTGTGGTGTGCAGGGTATGCTGAGAACGGATCAGTTGTTGTAGCACAGCCTGGATTATTATAGGCGTACTATGTGTGTCTTCATCTCGTAAAGTTGCGGACGTCAGACCGATCGTATTCACTTGTCCAGAAGAAAAGCGTTGTTTGCCTTCACTGAGCAGTGACTTGCCGTGCGCGATACGTGATCCCCACTTCTTCCAATCAACGCCATCATTAGTTTGCATTTGGCTTCTGGATGATGCGTCGGGAGTCGAGATCGCCGAAAGATCGGCTTCGTTTGTGCTATTAGCACGAGGACTCGAAGAATGAGGCTTGCGCGGAGGCTTGATTTCTTCACCCCTGGCAATCCTTTGTGTAATGATTTCTATAGCATAGTCGGCATCGGTGGGGGCATCAGTCAACGGACCGGGCAGTCTATTTCGCCACTTAACAAAATATGATGCAAATATACATTGAACACGAACCTGGCTCGAGCGCCTGGTGGTAGAGCGGCTAACACAGGAGTGACATGCCAGAACAATAACCCGCAACTGCCATATACAAGTTTTGCTAGGTAATGCGCGGGAATGATCAAGGTGCAGCAGGCTACAACAGCCAAAATCTTTCTGGGAGTCAAGCGCATGCCGAAGTAATCCTCAGAACTTACTCACGATTGCATATCTTCGGGAGACTGCTGGTCGTCTCCAGATGAAGACGCTAACAACGACGGATATTCGGTTAGTTGACAGCCCATCACGAATCACGGGGTACGTACTTTTTAATACGTTCGTGAATATCAGCGACAGTATTGAGAGCGTGCAGGAGTTCTCGTTTGATGTCTTGCTCTTCTTGGGTATCACCATCGAGAACAGTAGCCACTTCATCCTCGCCACCATCGCCATTTAAACTCGTTTGAAGCACCCCTGTGTCCTTGGGAAGGGTTTTGGTTTTACTTTTTGCTGCAGATCTGTGAGATTTGAGGAACTGAAATATATCCTTGGGTCCCAGTGAAGGTGCCGATAGGCGTTCCTGAACTTCGTCTCCGAACTCCCTAGCACGTTCGGAATCTTTTCTCCGCATCTGTAAAGATTCTAAAGTGGGATACGGGAGAAGTCTCCGGCTAAGCATCTCCCACAAAATTCCAAACATTATCGCCGGAAGAAGGAGATCATACAACCATAGTCCCCAGAACGCCTGGATGTTGGTGAATATACCGATTCCCAAAAGCAACAGCCTGCTTACCGCGCAATATAGCCCGCTACGTTGTGGGTCCTTCCATAACGCTAAATTTGCCATGGAGAGGAAGAAAGTCTGGTAAGGAGGAACTACTGCGAGGAAAAAACGCTGGCTAGTAAGTTTCAGACGCTTTAAAGAGAAGGATGGTGGCGGATGAGGCATCGGTGGAAGAGCTGGTAGTATATATTTCTGGAGAATTGAGATTTAATTACTGTGATAAAGTAGCACTCACGATGGCAATATGTTCGGACCAGGAGGGATCCGCTTGTCCTGGAGGAATAGTGGATGGAAGAAGTGTAGGCGGCTCTGTTTGTTCAGAGATATTACGAGCAAATGGTCGTGGAGGGAGTGGGGGTGGTGTTGGTAACTGGGGAAGGTGGAGAGAGCTACTTGATGGCTTGGCCTTGATGCTACGCAAAGCACCTGGTAGTCTCACCTCCGTCACATACTTATTGAACCTCAGGATATACCACCCATCGAGTACGGCAAGAACTTACAGCAGAAAACAAGTGGAGATAACGTTCAATCTCTTCCTCATCGTATAGTTGACGAAGACGGGCCTCAGACATGCTTTGTTCTAAAGAACCTGACAAGTCTGTTTGAGAACCCACAGGGCTAGGAGTCACGGTGGTGTCCAAATCTCCTATCACAGTAAAGACAGATGAGTCGTCATCGCCGGACGCTTCATAGACTCCTCGTTCACGAAGAGATGATGTGTCCGAAGTGGACACAGACGATGCATCACTAAACTGAGGGTTGGAATTGCTAGGAGATGACATGACCTTGAAAAGTGGATTGAATTTGAACGAGGATTGTCAGGTTGGTTTTTATGGTAGTGATTACTCGGGACAATGTTCGGTATACATGTACAGTGACCAGCGGCGCTAAACTTGAAGGAAGGAACTTGTGTCGAAGCACACAGCCACAAATACTGCGGCGCGTGTCTTCAGACAACAGCTATGTACATAATTACACACAAATTTCCCGCAAGTGCGCGATGTAACCGTACAATAAGCAAGCCCTCTCACAACCCAGACAGACCATAGGCGAATGAAAATGCCCATCCCTTCTAATCCAACCTAAAAGTCCACAGGTATAATCTGTATGCCAGCAGTACCGCGTAGTATAATGACTTGTCGTCACGGATTCTTGCACGTGGTACGCAGCGCACCCAACATGTTCCGTTCCGCACCGTTTATCGGCATCGGAACCCCACGTCAAGCTACCTCGCCGCTCCCTTGAATGGAAGAATGTCAACACCTTGCTGCTGCACTTGTTGCTCCGTACATGAACGACGGACGAGTGAATTTACTGGCCAAGGCATTCGAGCCGGATTACGATCCTCCCAAGGCTGGTCGGTCCACTATTGATTTCCCCGAGGCACAGTGGGTGTTATCGTTGATAGTGTCCGTAATGTATCAGTCACGCTTGAAGTTTTATAGAACTACGGCCAGTCATTCATGACATCGACGTCTACAACCATCATAAACTGGGTTCTTCGGTCAGACCACACATCATAGCATAGAGGCCATCCCGAAGGTCAGTTACTTACTGCGCGAAGGTATCCTATCCAGCCTTACTTCGAAATCTTTCACTATGTAACAACTAGTGTCAAGGAGATGGAAGCTAGGCGCCAAACAGCATCTGCTGAGGATAACTTGAAGGTGATCACAGAGACGAAGAAGCTTGAGGCGAAAAGGCTACCTCAGAAGATTTGAAGAAGGCTGGCCTTTCTCCTGAGTCGGCGGAAGTCTAGTTTCAAGTTTGGCTACTTCTGTAACCAAGTATCGCATGCTTCCAAGACCATCAAGGTTCTCGTATGAGTCGTATCTTCCTTGGTCTGCAACCTATCTTAATACTGCAAAATGCAGCTCAGCGTAGCCCAAGTCACTGTAACACCCAACGAGAATCTTGAACTCCTTGTATGATCATATGACCATTGTACTCAGTCGCCAGAGCACTCCACCACTTGAACATGTTTCATGAGAGCTCCTATAGTGGCTTGTGCAGATCCCCTTATTATACAACAAGCAGAGGAAGTCGTGATAGAATAGTTATGTCAATTCCATGAGACTTTCATTTTAGTGTCAATCACGTGTGTAATACTTACCTCCTTGCCTCTTCGGTTACTGCTACATACAACGCGTCTACACTTCTTGCCCACAGATTATTCTATTTCTAGCTACTGGTGCCAGTGCACACCAAATTGGCACCTGAACGACAAGTAGAAGATTCTTACAAGTTCTTCCCTCCCCGCCGTCGTCGATGGGCATACTCACAGGCTGTACGCACATCGCGTCCTCTATAGCCCATGTCGCCGCAGCACCTACTCCACTCTTTACCAACACAAATTTAAATCAAGACATACCCATACCGTTGGGGATTTTCATCGGACTGCTCGCATCTTTCGTCCAAAGCCTTGGTCTTGCGATCCAGCGTCGTAGCCATGTTCATAACTCGCAGCTTCAAGAACAAGACCAGAAAGTAGAACACCGTCGACCGTGAGTCATATATCCTCTATAACTCAGCCTCCCCTTACGTTTGTTAGATTATGGTTGATAGGATTTGGTGAGCCCCCTCAAACTTTGCTTATATTCGTTCCGCCGACTAACACAACCTCTGCCAGCCATCTTTTTGATATCTAATGTGTTTGGATCTTTCATACAAATAGCATCTCTTCCGGTCGTCATACTGGCACCCCTGGGCGCCGTTTCTCTCCTTTGGAATGCCCTCTTCGCTAATCTCCTCCTTCGCCCACGAATGCTCCTGGGAACAGCTCTCATCGCTGGTGGCGCTGCCTTGATTGCTATCTATGGGATCGTTCCTGAAACCACGCGTAGCCTCGACGAATTGATGGCACTTTTTGCGCGTCCTGCATTTATAGGCTGGTTCTGTGCCGAAGGTTTCATCTTACTCGTGTGCCTTATCGTGGTGCGTGCCAGTCGCGACATATCGTTTTGATTGTACATATAGCATTCCTGCAGACCCACGGTATTGAATATTCTTACAAGAGACAACTGGAAGCCGCAGCCTATTCATTGTTGCAGGCCAACCATGACTCACCCCTGTCGTCTTCTTGTACCTCCGCGCATGATTCTCCCACACCGCTACCTCCCACACGCATACAACAATCTAATCTATACATTGGTCCCACTGAGGAACAAGTCAATGGCAGCTTGGCATCTGAGATAACACCACTGCTCGATCCAAAACCCGGCCGCCTTCCATCTACCAAATCTACCCCACACAATCCAAAGTCCTCGTCACCGTTACGCGTACCGCTTCCTGGCAGAACCCCGCTTCTTCTTGCCCTCGCATATGCTGCAGCTTCAGGGACGTTGTCTGGGCTTTGTTTGATTTTCGCAAAGTCTGGTGTTGAACTTCTTGTCCTCACATTCCGCGGCGTCAATCAATTTTTTAGATGGGAGGCATGGATTCTTGTTGGTGGACTCATTATTTTTGCTCTGGGACAACTTTGGTACCTTAATCGTGGTCTGCGACTTGCAGATCCTGCATTTGTCTGCCCATGTGTGTCCTATTCCTTTGTATTTTTCCTGATAGTGCCATTAACACGGAGACTATCTAGCTGCCTTTTGTTTCTATAACTTTTCATCGATTATCAATGGCCTGGTTTACTTCGACCAGCTTGGACAACTCCCAGGGTGGCACCTTATCCTCGTCATAGTCGGCATGTTTGTTCTTCTTGCTGGGGTTTGGGCAGTCAGTGCCCAAGCCAACGTCGATGAATGTGATACAGCAACTGAATCTGACGTTGAAGACCAATCAGAACTCAACAGCAGAAGCGCAACTCCCGAAACAAACCCCTCGCCACACTACCCTTCGTATGCAAGTACTGCCGTTGGTCCCCAGGGCTCATCTCTCTCTGGGTCAATTGCGCCTCCTATGGACCGCCGGGTGCGGTCGGAGGGCGCTGTTTTCCCCCAGAGTCCCGTCTCCTTGCACACCCTCAGCGCATCGTCTTCACAGCTTTCACCTCCCTTTACAGCCCATCAGACGGGCATCTCCCCACCCCTACCAGGCACCTCCCGCTCATCACGTCAGCACCCCACCATTATCGATCCATCTGCATCTATGCGTACTATGTCCTCATCTTTACATCAGCAGCAATCGTCGAGCGTATTGTCTCCTACGGGATTGACAATAGGTCTCTCACCAGTCAGCCCTGGATTCGGGCTTCTCCCTTCAACAAGAACTTCTAGGCGTATCAGTGGAGGACTTGGCTTTGCAGTTGTCGTCAATGAGACCATGTCTTTGGCTGATACTGCAGGTGGCCGGAGGTGGACTGTGAGTGAGGGACGGGGGAGACACTCGGAAGAAGCTCGGGACGGGGGAGTGTTGAGCGATCCTCGCTCTGAACTCTTGCAGCAGGACGTGGAAGAGGGCGATAGCACTGCTGGTGAAACACGCAGAACGGGAAGGCCATGGATGTGGCTAAGAGACATTTTCTTGGGGCGGAACGCTAGACCTAGATAGTTTATACCACACGGACTACATCATTATCCTGTCATTCCTTGAAGTCATTTAGGCTGCTAGTACTTTACTATCACTGGCGGGGTTTTTCAAAGGTTTTCAATGTTTGAAGCGTAGCACACTCGTCAAGAGGTTTTTTTTTTTCCGCTTCTTGACAGACCTGTGGGAAAAATCGTGCTCTATCACACCCAGGTGAAATCTGATTTTTTTTGCGATGATGTTCGAGCGGCGGAAGGAATCCGGTTGTGCGATGTCAGTTTGGCAGGGACTGGATATGCTGTTTCAAAATTTGTCACAGCAATGTCACACTGGAGTTTTATAGCTCCACAACGGTACGCTCGGCAGAATTTTGAATATCGATATCTGAACGAGCGTTCGAAGGAAATCAAAGATTCTACGGATTCGTGCATGTACATTATATAGACCAGCTATCCACAGTAAGTAAATCTAAATGTAGTATGTGCATTAAGTGGAAAGGATATGATAGTAATAGATTGAAAGTGAGTATGTTCACAAAAGTGTATAATCAAAGACTGGATGTAGGATATATACCAACGAGGATTAAACTCACAGTCCAGGTCATTGCGCTGGTGAGTGATGACCCCATCTGGCTGCTATAAGATACACCTCCCCTGTTTACTCGATGTACAGTTTTTGAGCGGAGATTATAATTGATGCTGTACTATAGTCACGGTGCAGCATCCACTCTTTCAACAACTTCACTGATAACATGGTTCTACCCTCACTCAATCATGATATAGAAATCGCAGTGGTAAGCATCATTTGTATAAGGACAGAGATTGTTTTCACATAGTTTTTGTCCTGTTTGACAATGTATATAGATTGTAGCATTACAATCATTAACATTCAGTGGTGTGACATATTTCAATGGATGATTTATTGTGAACACAACTGCTCGATGTTTTCTATAGACACTAGAGAACACTAACTAAAATCGCAGAATATTTTTGTGCAGTGCGTAGCTTGCGATATGATGATCAGCGAATTTTGAAACCCAATACCCATTTTGAAAAACCCCGTCAGTGATAGTACTGAGTACACAATAAGTCCGTGGGATGTTATTATGTAACAAACTGCAACCTATATTACAATATGTACTTATAGGGCCCCAAACTGGAATCAGGGGGGCTCTTAAATAACTTCCTCCTTCACGATGACTACCGCCTGCGGACCACGCCGTTTATCCCTGATCGAATCTATTCCGGTCTGAAATAATATTGTTAACGATTGTAAAAGACTGGTTTCGACCTACTTACCCTTCCCTTAGTCTGAACAAACCTTAAACCAAGGTCTGTAAAATGATCCTCGTAATGCTTAGATACCATTTCAAAGAAACATTTTTTAGCTCTTTCATCTTCTCGAATACTCCGCCATTTCTTCTCCATGAGATAGAAGACGGTGGTTGCTGAGAGGGCTTTTATATCATCTCGTGTGAGACGTTGCAAATCAACCATGTGCCCGCATTCTGGTACGGGGCACCACCAGCGGTTATCGGGGCCTGGTAATGCCGGGACTTGGGACAACTGGCGTGGGATGAGCTCTCCGAAATCAAGCAGGCGCTCGTCCACGGATTCATCCGAAGAATCAGAAGCAGTACTAGATGATTCCCGAGAGAAGTCCGACATATACGCATGTGCCCTAGCAGGATCGAGTTCATCTGAGGACGACGATGACGAGCCGGCTTCGTTGTCACGCCGGGCAGACGGCAGGGTTCGTCTGGTTTTGGCTTTGTCGATTTTACGGCGCACGATCTCGTTCGCCTTGCCAATGACAGGATTCCGCTCCACCATATTTCTTGTGTCCTCGTCATCTTCATCATCCTCATCATCTCCCTCTTCGCTGCCTGGTTCTGATGCCAGGTCCGGCTGATTCTGACGACCAATCGGCCAGCCCCAGATGACATTGTTGCGTGCAGCTTGCCATCTTGCTTTTCTGACTTCCTTTCTAAACGCGTTCCATGGTCTGAAAGGAAATATCCGCTTGCGCTTCACTTCGTTATCAGTAACGAACCATTCCGACTGGGCAGCAAATAGCCCTAGAATATCGCGCCTGTGTATTCGCCTTGGGTGACGGGGCAATTGAGTCCTGCCTTCATCGACATCGGAATCGGTAGAATCGTAGATGAGTCGCTCGTGCTCATCACTGGCGGGATGAGCGAACCGTTCGAGGTATTGGGATACAAACCACTCAGGGGTCCGCTTTTCGAGCGGCGTTCGTCCCTCTCCAACGATCTTTGTCATGAGAGCAAGGAGCCGGTAACGCCAGAAGAAATTCTCTGAGAGCTGGAAGGTGTAGACGTCCATTGTTGCAACTTCATAGGTGCGATTACTAGAGGAGAGTAAGGACGTGTCTAGAATCATATGTCATGATACCCACCGGTCTTTGGAGTGCCATAACAATCCATCCGGAAGTAGCTTGGCTGGATATTTTCGACCTTAGTTCTTCAAAATTGTACCGTGTAGGCATCCAAACGCACATGTCATATATAGAGCTGGGAAGTTCCTGAAACCCTGGATTTGCAACCTGAGCTCGAGTTCACCATCTTCGGGTGGGCCCCCAAGAAATTTATTTTTCCTATTAAATAGCTCTTCAAGCGTTATTGTATTGGGAGGGCGTTCCCCTGCACACATACTACGCGTGTTGGCACGCAGGTTGAGCTCTGCTTCCACTCGTTTGACGCCGACTTGAGATAGCCAAACGAGCGAACGTATACCAAGAATTCCACGAAAACGGAATTGTCGAGTGTCCACCTCTCCAGTACCTAGAGGTTGCTCGGATTCGTCGAGCCTTGTCAATAAGACTCAGCGAGATACACGTAGTACAAAGGGGCAGAAACGGTACCCAATAATCTCGTCGTTGTAAGCCAGCTGAAATGACTTCAGTACCAGGATCTTTCCTGCCTTGCTCTCGCATTCTGTACTGAGCACTTCTTCGTCACGATATGGACCAAAAGGAGGTCGGAGCAGCTCCTCGACTATTTTGCGCTGGGGCAGTGGCATGAGCGAACAACTGGTGAATTTGAGTTGCGCAAGAAATGCGCGAAACGCCTGCTAGTGGTAATTAGCTGAGACCAAGCTGGGACATGCAACTAGTGAAATGTTGAATTTAGTTTGCGACCGAGCCAGAAGAAGTGCTACTTGAACAAGGTGTATAGGACCGGCACAAAAAAGGCAAGTTCGCGCAGTCCCCTTATTTGAAACCTCTTTCATCAACATTCACAACTACGAGCAAAGATGGCAGACTTTATCCAGGCACTTGACCCAGCGAAACTACTACTCGCAGAGACAGTAAGTAGACCTTCAGTCATTCTGGTGAGAAGGATTACTCATTACGCATTGCGTACTGCGCAGGCGCTGGCCTTCATAATCAGTCCTTTTACCGTCCCAGCATACAATTTGCCCATCTTCCTCTTCGGTTCGTATGTACAGGAGAGCAGCGACGCGGCACAGTCGCTGACTTTGGTACGCATCGTCACTTCCATCGTACCTGGTGATTGGCATCTCAACAAAGAGCCAGTTTGCGGGCTTGTTGTCATTTTCGATATTCTATGACGTACTGTGGATGATCAAGAATGAGCAAGGTGGCTTCCTTAGGTTCCTTACTGTCGTCCTTTTATTGTTGAAGGTGAGCAATTGAAATACTATTATCGACGTTTAAATTCACTCCCATCGAGATACCAACCACTGGTGCTTTTTTGGTTGCCATGCGTCAACGCGGGGGGCAGTTTCCCGGCCTCGGAACTGATATCCATGGTCCTACGGGTAAGTTAACCTTACAGAGTAATTACCCTCAGATTGTTCATGCTGTCATAGTTTGGTCCATGCCTGGGGGTTTCACCTCCGGTGGCCGGGATGGCTACCAGACGGTGGATGACGACACCCCACGTGCTCCCTCAAAAGTTAGCTCTGTTCCAGCACCACAGCCTGCCAACCAGTCCGGCGCATACCAGGCTGTTTGAAGATCAGTTGGAAACTCGGTGCTGAGGTGGTTTGGCGCTGTGAATTATATGTTGTATGATGTTTGAAAATAGACATCTGATTTAGAATGTTTTTCTGCAAAACGATTTTGAAATAAGCGAGGCTAGGCAGGGCTACTACTAAAGCGTCGGTCTTGGCTCTGGTTAGAGTGAGGTAATGTACCCTGTTCTTCCGAAGAGATGGGGTTAACACTGCGTTCCTTGACAACGCAATATAGGAATTTCCATCAGGAGCTTCCGTAAATTAGGAAGATGAGTGTGTGAATGGCATCTAGATCCACTAGTATGTCGATCCCTCAGTTGACTCCAGGTTAGCATCGTCCAGGTGTGGTGCAGCTTGCTTGCACCATCTCTAACTTACTGGCGTTGACGCGCAACATTAGGTTAAGTTGAGGAGAAAGACAAGATGTCCCGCAGTTTATAAAACCAACTTTAAAGTGGACCGTCAAATGCCAGACGTAAGTAACGTCTACTCGAGGCGAAGTTGGACTAGTCCCCGCTTCAGCTTCATTTTTTTGACTTGTACTTCCATCTGAAACTTTGCACTTGGTGTGCATCCCATTCCTTTTTTAATTTTCGCTATTCGTTTCTATAACCATTCTTTACATCTGGCTGTATTCTCTTTGAAATGTCTTTGCTTCCGCCTCGCCGACCAAGCGTTCAGGCACCTGCTGTAGCAGCGAGTCCTATCACTGTCTTGCCAATTGGTATCGGTGAAAAGATGGTCAAGTCGCGTTACTCTGATATTTCTTTTAATCCGTATAAAACGTCGATCAAGTCTAGTTCGAGCGCCTGCATTAACGCGGCTCAGAGCAACACAATCGTAAACATTTCGAATACGAACCATTCCGGTAATGAGTTACAACCATTCCAGTATATCAAACTGAAATTCTAATATCCTTCTTTCCTCATCTCCTTTTTCTCCTTCCCCAGACGCCGCTCTCGCTAACGAGCTCGACTATATTACTGTATCAGCTCCACTCGATTCTCATTCTCAACCTCTCTCTTATCCCCGTCCAGCGGATAAGGCTTCTCGTATCCTAGGAATTGCTCATCGCAAGTCCATGGAGCCTATTCCTGCCTCTACCCGGACCTCTATCGTATCAACTCGTTCAGCACCATCAACCCCAACACAACATGCCCCAACTCTTCCTCTCACTTCTCTATATGTCGTCTCAGGACTTCCAAAGAGTCCTCATACATGGACTCTTGCTGACCCCGATGCCGTCCTTGGTTTATCTCACTCAGAGGGTGCAGTCGCCCGTTGGTGGAGGCCCGAGGTTCTCGGTAGCACTGTGAGCCCTGGTGCCGGTGGGGGCAAGAAAAAGAAGAAAGCAAACAAGGGGGAGAGTACCGAGATCCTCAAGGGCGCAGGTGCTCTGTCAAAAGCTGAAGTAGGAAAAATGTTATCAAAAGCGCTCAAGGCACGTTTCTATCGCGTGCTTCCTATCGCTACTAATCCTCTTCTCGTATAGCTCTCATTCACGCGTGAAGTTGAAATCATCGCGTCAACGCTTCAGCCGGCGAGCACAATTCATACCTTTACCTTTACCCTTCCTGCACCTTCCACTCCCCTCGCGCCAGCACCTTCTGAGGTGGGTTTACTTCGCGCATCGGTCCTCACCGGAACGGATCGTTCTTCCGCAACCCCCACATTTTCCTTCCCTTACACTGATGACCCATTCCTCAATGCCCGTCCTTCATCAGCATACCTCGGTCCGCCCAGCGTCCTCCCACCTCCTCCCGCATCCCCGGCATCTCCCATGTTCGAAAAACAAGCGTCAGGTGGAAATGGCGCAACAGTTACTTACCATGGTGTCTGTCTGACCGTATGGAGTCACGCTGATGCTGAGAGAAGTTCGGCAATTCGTCGCACTCTCGAGGCAGGCCGTGCTCGCAAGGAGAGTGCGCAATCGCTAGTGACTACGCGGCTGAGAGCGTTGCGCTCTTCAAACCCTCCAGGGTCTTCCCAGTCCCCTGGAGATCCAGCCAGGAGAGCGAATAAAAAGGGTTTCAAAGCGCCTTGGTCGGGTACCGATGGTGAGACCGACGGCGAGGGTGCCGAAACTGATGCCGGTGCTGTCAGCGAGAGTGATTACGACGTGGCAAGTACCGTAGGTGGCCACGGCCCTGGTGAGAGTACCCTGTTCTTGCCTGGTGATACCGTATTTTGGCTCCCCTATGCACTCAGTACGTATATCTTTCGAGCTTCACGTGGAAGATTTTGATTAGTTTATTTAGCGCTGGTGTCGCGTCACCCGATCTACGATCTCATGCGTGACTACCTAACCCTTTCTTGGGCTCGTTTCTCTAAAGATGTACAGTCACACACCCTGCAGATCTCCAAAATTCTAGCGCATCCCGCTCCACGCGCTGGTGATCTTATCAAGCTCGATGCTTCCTCCACGCCCATCCCCTTGACGCATTCTGCTTCCTCACAAGGTGATGACACAAACCTTGAAGTCATCGCGCGCTTCCCTGGTGGCTTGGACTTCGGCCGCGGTCTCGTCGACATCAATTTTACAATGTGGCCCTTGTTTAAGTGCCTGAACATCGATAACATTCTCACTATATGCGAGGTTCGTCACGCTTGTGGGCACCTCATACCTGTTCCGTGCTGACCCGATTTCAGATTGCCCTGGCGCCGACAGGTCGTATTCTATTTTATTCTAGGCATCCCGCCATGCTCGGAGTGCGTTTTTGATATCGGAGAACGCTCTATTTTGAAACTGACGAATTTTCAACGTAGATTGCAGTATGCACGATCAAGTACCTCGTCGAGCTGCGGGGTTGGTCTGGGATTGCCCTGCCTTCTGTCCACGCCCGAGACGCTAAGATCTATATCGACGACCCCGGACCATGGATTCTCGGCCTTGCCACTGAAGCGAGGTACAGCGTGCGTCCGAGTGCTGAGGTCTGCGTAGTTGACCTGTAAGTTATCTCATTGACTGCCAAGTACGAGAGGAGCTCAGGATAAACAGAGACATCAACTACTTGAGTTGTCCATCTCCTCCTCCCGGTGTAGTGTCTGCCAAGCAGCAACGAGACAAATATAGGCAGCGTCTTCTTATTGCATTCGAGCCGCACTATCATCCCGATCATAGCGTTCCTTCGTGAGTTCTATTCCTTCTTTGGTTCTGAATACGAAGACCGAGGATATGGGCGCTATTTTTAGCGAATTCAAAGAAGCTTTCCCTGCGGGTCGATTCCGCCCTGTCTGCAAGATTCAGGCGAAACGCGGTGGTGAAACTGCTGCTGTCGCAGACACAATCAAGGCACCTGAGTGGTGGCATTCCACGCGGATTATCCAAGCATTTGACAGTGTGCTGCAGGATAAGGTCGGTTTTTTGCATCTAATTTTTTATGACCAACCGTATGCTGATAACGTTGGCCCAGTTTAAGAAACCTTCGTTCCTCAAGCGCATCTCCTCTTTTGGCGCAGCTCGACGCATACCCAAGCTCACTCCTGCCGAGCAGCACATTCAGTTATCCATTCGCAAGCGTGCGACTGCATTCGTTGATGCTCGTGATGACCTTGAGACAAAGATCGGACGTCTTTCTCGCCGTCTCAACTTCCTCATGACAGAAGCGGATTTATGGCGGGACAAGTTTGTCACGTTCGAGCAATACGCGGAGCGCTTGAGTGCCGAGGCTGGCCAGCTGCGTAGCAAGATCGGAAAGGAGCAAAGAGAGACAAAGCGCCTAAGTGGTTTGGTCCACCTCACAGCTGCCGAGAAGGCGAAATTGCAGACACGTAAGCATCGAATGAGAACCACCCACACTGATACTTACAAAGCTTTGTAGAGCTACACGATACAGAGGTTGCGCACAAGGAAGCTCTTGTTGAGCTGGAGCGCATGCGCGAGACCATGGAAAGGATGGAGGAAGAACGTGCGGAGATGGTTGCTGAGGTCGAGGCTCAGATCGAACGTGCACTTGCTTCCATGGCTGTCGACGTCGACGAGTCTGACTATGAAGGGGACCTCGCATCTCGTCCAGGGTCACGCATGTCAGTAGCGAGGTCTACCGCCAGTGGCTCACGCTCCCGCAGAGCCAGTGACCCAATCAAGGACGGTTCGGTCGCTAGTGGATCAAGATTGCGCAGTTTCGGGACAGAGTCCACCCTTGCGGAACAATACGAGAACGGTGATGAGACTCTTGTACATGGCAAAAGTGATCGTGAGACTGATACAATTGCGGAAGAGGACGAGACACCAGCGTCACCAAAGACAAAACGCTTCTCCGCAACTCAAGCTGAGTTGGTGCAAGATGGTATGATGGCCGTCGATGAGGGTATTAGCGAAAGGAGCGATAGAATCGCACAGAAAGTATTGCAGATCCAGCAGAAGGTGAAGTCTTTCGAATTGTTCTCCGCAACGCTAGAGCTAACTGAGATTTCAGCTTGAGACTGCACTGGCCTCTGAACGGGTTCAGGAATGGAAGAACAGGTCTGCTGCAGCCCATAGTTCCACGGAGGATGAACGAAGCAATGATTCTGATGCCGTTCCTGTTCGTGCACGTCCAGCCAAAGGAACAAGGCTTGTAAACAACCCTCCTGGTAAAGCAAGAAAGAGAACTCGTAGCAACACCGCATCCTCGACGCAAACCAGTACCATCACCCGTCGCTCAGTGGATACCATATCTTCTTCGGCTACCCCTCGCCGGGCAGCTTCTCCCCGGGCGGACCAGAGAATATCGCAGGTGGAACCCCAGGTAGAGAGCAGTGCTGATGAGGGCACTGTCGCCGGTTCCAATCAAACACTGCGTAAGATTGCCTCTGGGGCATCTCTATCTGCGCTTTCTCCTTCCGACACAGCAACACCCTCCACTCCTGCTCTTACGCCCGCTATCGGCTTCATCACAGATGACTCGGACACTGAGTTCCAGAGTGCCTATTCTACAAGTCCTCGGGATAGCTACGTCAGCTTTGATGGCCGCCAAACACCTCTCTATCACGATTCTGACGATTCCATTGAATTTACCGATCAAAGCCGCGATTACGGGAAACAGGTCGCTTCTCAGCTCATAAAAGCACCTGTCAGAGAGCGAGTCACTAGCACAGGGACGGCAATTATTCACACTCGAACTGCCTCTTAGGGAAGATACAGTCGTGTCGAAAAGGCGGGTCCTTGAACGGCACGCTTGACCGCAATCAGTCTAATTTTATATACCTATGGCCTATACCCACCTCTACATCACCATTATTGTCATTTTGGGTTGTTCTCCCCACCACGCTCGTTGCTTTTTGATCATCATTTGTCGTATTTGTTCTATCGGATTTCATGCGTTTTCAACTTCATTGCATATACAGAGATCTACTTGTGCATAGTACAGAATGCTAGAGAATACAGTCTTTACATTAAATCCAAAAATCTTTGCGATCTAATCATGAGTCCATTCTACGACGATTGTTGAAGGCTTTGACTACAGAAGCGATTTGACCAAAGAACCAAGCTTGAGATGTTTTATCCGGTATGAATACGAATTTGTCATGTTCTTTTCCAGATTTGTGAGTGAAACGGATGCCAGTGTCTTCCACGGCAACACCCTGCACCATGGCCAGGGGGAGATCCCAATCAAGGCGGAGCTTTTTCGACCAAAATGAAAGAACTCGCGTCGAAGTCAGTAATATGACGTTGTCACTACCAGGAGAATCTATCACCCAATCAGCTGTGCTCAATAAAAAAAATACCAACATACCGATGTGTGCAACGTAAGCCTCTTTGCGGTATGCGCCATTATCAAGATCCTTCATCCAATACTGACCCAAGGCTTCACGAGCAGAGAATGACTGGTAAACGGAGCTTAGTGTATGAGACGCAATGTTCAAGAAGGTTACTTGCCACCAAAATGCCATCCGATGGGACGTGTCTTGGCTGCGAACATGATGGTATAAAGGGCAAATCGCGTGGAAAAGATAACTACTACTTACCAGACGAACACGGTCTCGCTCTGGCTTGTCAAACACAGTTGTTGTATTTCGGATCCCTGAGGCGCACGATAAGCTATCCTTGTGCGACAAACACGACAAGACCGACCTTCGGATAAGTTGGACGCGAGGTCAAAGACCCCAACGGCCGGTTTGGTAACAACGCTATAGAATAAACAAGATAAACAAAACATACTGCGTAGTCTTCTTGACTTACCCCACAAGGCCCTTTCCAACGCCCTTGAAGAAGCCAAGTGCTCCTTCTGTTTCAGCACCTTGTATGGGTTTTGTCTGGCAAGGCTTGGTTAGACACAGCAACAGGAGGATCGAATGGAAAAGACCTACAACGATCCCTTCCATTGCGCTAACAACGCTACTGGCAAAGGCTTCGCCCCCTGCCGCAACACCGTAGCTGGCATTCAAGGTCAGTCGCTTACGCTTACTCAACAAAATTTACTCTCACATAGCATGGCGCGGGCGATTGCGCCGCTGATTCATTCTACGTTGAGCCTGGTACTCAGAATCAAAAGTTGCTGCAGATAGTCCTGGAAGATATCATAAGTGACCATTCATATGATCTAATTCAAATTTGAACCTTTGCCAACACTGCTGGTGAACTTGGTCATACTATCTGACAAGCCAAACACCGTTTTCTTCACAAAGCTAGCGGCACCCTGATAGAGGATTGATTGAGATACTCCACGAGCATTATTCGTCTCGTACCTTGGCAATTCCAATCCCTAGCTCCCTGTTGCCATGCATAACAACCCCATTGTATGGGGCATAGAAAATATCTGACACGCCAGAGCTTACGTTCGTGAAGAGCCCAACAGGATTTCCAATAAAATCGGCTGATCCGAGGATGCGGTATAGCTGACGGAGAACATCCTGACGGTAATGGTAAGTGATTCTAGCTTGCAGTTCAGGTAATGTCAGTCTCATGTCCTTGATGGCCAGTGCATTCAACTCCAATGGGGCGTCATTGATGTTACCCAAGGTCATTGTCAATGCATTTACGACAACAGCTAGAGGGTTGCGAATGCTGAGCCTGAAGGGAAATAATTAGTGCATGTATAGTTTGCAGACAAAGTTGAGGCGCAATTCGTACTTTTCTTCGCTGCTAACTCTTTCGGTGCGCATGAATGAGAGAGATAGTTGTATTGGTTGAAGTTCCAAAACTTCAAAGTACACAACTTGACCAGCGGTAGAAAGGTGAGGTTCTGGTATTTCTTCTGGATGTTGTATCAAAACACTGGTCCCGCATGTAAGCCGGAAGAAAGGCGGTGTGATCGAATTCTACACTCACTCCTCAGTGTTCTCCTCCCATGAGACACCCTGGATTTGTGCAAGATCATATATGGCGAAAAGCAGATCTTCGTCTCCTTCAATGGTTAATGCCTGGAGGAGGATAGAGCAATACTTGACGAATAAGACACCGTGTTCTGAATTTACAGTCTGAGCGCAGTTTTGAAACTAAAAAAAAAGTTTTGCTGACCTTGGTCTTTGAGCCAAATCACTGAACCCTGTATTGTCGGGAGAACTGCAACACCACTGACTTCCTTGGATATCGGGCTAGGCTGGAGAATGACCGGGTACAGCGCATCATGAAGCTGGTTGTCTATCTGCAGTGAGCCACAGGACAGGTTCAAAGACTGTGCAACAGGGCTGTTGCTGTACTCGAACTTCAAAGACTCGATGGATGTATAAACAACTTCAACCATCCTGCGGTTAACCAACGATATTGCTATTCCTGCGAACTCCACGTTGAATGACAATATCGGAGAGACGTCTTCCATGATCGCCTCAAAACCTTCTGTGCTGCTGGTCATGGTGTCGGACCGTGACAGAGAGCTCGAACTGTGAAATTTCGGCTTGTAGAGGCTATGCTCAGCAACGTATGGTGTGATGCGTAATATCTGTTGGTGTCCATCTGCTCGTACATCCAACGAAACAGCACGGGTCCTTTTACGCTCCTAGGTTGCATTTAGTAACTAATCGGACTTGAGGAGAAGTGAAGGTACATAGAACTTGAATGGCACGAGAACACCAATTTCCATAATGTCCACAATGCGAGAAGCATCGTTTATCGTGAGTATGATCTTCTTTTCCCTGGCAGCAGGCTGATCCCAGGCATATGGCATGCTTGAGCGAGGCCCTAACTTGTATCGTGGGGTGGTCGATTTTACCACGTCAGTATCACCACGTTTGGGATCCTGCGGAGTCAACATTGAGGTCGTATTTTCAGGTGTAAGGAAGTTGGGAAACACATACGCATTGTATCATGGAGACAGAGACATCGCTGTCGTTCTCAATAACAAAGGGCCACTTTTCCGTAGCAGACAGTATTACGAATATTGTGGATCCATCAATCACGACGTCAGCCTTCACTACATGCAAATCACCGTCTGGGAGTCCGACGCGAAGGTGAACAGAACCTATGTCTTCGATGTTTATTGGTGCAGACCTGAGGCATTGTCAGGAAGGTACCAGAGATAACATAATCGGGATATTACCACTGAGAATTGAGTCCAGGATATGCAATAGTAAGCATTTTCTCCCGGCTGACACGCATGATCTGCATTGGACAACGTTCGCCTGGGTCGAGTATTGCGCGTCCTCTGGGCGGTGCGCCATGCTCGCGGAAGCATATGGGATCAGGCAGGTTGTTCTTGATGAGGAACCTTGGGGTGAGGGTTATGACCTTGGTAAGTTTGTATTTCCCCAACCCTTCAGTCCACGACAGTCCAATGTGGAACTCCTCTGCTTTTTGCCTGGAGGACGGTATAACCATCTCAGTTTCCGCAGAGGGGGCCTCTAGACTGAAGACCTAAAGGGTAACGTTTGAATCTAATAGACACAGCTTCCCGTCGTTTGACTGTACCTTCGACCAGCCAGATTCACCAACTTTGAACACAAACGCTTGACCGTTGTCATAGGGGTGTGACAATACTGGTGAGACGATAAGTCCATCGTAAGAAGAAAAGTGTAAATACCCACAAAATGGAACTGGTTTGGAAATGACATCTAGTGAACACAGTCAGTAAGCCATGGTAAATCGTTGACTGGAATTTACCGAGTCTAGTATCAGCGGCAATCTCGACAGGGGACATCGCTCGATGAGAGCGTGCAGCCTTCACAGCAAAAGGTAACCCCGTCTTGTTAATGACGAGATACGGGCAATATATCTGCACTTTGAAGGCACCACCAGACTCAGGGTAGCGTCTAGGAATATATATAAGTTGTAGAAGTGAAAAGGCAGGGGCATAGGACGAACACGTAGTTTAGACGTAAATCAAATTTACGATTACTCTGGTCCCGCAGACTTAAACGAGACTCTACTTCAAAGTCCGAATTCCGGTCAGTGTTGATGATGGCGAAGTCGCTGGGCTTGAAGACTAGAGTCTGCGTGAGTGAACGTACTCGGATGAGCCATTGGACTCACTCGTATCCTGGACTTCCGCATTCAATAGGATTAAATGACCTAATTCCACAGAATGCACAGGCATGACACCACCCTTTCTGAGGTAGCTCTTCCAATTTTGATTAGCGTCTTTGTCATATATTCGATACTGAATATTATAAGGCAGTAGGTTCTCAAGCTCGATTGGGGCACGGAGTTTGAGTTTGATTTTCGGCGGTTTCCTGAAACGCAAAAAGGAACTAGTTAGTGGTGGGGATGCACAGAAACATAAAAGACATTTTCACCGTGTTCCAGACTCATTCGAGTCACTTTGTGCCCACGCTTGAAATCGGAAGGGAGCTTCTTGCTGGTCATTGTGAGGGCAACTTATTGTAAGGCTCTTCTTGGTAATGAGGTCATCAAAGCGTATGGAGGAGCACCATCTATACCCGAACCCCTCTTTGAAGGACTAATAAGCATGCTGCGCAAGTTTGGAGTGAATGTATACGCACGATCTGGCTGCAGTCGGATCCTGTTCTGAGTTACTGCTTCTATGGGCAGAGCATAATCCTGGCCAGGGGCTGCAAACGATTAACCACCGAATCACAAGCGCTTTTCAGTACCAACCTATCTTTTCTAACGAGTAGACTGGATGTCCCGTATGATCTACCAGCATAAGTTCCAGTGGATAGAAGGTCTGATTCTCGACCAAATACGTGGAACGGAGCGTAACAATTTTTACGTTGTCTTCAACCGATACAACGCATAACAAGCGATCAGCGTATTTCTCCATTCGAGGGCGAAGGGAGAACGTAAATTCTCCTTCTCTGTCCACTGGTATACCTCTCAGCGCTTCCCATGGCTTGCCGACAATCTGTATGGCAATGTTGTGTTGTTCGGAGATTGAGACATGCTGCAAGAGCAAAGTAAAAACAGCACCACTGGAACGCACAAGTTTACTTGCCTCGCGCATTGTCTTCCAGTCATCAAACCTCCAGTCTATAGTTTGATCATTTGTAATTTTGATTGCACTGGCGTCCTTT